TAACGAGATCATTTACTCGTTATAACGAGATAACTATCTCGTTATAACGAGATCATTAACTTGTTATAACGAAATAATTAATTCGTTATAACGAGATAAGTAATTCGTAATAACAAGATAAAACTAGGTCGTTATAACGACATAATTAACTCGTTATAAAGAGATAATTAACTCGTTATAACGAGATACTAAGTCGTTATAACGAGATACTAAGTCGTTATAACGAGATAACTAAGTCGTTATAACGAGATAACTCGTTATAACGAGTTAAATATTTTTTTATCTTTTCAGAAATGAGCCTATCCGGCTTTCGTAATGACTGACTGCACACTTACAAAATCAAAATTTTAAAATTGAAATTTCAATTTCACTACACACTACACACTGCCTCTCCCTATAAATTCGTACAATGGTCATGCTACACCATGCCTCTCCCTATACATTCATACTATAGTCAAACTACACCAAGCCTCTCCCTGTAAGTCCATTCAGGGTCATACTTCACTATGCATCTCTCTATAAGGCCATTCATGGTTATTCTACACAATGCCTTCCTCCATAAGTCCATACTTGGTCATACAACACCAAGCCTCTCCCTATAAGTCCATTAAGTGTCATACTTCACTATGCCTCTCTCAATAAGACCATTCATGGTCATACTACACCATGCCTCTCCCTATAAGGCCATACTAGTCATAATACACCATGCCTTTCCCTATAAGGCCATACTAATCATACTACACCATGCCCCTCCCTACAAGTCCATACATGGTCATACTACACCAAGCCTCTCCTTATAAGGCCATACTAGTCATACTACACCATGTATCTCGCTCATAAGTCCATACATGGTCATACTACACAATGCCTCTTCCTATAAGCCCTTATTATGGTCATACTAGACCATGTCTCTCCCTAAAAGTCCAGACACGGTCATACTACACCATGCCTCTCCCTGTAAGTCCATACAATGGTCATACTACACCTCTCCCTTAGTCCATGGTTGCACTACACCATGGCTCTCACTATAATTCCATTCATAGTCATACTACACCTTGCCTCTCCCTCTAAGTCCATACAATGGACATACTAGACCATGCCTCTCCCTTAATCCATACAATGGTCATACTAGACCATGCCTCTCCCTTTAGGTCCATACAATGATCATTCTACACAATGTCTCTCCCTCTAATTCCATACATTGGTCATACAAGACCATGCCTCTCCCTTAGTCCATACAATAGTCATACTAGACCATGCCTCTCCCTTAGTCCATACAATGGTCATTCTACACCATGGCTCTCACTTTACGTCCATACAATGGTCATGCTACACCATGCCTCTCCCTAAGTCCATACAATGGTCATTCTACACCATGCCTCTCCCTTAGTCCCTACAATGGTCATACTACACCATGCCTCTCCCTCTAAGTCCATACAATGGTCATGCTACACCATGCCTCTCCCTTAGTCCATACAATGGTAATACAAAACCATGCATCTCCCAGTAAGTCCATACAATGGTCATACACCATGCCTCTCCCTATAAGTCCATACAATGGTCATGCTACACCATGCCTCTCCTTACAAGTCCATACAATGGTCATACTACACTATGCCTCTCCCTATAAGTCTATACAATGGTCATACTACACCATGCCTCTCCCTACAAGTCCATACAATGGTCATACTACACCATGCCTCTCCCTATAAGTCCATACATGGTCATACTACACCATGCCTTTCCCTATAAGGCCATACTAATCATAATACCATGCCCCTTCCTACAAGTCCATACATGGTCATACTACACCATGCCTCTCCTTGTAAGGCCATACTAGTCATACTACACCATGTATCTCGCTCATAAGTCCATACATGGTCATACTACACCATGCCTCTCCCTATAACTTCATACATGGTCATACTACACAATGCCTCTTCCTATAAGCCCTTATAATGGTCATACTAGACCATGTCTCTCCCTAAAAGTCCAGACACGGTCATACTACACCATGCCTCTCCCTGTAAGTCCATACAATGGTCATACTACACCTCTCCCTTAGTCCATGGTTGCACTACACCATGCCTCTCACTATAATTCCATTCATAGTCATACTACACCATGCCTCTCCCTCTAAGTCCATAGAATGGTCATACTAGACCATGCCTCTCCCTTAATCCATACAATGATCATACTAGAGCATGCCTCTCCCTATAGGTCCATACAATGGTCATACTAGACCATGCCTCTCCCTTAATCCATACAATGGTCATACTAGACCATGCCTCTCCCTTTAGGTCCATACAATAATCATTCTACACAATGTCTCTCCCTCTAATTCCATACATTGGTCATACAAGACCATGCCTCTCCCTTAGTCCATACAATAGTCATACTAGACCATGCCTCTCCCTTAGTCCATACAATGGTCATTCTACACCATGGCTCTCACTATACGTCCATACAATGGTCATGCTACACCATGCCTCTCCCTAAGTCCATACAATGGTCATTCTACGCCATGCCTCTCCCTTAGTCCCTACAATGGTCATACTACACCTTGCCTCTCCCTCTAAGTCCATACAATGGTCATGCTACACCATGCCTCTCCCTTAGTCCATACAATGGTCATACTAAACCATGCATCTCCCAGTAAGTCCATACAATGGTCATACTACACCATGCCTCTCCCTAAGTCCATACAATGGTCATTCTACGCCATGCCTCTCCCTTAGTCCCTACAATGGTCATACTACACCATGCCTCTCCCTCTAAGTCCATACAATGGTCATGCTACACCATGCCTCTCCCTTAGTCCATACAATGGTCATACTAAACCATGCATCTCCCAGTAAGTCCATACAATGGTCATACTACACCATGCCTCTCCCTATAAGTCCATATATGGTCATAATACACTATGCCTCTCCCTGTAAGTCCATACAATGGTCATACTACATACTACACCATGCCTCTCCCTATAAGTCCATACTACACCATGCCCCTCCCTACAAGTCCATACATGGTCATACTACACCATGCCCCTCCCTACAAGTCCATACATGGTCATACTACACCATGCCTCTCCTTGTAAGGCCATACTAGTCATACTACACCATGTATCTCGCTCATAAGTCCATACATGGTCATACTACACCATGCCTCTCCCTATAACTTCATACATGGTCATACTACACAATGCCTCTTCCTATAAGCCTTTATAATGGTCATACTAGACTATGTCTCTCCCTAAAAGTCCAGACACGGTCATACTACACCATGCCTCTCCCTGTAAGTCCATACAATGGTCATACTACACCTCTCCCTTAGTCCATGGTTGAACTACACCATGCCTCTCACTATAATTCCATTCATAGTCATACTACACCATGCCTCTCTCTCTAAGTCCATAGAATGGTCATACTAGAGCATGCCTCTCCCTATAGGTCCATACAATGGTCATACTAGAGCATGCCTCTCCCTATAGGTCCATACAATGGTCATACTAGACCATGCCTCTCCCTTAGTCCATACAATAGTCATACTAGACCATGCCTCTCCCTTAGTCCATACAATGGTCATACTACACCATGCATCTCCCTGTAAGTCCATCCAATGGTCATGCTACACCATGCCTCTCCCTTAGTCCATACAATGGTCATACTAAACCATGCATCTCCCAGTAAGTCCATACAATGGTCATACTACTCCATGCCTCTCCCTCTAAGTCCATACAATGGTCATGCTACACCATGCCTCTCCCTTCAAGTCCATACATTGGTCATACTACATACTACACCATGCCTCTCCCTATAAGTCCATACATGGTCATTCTACACCATGCCTCTCCCTATAAGTCCATACAATGGTCATTCAACACCATGCCTCTCCCTATAGGTCCATTCGTGGTCATACTACTCCCTCTAGGTCCATACAGTGATCATACTACACAATGCCTCTCCCTCTAAGTCCATACAATGGTCACACTAGACCATGCCTCTCCCTTAGTCCATACAATGGTCATTCTACACCATGCATCTCCCTATAGGTCAATCATGCCTCTCCCTATAAGTCCATACATGGTTATACTACACCATGCCTCTCCCTCTAACTCAATACATTGTCATACTACACCATGCATCTACCTCTAGCTCCATACATTGTCACACTACACCATGCCTTTTCCTATAAGTCCATATATGGTCATACTACACCATGCCTCTCCCTAACTCCATACATGGTCATACAACCTCTTAGATCAAGAAGCTGCAGAATATGAATGTCAAAGATGTATTAAACCATATCACTCAGTTAATGGTTTGACATGTGTCATCTTAACTGCAAGTCTCTGGTGAGACTCTAGCTCAACTGATATGTACTTTGTGTATCTTTGTAGAATTTACTTCTTCAAAACAAAACTGCAGAAGACAGATTTTTGATGGACAATGAACACTTTTGCATAAGCTCTTCTTGTCTCTGATTTGCAGATAAACCACTTAATGCTAAAGTGATAATTTTCTTAAGAACCCTCTATACACTGCACACTAAAGAGTTCTGATTCCAAGGTATTTTTCTGCAGTTAGAGTGATCTGCCCTTAGATCTAAATTCTAAAAAAATAGAAATTTACACAATATTACTCAATTTGTAATCAATTCAAGTATTCTCAACAATTTAAAAGGCCAAGATAAATTAACTTAACGTGTTATTTACATGTATTTTCTCTACTGAAGTTATTTCAGTGATTTCTATTCACTAATACTGTGTTGTCTTTGAACATTTTTCCCGGGGTAAATGCCACGCACAATTGAAAATTAAATAAATAAGCTCAATATTAACTCCTTTATACAATATAATTTTCTCAATGTCCAAAAAAATTTTTTGCAGTCGTGTAGAGAGGGTCCTTAAATGCAGTATCCAGATTTGACAGTTTACACAGGGACATGTTTTGTGCCTTATTTATATTATTAAACAGAGAAATATCAATGAAAAATATCGATCAGGTACCTTTTTTTATTTCTTTGACACTGACACACTCTTCATAAACATTTCAGCCTTTCATGCATTATTCTCAAATACAGTAGAAGTTCTTGACCCATTTTTTCAGAAACTAAAACCTATTTTCCAGTGCAGCTGGTAGTGTTTACAAATTTATAATACAGAAAATTAAACACAGAATACATCAGACATAAATCTTGAAGATAAAATTGTTTTTCCTTTTTGGCAGATTGCCTGGCAATATGCCACAAAGAAATGCAAGCAATTTTTGTTTAATCAAAAAGGAGTAAGAATTTTTTAACCAATGTTTTTTTTTCTCATTGTTTATATGAAGTAGGAAAAGTCCTTTTCTCATTTATCCTCATAATCTGAGGTGGTATTTGATATCAATTTTCCTTAAGTTTATATTTCAAATAATTTATCAATCAATGAAAAAAAAACAAGTTCTACTCTATTTTTTCTCAAAGAAAAAAGTGTTAAATTGAATATATATTCATAATTTCAAAACATTCCATTCAAAAAGACAAAGATTTTTGTTTGTACTAAGGCTGAAGTCAACTAAGAGGTCATAAAAAAAATATAAAATGCTGTAGCCCAGTCTTGGCTGAATGAAGCTATTCACTTGTTCAAACCAATATACCTTCAAATTATATGTAAAAGCACTATAAATACACAAAATGTAAACATTTTGTTTAAAAGCAAGAAATTTTAACAGACAAAAAATGTACATTGCAAAATAGTACCAGACAAAATTTGTCAAGCATACAAAATTAACTATATTAAGTACAGATCATGATGCTAAAATGAAAAAAAAATCTTTTAAGCACTAGTGTGAAAATGACTAGTTGTGCATATTCTGAAAAAGTGAATTTTTTAGAGTTGTTTAAAGTTCATACCTGACATTCAATCAGAACTTATTTAAACTAGCTCTGTCCATTTGTTCCAATTCCTTTCAATCTTGTTTAAGGGGAAAGATCAATTAAATACTTACATCACATAAAACAGCACATTTTGTGTGAGAGGACCTCACTAAATCTAGCTTTCTATCCTAGCATCATACACACTGACATAGTCTGAATACCTATTGATTCCAGGCCGAGCAATAATAAAACTGGATCAGTTGTATTGCACTCACTCAGCAAATTCTTAGAATACTGATATATAAAATCAATCAATGCTGTGAAAGGAAAAGAAAAAAAAATACTGATTTTAAAATCAATCTCACCTTGCATAAAAGTAAGATCAAAGCTTTAGTTAAGAAAGTAAGTTTTGCAATACTACAAGGCTAAGCCTATACATAGCTGAGGATTCTGCTTTGTGGATGGAAGAAATTAATTGAGATTCTCTCATTGTCTACAATACAACCTTTTACACACATATTCCTTCTATCTCAAAAAAAAAAAAAATAATAATGGCAAAGGTATGAGGTTCAGTACAACATAAATGCAAAAAAAGTTATTGTGCAAAAATCTGACTAACAATATCAAACCCTTTACCCAATCAAAAAACATTTCTTCTGAGAACTAGAGAAATATATTAAAGGATGTTGTTGAAGGCATATGAATATCTTCTCCCTAAAGTGGTGTGTTTAATTTTGGCAGAATAATTAGAGAGCTGGTTCTTGTGGATTGTATATAGCTGTTACTTAGTAACACCTAAATAGAATGGGCATTGTGAGTATGAAATTAATTCAGGTTAGACGCTATTTAAAATCCCCGAAACATGCTTTAAATTCCCTTTCAAATAAAGAAAGTTGTCCTATCAAAAAAAGATTTCATGCTTTCAAGGTAATAATGAACTATATATCAAAGTATTTTAAATATTCAAAAAATTTACATTACTTTCTCAATAACAGGATCTGAGTTAGCTTATAGCTGCACAGCTATACATCCCATGTGTATCCGATGTAAAATTGTACAATAGTGTAACAATTTCCTACAATATTCAGTTTGTGAAATAAAAGATGTATATTACACTTGGTCACACTTATATCAAACATTAGTGTATTTGTACAGTACATGTATGTAAATAGGGTACATGTACTTGCATTGCTTTGTTATAGAGATCAGGCTTTATTGTGACATACAATGTAAGTCAATCCTACAGAGTATTAATCTCTCGTTTGTGGAACCTTCAACTTCAGTTGAGTATTTTAAGCAATAAAAGCAGTCATGTATAATTTAAAAGGCAATAACCTTCATGACCTACACCTTATGATCCATTTCAAAAATTGTTGCATTGAACTTGTTCTTATTTGTATCCAATTCATAACAAAGGATGCTTACAGCATTCACTGTAAATACATATACCAAAGACATCTTTAACAAAATATCTATTTTTAAATATCATATATATAAGTCAGGGGTTTTCAACCTATGATTCAATAAATACAGGCAATCACAGACATTATCACTCAAACTGGAACTGTTTGGAGCCAAGTTCTGAGAGAGGAGAACTCAGGCTCTTTCCAACCACCTTCTTTATAGCACCTCGGATGGAATTACTCGTAGAGTTGGGCTGATGAATGGGTGAGGATGAGAGACTAGGAGAAAGGGGAGGGAGTGAAATGTCCAACTTTAAGTATTCGTCATCTGGAATCAGGGACCGTAACTTGGTCACGGCGTTCAGCAGAGCTTTCCTCTCCAGCTCCAGTGTCTTTATGTGACTTTTAAGTTTGGACTCGTTTGTTTGTAAGTTGTGAATGGTTATTTCCAGACTCCTATGGTGACTGTGGATATGCTGGATTTTCTCCAGCAATTCCATGTTTTGTTGTTTCAGATTGCGATTAGCATCTTCCAGTTTGTGATTTAAGTCCGTGTCTCCTCTTTGAGGAGAGAAGAGCATCTCTTCACGTAAGACATGATACTCCACCTCATAGGCCTGAAGCTGTTTACTAATATCCAACTCAAATACCTAAAACATTCAACAAATATTGATAAATATTTGAACACATGTAAAAGGAATCTTATTATTTTAAACGTGCAATTAAGAGAACATGAATGTGATGTGAAAATAGCCTCAATCCAATACATATGTTTTATCCATTGAATCTAAGCATAAATGATTAAAAACACCTGATGAAAAAAAAAATAGGTAAGGTAAAAGGGAGAAAATCAATACCTGATTAATGACTCTTTCCATCTGAATGACTCCCATCTCAGGAAGAGTAGTTTTGATGAATTCCACGATTGATTCAAAGGAATCACACTGCAGAATCAACTCCTTGTGGTTACCTAGCAACACCAGCGCCACCTTCAGCAGAATCTCCACCCCCTGAACCAGCAGCAGATCTAACAAATAGAAACAAAAGCATTTAAGGAATGTTTTTAAGTTTAGTGTGAGTTATTGGTGTGTGAACCACACAGACTTGTCACGTAGGCAAATTTTTCGCTAGCGCTTCATGAAATATGCCTACGTGACAAGTCTGTGTGATTCACACACCAATAATTCACACTAAACTTAAAACATTCCTTATATTTACATGTTTGAAAGCACCAAAAATATACTGTAAAACGAGAAAATTTGGCGCATACATATTTTAGCGCAAACGCAAGTGGGAATGCATTAGCGCAAATAAATTTTAGCGCTTGCACTTGTACGTAAAATATATATATATGTGATATTTTGTTTTTTTTTTAAATCCACACCTGTAATTGACTTTTTGGTTTGTCAAGCACAGAAACACATTAGTACCCCCGTATATCAGTAAACATTACTTAACTTTACCGCGTTCGTATCACATAAACGCGGTACAATGTTAAAATTTATTTTATTTCTATTTTCATTTAAAAGAAATGGAGTATTTCTTCATTTAAATCGTATAAAAACATTGGATGCATCGACAGAAAATTACTTAGATAAAACGGTAATCCTAATCATGTATTGTCTGCAAGCTCAATTGCCATGCTTGATTGCATTGTTTACCTCGAGGCGATAGATGATTGACACGCCGAGAAGCCAAATTTTGAGGGTGCTAATGATAATAATCGGCAAACAACTACCAGGGTAACAATAGTTTAATTAAATTATAATTTGGCAGAACTTTCTGTCCTCAGAACATGTGCAGTGCTAGTGTGTATATGAAATCCAATGACCATTCGACATTACGTAATCGCGCGTTCCTGTTTACATGTACGTATGTTAAAGCTTTGAACACACACAAAAAAATGATATTTAGAAATCCTTTAGCGCACAATAAATTTTAGCGCTCAGGGGCTCTAGCGCCAAAGGCACTAAAATTAGTAGTGCGCCAAATATTCTCGTTTTACAGTACTCAATATTTGAATTTCTCACTGCCCTATATCGTTATACTTTTATTAATGTCACCGTAGCCTTCTTGTGACGTCATGTTACTGCATGTTTCTATGTGTATATTTCTATGTGTGAACATACACGAAAATGGTATTCAAATCCATTTCACAGTTGGCTTAGTAGAAAAACACAGCCAATGTAAATATTTAATACTAATCATCATAAAATATGTGAAGTTATCTTATATGAAGTTGAGAGTGGTGGATCACATTTTTATCAAACATATCCCCTTCTAACATTCTCTCTCCTCCAATCAGCAACTTTTCAACACTGTTGAAAACTATTTTCAGATTTATTTTTACATATACTTGTGTATTTCAAACTCATTCAAAAAATTGCAACAAATCATCAAGTACAATGTGACTGATGTAAAAGTATCCATGAGTTACTCATTAAAACTTACCAAAGACTCTAGCAACAAAGCCTAAAGGAAACTGAGAAGCAAACAAGGTAAGGAACCAGGGAGCAGCATACAGATTAGGAGCAATCTCGTGTTCCTCAAAATGGTCATGGAGGTCCTTGTAGTTGTCAAAGATTAATCTTGTCAACTGGTACAGCTGCACCTAAATAAATACAAACCTAAAGTTGGTTAAATCTTCAAGTCTGTAAGAGAATTAGAAACCAATTAGCAAAAGGTCTCATTTTTATCTTTTTGCCCTCTGTGTATGCTATTATTCTGTCTGTCCTACTTGGTTTTCCAGACTTTCTTCAATGGGGTTGCAGATTTTGATCCAATTCTTGACATGCAAATCTATCTTTACAAGTTACAGCTCAAGCACAGCATGTATTTTGTTCCTATGTGATGAGTTTTGACAGAATTAAAGCCTTTTGACTTGGAATCTTAATTTCTAAGGGAACTTGATTACACAATGTGGTAGGGGTATTGATTATGAAATACTCTCAGAATGTATGTTGATGTAAAGGGTGTTAAGAAAGTTCGTTCCACATTTTTCTTTTATTTTCAAAAAGAAATACGATGAGAAGATATTTACAATTTGTGATAATTCATGTTTACAGTGTCCATTATTGCTACTGATAAGGTTTTAACGGTCTTTTATTGAATCAATAAGGGGAGGGCAGGTATTAAAACAGATGACGTCTGTTCAGAAAAAATATGGATGATGCATATTTGTGACATATATTAGTGAGCACGCAGGTCAAAACATCCTTTCAAATACTATGCAAAAATTATCAAATCTGTGAAATATTTCAAATGACAAACCTATTCTTTTGAAAAGTGATATATTGTACTTATACCTACGCTCATCAGCTTGTGTAATGTAAGATAAGCTATGAAGTAACAAAAGTAAATAATCCTTTATTCTCACTCGAAATGACCAGCATTTCTATCATTTGGGTGCTTTAAAGATGTTATATATTTTTTCAGATGGAAGAAAAGTCCTATAATTTCCTGCTAGAAATGATTTGCTATAAATCTGAAGCACACTCTTGTGATTTAGTCAGACTTGAAAATTCATCTCTTTAGTTAAGCACTACTTTGAATTTTTTGAAAATATTTCATCATGGAACGAACTTTCTTAACACCCCTTACATACCTGTAATGGCATCATGTTGGGCTGGAACTGTCTCCTGAGACCAAGGTTAAACATCATGTGTCTCAGAGTCTCAAAAGCATGCTCCTCCTCCATCTACAATTATTTATTAAAGATAACTTTCACCTTCACTATTATGTTGCTATTTTCTCTTGAGCACATACCATAGTTACATGTATATCAACATAATTTTTTTTATACGTGTTATGATAAAAAAGTGCTTAAAATGTTTATTTTAAGATTCCTATCACTGAACAAAACAATATATTCAAGACACTATCATGATGGATTGAAATAAGCTGTAGGAGTTGTAACTCTCAATTTTTTTTCAGTCTTACATGCATTAGTAATATCCCAGCTATAAAGCTAAGTCCTTGACAATATCCCACTTCCTTATCCAGGAGGCTGTAGGCCTTCAATAGATTATACAGGGCCAGCTGTCCAGGACCCAGCTGTGTGGCGAAGTAGGGGTGACCAGGGAATGTACGACCTGAAAAACAAGTATTTCTTTAGTATTGCACTAAAAGTACCTCATATCTCTAACCACTGCTTTGTGCAATCACTGGAATTTTTTTTTTTGTGAGAGAATGCAAATTTATTTATCATTTTTTTATATAAAGAATCTTTTAGTAACACATATTCCATGACATACAATCACTGGTAAGATAAATGTTTGAGATCAGATGGCATTCTTAGACTAAATGCCAATTTAACACCATGCTGAAATAATGCTTTCATAGCATTGTGCTGAAAATAGCAATACATATATAGATAAATGCACACTATAATTACTTATTAGGTGTGATACTGCCTGTCTACAGAAATATATTGAGTTGATAATCTCATAATTGACTAACAGTCACATTTACCTAAGTCTATGAGTATGTTGTGCATGTACTCTGTCAGGTCCTTCAGCAGTTCAGTGTAGGACTTCTGAGGGGTCTGGTTCTCTATCTCAGGGAACTGAAGCTTGTGTTGTTCAGTCAGCAGCCACCAGATGTCACCTCGATGTGTCTTGGGAACACCTATTTTAAAATCAAAACTTTATGAAAAACATTTTCTCAAGAAAACCATGAATTACACAATTTTTGTCATATACGCTTATAGCAAAGTCATATACGCTTATAGCAAAATACCAGGGACCAGCAATATTTATCAGCAATTATTATCAACATTATTCATTATATTTACAATAGGTTTGTATTCATTATAACCATGTTTTACTGTATGTTTTACATGTATGTGATGAAAAATAGGGAGATACTAAAAGGTAAGGAAGTGAATATATAATGCATGTATGGCCTACATGCTTTTGGGGCTGTGCTATATAGAAAGAAAATGTTCTTGCACTTGTTGAACACAGCTAAGCAGGGTTTGATAGGATTCTATTGACTTTATTGATAAAATTGTGAGCTGCTTTTGTATATGTCAGGTTTTATCTGTTGGGATCATTTATCATGTCCTCCCATACTTTGGTTACCTCCCTTCAAAAATGGATACCCATGACAAAACTTTTGTAGAAAAGCGGTAGATTTACGAATAAAATCGGTAGGCGGGAGATGGATAGTTTAACATGTATGGTACTAAGGTAAGGAAGTGAAAATCTACATGCTTTTGGGCTGTGCTATGAAGAAAACTTGCCTTGTTGAACACAGCTAATAAAACAAAAAATTAAGTCACTACACAGTAAAAAAATGGGTGTAGGAAGTAATAAAACAAAAAATTATGTCACTATATAAAAATGACACTTCATGTGACTAGAATGAATTTCCTGAAAAACTCTGTACAGATTGACTGGACAGGACTTTTTATGATTGAATCCTTTGCTGTTTTCTGCTTTTTTCATGAATTAATTCCAAGTTGAACATCTTTTCATAACAAAAATTAATGAATAGCTATAATAGAAATAATTATAAAAACTTCCAACAGAATAAATGATGAGATGAAATGGACTTGAAAAAATAGCAATAAATATTTAATGATACATATTGTTGTTTTTTTTTAATTCTCATTTCACCATTAGATGCCCATAAAGGGTTGATGATATAGAATAAATCAATTCTATTTATTGATTATCTCTTGGTGAATTCAAAGAAAAAAGAAAATTATTTGTAGATAAATCAATAAATGAAATAATTAAGGTGTGATGCAAATTTTATTTGGGTTTAAACATAATTCAAAAAAATAAGATTTTATAACATGAAGTCAGTGTTTCATCTATATTGCAACAAAATCTCAAATTAGCATGAAAATTTACAATACTTCTAATGATGTGTCCACTTTTATTGCAAGCACCTTTCAAAAGTCAATGCCAGGCATTCAAACTAACCATGAATAAGATTTCTAATGCACAAAACTGAAAACAATCCTGAATAAATTTACGATCATGAAAGTATTTTTATTCTGTTTTATGAACTGCCAGTATCATCAGTTGGAAACAATGTAAATACCTTGTATGTTATTTACTGACTAGAAAAATAAATTCAAGCAATCTCTATCAATAGCTGCTGCTTTATTTAAACACTAGGCTACATTTCAAATTTCCTATTATACTTGTATTAAATATATATAACCTGTTTTACAATAACTACTGTGTAGTACACAAGTACTGTAAGCTTATCCCTCTAAATGCCCATAAAGCTACAAGTAGTGAAAAAAGCCTTTCTCTAAATATACTTCCAGTTTTATAAAGCTTCATTTTTTAGCTCCAAACACCATTCCAAATAATACCTCAGTACGGAAATTGTGATAATTTTCTCCATACTAGAATTTGTCCATTTAAACACATAAATAAAGTGAATGCACAAAAAAAAAAATCTTACTTCAATTATTTCTGAGAAGTATTGACCTTTCATGCATAACAGAATTCCCCATCATGCCTAAAGGATTGATTGCCTTACCTGGGAAAACTTTCAAAGATTTTTTTCCCCACAGCACAAACACTTCTACATATAGCAACATGCAAATTTCTTAATAGTTACATCAAAAATAATTTTTAAAATTTTTTTTTCCAGCTCTAATTGAGAAAGAATTCACAGTTTATCATTAAGATAATATGAATGGTCTGTAAACCCTTACTTTTAATGTCCTGTTTTTCCTTCTCTATCTTCAGAAGTAGCACTGTTTGCTGAATGGCTTTCTTCCATAGAGCCCTCAGTTCTTCAGGACTTCTTGTTTTTTCAGCTTTTGGACTCTCAGTCTCAGATTTTTCTATTGAACACACAAAAAATATTTAATTTTGACAAAATCTCAAATTCACTAACACAGAAATTTCAAATATTCTTTAATTTAATTTATTTAAAAACAAATTTTCTAAGCATATAATCTTGGGCTGCAAGGACTATCCAATCAAATTATCCCCACCCAATACACACACACTAATTTGTCACAATATATCTTCTATACTAGCAAGAGGAGGCAACCACAATTCTTTACCTAACACAGTTGGGGGTTTGTCAGCAGCTCTGGCGGGAGTAACAACTCTGTTGAATATTGTCTGTCTCCAGGACCCTCGCCTGCCAGATACTGGGGTTTCCCCGTTCCCTGACTGAAGACTTGGTGATGCACTCTGTCGGCGTTTTGACAGACTGCCAGGTGATCCCCCTCCTTCTGTCAGTAAAAACCTGAAAAATATTAAAGTAGGATTACATAAACTTACTAAAATCACCTTTAAATTAAAAAAAGGCAAAATTGTTAGAATAAAACTAATTTTTGTGTAACTAGTGGGATATGGTCTACTGAGTTCAATAACACAGCTGCAGTGTGACTAAAAAATCTTAAAAAAAAAAAAAATTGATCAATCAATTTTACTTACATCTGTTTCATGGGACTATTCATACTAGCTCTGCGGCCAGATTGTTCCCTGAAATCAGAAGCCCTGTCTAAATTTGTTATGTTCGTTAACTTGGACACCCGATCAGGATCCGGAACAGCCCCCTCCGTGGAACTCCGAGGACGAGATTTTGGAGATGATGGAGGACTAGGAAAGCTGAAGTGGACCTCCTTAACAGCTGCTGGGGAGGGCATGGGGGAGGCCTCAGGGGTAGAGCATAGGGAGGAATCCTGTGGAGGGAAATAATGGTCAGTACAGAGGAAATTCTAGATACTTTAAAAACTTACTTATACAAATCTTAAGATCCTTAATTGTAGAACATACACTTTACCCTCCAATGAACGTATCTGTTATTTTGGTTCTTACTTAGTTATTTAAAGGCAAAAATTGCTCTGTACAAAATTAATTAATTCCATAAAATATTTTTTTTTAATATGAATTCATTTTATATGAGAAAAAGTTTGTTTACCATAGACTTTGAGAAGCTACTTTCACTTTCAGTTGTTCCACTCCGATGCCGAAATCTTTCTCTTGCTTCATTTGGCTTTCTTTGCTGACCAAAAAAAAAAGAAAGAAAATGAAAACAAAATGATGAAAGTGAGATTCCATATCTTACTGGAATAAATATATTTCCTCAAATTTTACAAGAATGCAACAAGTAGGAAATAAATCTATGGAAAGTTCACACCACTTACTCCACTTTCAGCAGTGCCACTGCGATGTCTAAAGCGCTCTATTGTTTCATTTGGTTTTTTGTGCTATTGCAGAAATTGAAAAATAAATGTTAGGTGAAAATGAATTCAAACTGCGCACAACAAAACTGTAAATTAAAAATGTAAGATGAAAATTGTTAACCCATGAAACAAGCAAATTAAATGTTAAATACTAACTGGAGCTATAAAACTATGACTAGTGTTTTGAAAACAACATAAATCAAGGTAAATAACAAACTTTATTATATGATTGAATAATTTCCATCTCTCTGATTGGCTGAGATTCAACTATGTTGGAAAAATATTACGTTGTATTGACCTGCACGTGACGTTCCAGGTCAATACAAGGATTTATTTCCTCTACATTGATCTAAAAATAGATTGGGAAATTCCAAATTGATACAAATTGTTTTGGAAAGCTATTTAAATGACTATGATTTTTATTTTCATGTGAACAAAACATAAGCGAATATATATTTTAGGTGAGGGTGGTAAGAGGGGATGCAGGGACCCCCCTCCAACACTTTAACTGAACAACAATTTTTTTTTAACTTTTTTACTTTTTGGCAGTCAGTTTTCCCTGATAATACTCTTTTCTTTCAAAATCTATCCTATAAAAAGACTGACATTTTATATTTTTTTCATGGCAACTAAAATTGATTTTTTAAAAAACATTTCAAATTGATACAACTGGTAAGGTTTATTCACATTTTAATTCTGCTTCTCTCTTGTATTTGGCTAGGACTTGATAAAATAAGCTGTATCATTTTATCAGTGAATCATATAATAAAACAATTATTGCTGGATTTTGAGGTCAATACAATGATTTAGCCATCTTCGAAGTACAATATTAACCTTGCCCTTTGGGCTCGGTGAATATTGTACTCCTCAGATGGCTAAATCATTGTATTGACCTCAAAAACCAGCAATAATTGTATAATAGAATTGCTTATCAAATATTAATTAAAACGAAAATTTAGTGTCAACAAGTTAGGGACACAGCACATGTAGATTTTATAATGATGATCACTCACCGGTACTTTAGCCATGAAATTTTCAAAAGAACTGGTTAAACTCTTCTTAAAGTTCAGCGCAGCAGCCCCCACACTTGAGCGGCGATTCTCAAACAGGCTAAACTGTAATAGTTAATGCCAACATTAAACAGTTATTCCATTTTTTCCCAATATACTGTAGACATACTTTTTTCCACTGGGTGATAATTCCATGGAATCTCCATTTCTGTTTAATCTGCGTGTAGAAAATTACGCGGATTTCCTAGACTGTCACTATATGCCTTACATTTACATGTATATCAAGAATGCGTGGACAAATTTCTGCAGAAAATTTGTGACCACGTACATAGTGTAAATTAATACCACGCAGAAAAAAGTACCTCTACAGTAAACACAATACGAAAGTTAGTTTTTTAAATTTCAACTTTAACTTTTTTATGCCTTCTATTTATATTTTTTCACATGATCTTTATAAAAAATCATCCATAATTTACATCACATGTGACCCTTTTTGTACCTCTTGTTTAAAGTGAGGTTTGTTGGGATCAGAGATATGGGAATGGTCCTGTTGTTTGGCTTCACACAGTTTTCTCAGTTCTATCATCAGCACCTCAACTATTTCTTCATAACTCTGTGGATTCTCAGCCTACGTAATAAATAATAAAGTAATAAAGTTTATATTTTCATACAATGATAACTGCAAATAAACTGCAAAAAATTAAAATTTTTCCAAGTCCAAGACCAAGGGGCATAAATCTATCAAAAATTGCTTGATTGTACCCAAAACACACCTTGACCTAGATTTTCTTATGATAGATCTGTATATCAAAGAACTACAAACGATTGTATTGCTCTCCCACCTACCTCCAAGTCAATTTTCAAAAATTAACATATTCGATGAATTTTCAATACTTTTTATAGAATAATTAAATGGATTTTCATTAAACATTACTTATTTGGGAAAACAAAGAGAGATAACTCTAAATTTTTGGTGAAACTTGTGTTTTTTCATTATAGAAATCAAAAATTCCTTTTCACAGGTCATATGGACTGTTATTTCACAAATTCATACCAAAGCTTTTTGTGTGTCATGGGGGGGGGGACAATAGTTTATTGACAAAAAATGACAAAAATGTTTATTTTCCAACCATTTCAAAGCTATTTACAACTTAAACATTATATTTTATTAATATATTTATATTTTATTTATTTGCTTAATACATAGGAAAAGATATAAGAAACATTTAATCATATCCAAGACTATTTCAATGGAAAACATTGTCTAGCCCCCTTTTTTCAAGAGCTGGAGTTATGGATAATTTACTATTTAGCGCTGGTATTAAGTAGGGATGGGTATCGCTGAAAATTTCGTATCGCGATATATCACGATCTTTTCCCCAAAATATCACGATAATATCATGATATTTTTACAAGCAATTTTTACAATGAATTTTATGAATAGTCATTATTTTTCTTAAAAATATGCCAGAAAAAACAAAATTTCACTTCCTTGAAACTTTTATGTCAATAAAACTAATCATGTTTGGATGGTAAGATACTCTTTTTTCACCTTTTACAACAGTTTTAGACTTTCTGTAATTGTAATTTGAAAGATTGAACAAATAAATGAATAATTTATGGACTTTATATTATGCAACTAAATACCAGTACTTAGGTCTCCGTATCACGATACGTATCACGCAACAAAAAATCGCGATATTCCGGTATACCGATAAAATCGCACATCCCTAGTATTAAGACAATTCATCAATTTCCATTGAACTGTTCTTTGTATTAAACAAAGAATTCATGGCCAACTTGCAATTTATATTGAATTAAATGGTTGCAAAATGTAGGCGGGAATCGATAGTTAGCGTGCGTATTTCATTCATTTTATGTGCAACCTCTGCAAAGAAAATGAACAGAAGCTGTTGGTGGGCCAACAGACAGACAGACCAATCGACAGATAGCAGCAAAAGCAATATACCCTCCCTTCTTTAAAGGGGGCCATAAATATGAAAAGAAAGGGGGGTTAGCCCTGAAATGCTTATGTTCAAATTTACATAATTAATCATTCTTTATCAGTATAACATTGAAAATTGTAGTAAAGATATAGAGGAGTTTATCCAGTTATCTACCTTGAGAACAGTATGAATTGGGGCAGAGTCTTTTTCTTGCAGATTATTAACACATTCCATCAAACGTTTGTGGGCTTCCTGAGGATCCAAACCTATAAAAGAAATCAGAGTCATCCAGATATTTGCAGTGGGCTTGTAATTCTACCATAAACTACAAATTCTTTGACAGCTTTCCTGTCCAGATTCTGAACAATTCCTTTACAGATACTAGTATGTTATAATTTCATTGCTTATCTCATAAATCACATTTTTTTCCCCAACTCTCTCATTACATTGAATAATTGATATTTTATGATCTGCTCTAGGGAATGCTATAGCCATTTGTTGTGAAAGATAGGGATTAAATTTGGACTACTGCTGATCTATCAATTTTGGATCAATAGTTTTATTAACAGATTAGTACTTTTATCCCTTAAAAAAATCACTTTTCTACATAATCACAATTATCTATTTCATATCATTTTCATTTAAAATTGCAAGTTCACTCTGATACTGTCCCTTTTTTTGGTTTTTGTTTCTTTATATTCATTCACGCTTTTAAGTCCCTTTGATGAAAGCAGCATTAACATGATTAAAGACATAACACATACATTCAATTTCATCAAGCAAACTAATAATACACTTAAGATTTGTAAAGAGCACTAAAATTATTTCATCTTCTTCACATACTGAGATCTATACAATTCCAAAATACTATAATCATTATATAATCAAATTCTATTTTTGATATCTTATGAGAGAATTAATGCACATACAATGGAATATTTTAAATTAATACTGGCACTCCATATTATTCCTTACTGTATATCAAAGATTCAGCGATATTTTTAAAGATTTGGATCACCAGTGACGTTATAACAGGGTTTATTGCTGGTACAGTGTGATTGGCACTACGAACCATTGATTTCCTGACACAGGCGATGGAGTTGATGCAGGGGACACATGATACAGATCTGCTGCCGCTGCTCATAAGCGCTCCGGAAAGCCGATCTCAAAACCATCATTATCTCGTCTACCTACAAGTCCTCGAATAAATCAAAAATCTGATCCGCGTTCCCAAAGACAGCTCAATTATCCAATTTTCTTCTTGTCAAAATCATGCGAACTTCTTATTACCGGGTATATTTTATCCACAAATGGAAACACTCATGAGAAATGAAATATGAAGTTTTAAAGTGGAGGTATTTGGATTTTTTCCCATTTATATTTCAAGAACTTTTCAGACATTTAAGCTCTAAATCATTAAATTGTTATTAAGCAATATGGATCAATACTTACAATGCTGAAACTGTGACATTTCATCAGGTAACACACAAACACATTTCCTTTCTCTCTGGCAATGAATCCGAAAGTATCCGATTTTTCTTTGCCCTTCAAACAAATCAAATAAGCGATATGTTATACATGCATGATCTGTTCAACCTCACTTTGGCCTAGAATGAACTTGTATAACAACATTTATGCTCATGTACCAATTATTTTCAATTTCAATTTTGTAAAAAAATTTTAAAATTTAAATCTTTTGCTTTCTTAAAGCATTTTAACTAAGAGCTCAATAATTTCCAAATGATCCCAATATTTTTTTTTTCATTAACAAATCAGAAAGGATTCCAACAAATCAGTGTGCTGAGCATAGATCTGACAGTTTCTTTGGAACTACACATTATCTTAAAACATAAGCTTTTCAAGGAAAGGATTCATTAATCCACATAACTTTATTTTGGGAAAACCATCTATATACTGGCAAATATTTCAATCAAATATTCTGTTCTTACCTGTGAAACAGAAGCAATGTCCTTGAACTTTTTTTCAAGTATAGTATGTTTTTTGTCCAAACTGATCAGTGAAATTTCACTACCGCCCAGTCTGAAAAGCATAGCCCTATTAGGCTCACTAGAAATATCACTAGCACTGTCCAGAGGTTCAGAGAATTGTACGCGCTGGTCTTTAGTGTTGCCCTCCCCAGTCCCTCCTGCATTCGAACACTCGCTCAAGTCCTCTTTGGAATTGTCCGAATAGTACAGACCGAAGGAATTAGCCAGACTCCCTGAGGAATTCTCCAGTACATTCTCCGTCGAGCTGAACTCGTCCGTACTGTTACTCGGACTTTCTACTTGTGGCCCCGAGCTTAGGATCTGCTTTTCCAACTCGTTTTCCGTGACGGTCACGGCCGTCTCCAGATTGGTGGGCAGACTTTTAACACTGACCCCACTCCCGTGTCGCTTTCTCTCCATTTCTGTTTCTCTTTGTTTCTGTTTTCGGTCCTGTTTCTGTTTTTCTAAACGATTGCACATTCTGTCTACTTGATCACAGTTAATCTTTTTAGTGTTGAGTTTGGCCTTTCCTAGGTACAGGACTTCGTAGAAAGCTTTAGCGGGCTCATTCATTTTGCTCTCGCCCATATCAACAAATAGGTCTCTCCTTGTGGCTTCCTGGATGGAGCTGAATAACTCTGGGACCTATAAAGAAAAGTCTAATTTAGTCATGCAAATGGCTTGTGCATTGGAATGGGCATTACACAAATAAAGACACTACTTCAGACCATAGAATAATGAAGAGCTATTCTGGTCTTCATTCTAGCTGAAATCAATGCAATATGTACAATTTTTCGTGTTCTCTTATTATGATAAAGAACCCTTCTTGGCCATACTGTCTAATATATTCATAATCTTTATTGTAATAATAAACCTAGTAAATTTTTACCAAGTTACATCATTTATGAGTGAAGAATTTTTTTTATCAGAGAAACTTTACTAGATTTATATGTTATATCTTTATTCAAGAGCTAAAAAAAAAAACTGTATCAGCATGTGCATATCAATAAAATTTCACCTTCAATCTATCCTACAATGATAAATACTTTTTTCCCCTCTTTTATATTCATGGCTCTTCAGCCTCAAGTGTACATTTAAACTTTGAAGACCTTGTGCAAGTTTAGCTTCCGTTACTACTGATGAAAATGACACAATCATTTCCGATTCTCCTAGAGAGCTGTTTATCAGTTTTCTTGTCCAACCTCATTCCTTCATCATAACAAAGAAACCCCAGTTAATTAACATGGATAAATTACGAATCTTAATGTGACATTGGCACACACTCAATGTCAGAAAGGTTTTACAACACAAATCTGATCAGTTCATGACGTCTTTATCCTGTAACAAGTATATCTGTATAATGCATTAAAATACATGTACTGCTTTCCTTTGGAGTAGACGAAATAATTGGAATCCTACTTTTTTGCGGATGGGGGTTAAATTGTGTAATGGGGGGAGGAGGGAGGAAGTAAATCACTTTTTATTCCCGAGAACCCTATGTTCACTTAATTATAACTCGCGAGTCTGCCTGCAAGCGAAAATTTAATTCTTGTGTATTGAAAAAATTTATATATTATTACAATAATTACAAGAGATCGCAAAATTTTGTCTCACTTATAAATACCAGAAAGCTATATTCAAGTTGGAAAAATAATGCGTCTTGAATATATAGTGTTATTTCCTATCTAGCTTGTAACACGAGCTTTGATTGGTTACAAAGTCGGGTGTAAATATCCGTGCACCCGACTTGAGCCGGGTGTAAATAAACGTGACGTCACAATGCATACATTCTCTATGATAAAAGCTAAAAATCATGTTTACAAAGCATTTTTATGGGTACAAAGGAAATAAATTCGTTATCCAGGTCCAATCAAGGGTGTACGGGGATATATAGTATGAAAACCCGGGGTACAGTACTACACCCTTGATTGAACCTGGATAACTAATAATCTTCAGTACTACATCCTTATAGATATAAATATATCAACCCGATCTCGGTGAACTCAACTGAATGATGTATCAAATACAGATACATCATCCTGATAATTCAAATAAAGTATGTCATACACTAAGCTGTTTTAGCAAGATTCTACATTGAAATTCATGCTTTCTTGTGAAAATCTCACCATACAAGACAGCTAGTGTCACTTTGGGGACATGAGGCATACCTGATCTATACTTTACACTTTTTTTTTCTTTTTTTTAATAGGAATTCAATGACAGAGTAAAATCTCACGGTCAAACTTGACCCTACATTCCATCACGATCTACATGTATATACTTTTTTGTTTGCAGAAATTAACCATAAAGTAATGCAATCATGTGTGTTCGTTTGTGGGAGAGCAAGTTGGCGCTGTATGAAACAGAAGTGAAGTAATCTGCATCGGGATTGATTTTCAAATGCTGTTTTGAATAATACATATGCTTTTGGCTAACAGATTCTCTGCCTTTTCTTTTTTGAAGGGGGGGAACCAGAATGAATTCAGCAGAAGTCGTAGTAGTTGATTATCCTGACTTCACAAGGAAGGTTGATGACCAAGATGACAGTTTTCGCTAGACCTAAATTCAACATTGAATCAGCCTCATGCAGGAGTCAGATGATGACTTTATCTACCCCCTACCTTATCACAGAGATCCTCAAATTCATTAGGCTCCTCAAACGAGACCAGCTTACTAGCCTTATATTTCTGTCTCTTGACGGCCACAGACTCTTTACCAGACCTCCCTGCTGGCTGAATCTGGTCCGATAGACCACTCTCCTGCCCTGGCTTAGGAGCCATGATAGACGTCACAATAAAACACAAAAGCTGTCCAAAATGTAACCTGTCACTTCCTCACTGAATGAAACCTAGACGTCTACTCCCAATACACATAGTCCTACACTAAGCATATACAATGTATATATATGAGTTGAAGTATATAGGATATCCTTAAATACTTAGTCGCTTGAGTTTTTATCACTCAGAAAACATCCGGATATGTCATATCCAATCAACTTCCAGGTCACATGTTAGATATGTATGTAATAATGTATAACAAATATGTTGAACCTTTATTAGTTAGGTATTTGTAAACAATGAACTGGTTATTTTATCAGCATCTAAATATGGATTGCACCTGGGGTTCTTTCTCTCTACAGTACATAGCATTCCCCCTGTGAATCATCACTGTATCCTATTATTATAATACATTTTAAAAAACATAAGACAAATGTTACTTCTTTTGTTTTGTTTCAGATAATATGCATTAGCTTGTAATTAAAGTATATATCTATGATTTATGATAACTTTTGTCGCAAAAGTTAGAAAGAGGTTTGACATCTTTTGTAAATAACCCTTGCTTGTCTTTCTGTACCCAGTCATCTCAAGCTATGACCTGAATGGGATTTATAAAATAGAGAAATTGTCAACAAATATACATGTACATCATTCTGTCCAGGGGATCTAGGTAAGGTTGCAGATGCTGGAATTATTTTATAACATTCATAAACCCATCTCTTGTTCAAAAACTATTTAAGGATATCCTTAATGGTTTCTCATAAGATTTTAGACATAGGTTTTATTTCATGGGAAGAGAAATTAAGCTAATTAAGTATGAATAATTATGCTCTTATGACAAAGCAATCTTTTTGTCATAAAACACACATTCAAAAGTACCCCCTTTTTTAAAACTAATTAATCTAAATGTCATTGTTGCAAAGTTCGAAAAGGAAAACTGTTTCAGAAGAAAAATAATTTTTTGGTTTTTATGCCCCCGTAAACGAGGTTTCGGGGGTATATAGTTTTTGTCGTGTCCGTCTGTCTGTCTGTCTCTCTGTCTGTCTGTTTGTCCGCAAAAACTTTAACCTTGCCCATAATTTTTGATTAGGTGGCACCATGACTTTCATATTTCACATATGTATTCCTTGTGACACGCCCTTTCTTTGGGTACCACCAAATTTGACCTTTTGACCTTGACCTTGGAGTTTGACCCACTTTTACATGAAAATTTTAAACTTTTTCTTTGGCCATATCTTTCGAACAGTTGACACCAGGACATTTATACTTCACATATGTATTCTTTGTTAAAAGACCTTTCATTGGATACCAACAACCTTGACCTTTTGACCTTGACCTTGTAGATTTCCACACTTGTGAAAAAACATTAACCTTGGCCATAACTTTTGAATGGAAAGGGATAGGGCTTTCATACTTCAAATATTTAATCATTGTGAGAAGACCCTCTATTAGATACCAAGAACTTTGACCCTTTGACCGTGACCTATGAGTTTGACCTACTTTAAAAAAGCAAAAATTGACCATAACATTTAAAGGATTAGGGCTAGTGCTTTCATACTTTACATATTTTTTTCTTGTGACAAAACCTTTCATTTGATAACAAGAACTTTGACCCTTTGACCTTGACCTTGAACTTCTTTTAAAAAAATTAGCCTTGACCATAACTTCTGAAGATAGGGTTACGGCTTCCATAATCTACATAAGTATTCTATGTGGCAAGACCTTTCATTGTATACCAATTACCTTGACCTTTTGACCTTGACCTTGGTGATTTTTGTACTTATTGAAAAAACTCTAACATTGGCCTACTTTCAAATTTCACAATTGTTTCCAGTGAGAATACCCTACTTTTGGTACCAATTAATTAAATTTGCATTAAGAAAAGTTTAATCTTCGCTATGTTGCCATACGGGGGCATCAGTGTTTAACAAACACATCTTGTTTTTTTAGCATTTTTCAAGAGCTTTTAAAAATGATGTTTTCCATTTATAACATACCTATTGAAATATCCCAAGCCTTGCTAAAAATTCACTTCCAACTTCTACAATGACTGGAAAGTTGTTAAAATGAAAATGTACTTTCCAACTCTGATTTCATTTACAATAATAATCTCCTACTAACATGACTAAGTGACCTTCCCACCTCCCTCAGAATCATGGATACACACAATAAAACCCTCCCCCCTCATAAACCAGTCATTGACCGTCAGAACTGACCAGTGCCACAGTAAGTGTGTGGTCACTATCAGCAAAGTACTCTATGTTGAAGTAGCCACTTCACATAAACCTATCAAACAGTACTAACTTTCCATGGTTATATGATCATATAACAAAAAGAAGTAGTTTGTGTGATAGTGTTTCAACATGGACTAAAAATTTTTCATGCAGATATGCAGTTTTATTCTATTTAAGAAAATTCAGTAATCCCAGTAAAGTTTTACTCTTTCATTATCCCCCCAAAGGAAGTGACTTGGTCTTTCAATTCACTTCACTTGTCCCTTTGGCTTAAGTCATAAGTGAGCTAAAAACAAGCCATGACATTCAAAGAACAAACACAGATCCAGAACCAACCATTCAAAGTTATTTATCGATGTTTGACAGTTCATGTCCTGTATAACAATAAACATACCACTGCCTTGCATCTACGAAATGCCTTTTTTTTTTGGTACATCACAGAATTTGTCAACTTTTTTCCTTAACATGGATTTTGACATTCGTTACATGATTTTGCTGTAAGGAAAAATTGATTTCTTGCATGAAAATCTGATTATGAGAGGAACCTGTTTACAATGAATGAAGAGACTGCACCAGAGTAAGTCTGATGACACCATAGGTTATTGACTGTGAAAAACAAAAGCAATACAAATCTCAGTCATCCAACTTTTAGATTTCTGAAATAAAATTCTAGAAAGAACTCAAAAGAGAATTTTATTACACGATGTACTAAATCAAATTTACAGTAAAATCACTTATTTCCATGGGGTTTGAGGAAAAAATATTCAATGATCATTTGAAATAACTGAAAACTTGACATTTTGAGGAAAGACATAAATGAATTTATAGGTCTTTTCATACCATATAAACAATGAAAAATACCTTAAATGAAAATAAGTGATTTCACAGTAAATGTATCTGATATAAGATTGAAAACGACTTATTTCCTTTGTTCATGCAGATACTTAAATTCAGTAAACTTTATGCACTGCTGTTTACTGAATTTTCCTTAGTCTTATTAAACAAATATACAATATAGAATGGACTGACATATCATGCTTGTATAATGAAGAGATAATACTGTTTTCCTTCAAAATTACTATTTTTAAAAGTATCATTTGGATTGTGGTAAAAAGGAGTCGCTGGTATATAATACATGTACAACATACGGATTTGAATATGGAGTAGGATTTCTGGTATACATGGCAGCATACATGTATATTTATAAATAAAGAATGGGGTCACTAGCCTTCCATACAGCAATGGATTTTGATACAAAAGGGTCATTGGTCTACAATGAAGCATAAAGATTTCTATAATCTTTATAGATGGGTCAATATATGAAATAATTGTAAACTGAATTTTGATATTAAACAGGTCACAGAAGGTCTTTTTTTGCATAGTAATTAAAAAAATTGTACTCATCAATGTAATTTTATAAAGTATGTGGATTTTGGTATTCATTATAAGGTCATTAATGGAAGGTCCAAGTACATGTACTGCAAATATAATTGGATTCTGATATAAGGGGTCTAACAGTGACTGATGCTAGTAATTGTATAATTGAAATACATGTATTTGGACTTAGCAAACAGACTCTGGGGGGGATAGAGGTAGTGCACTTACTGTCATTTTAGACTGGAATGGAATTTCAAAATCAGCCATAATCATTAACTCAGCATCACTTTTATCTCGTATTGTCTAACTTTTGAAGAAAAAAGAAAAGGATACAAAGTGCATTTCAAAAATCAAGTAATCAAAAGACATGAAATACTAGACTTACCATTCCTTCATCATGAGCAAGAAAAACATGGCACTCATAATCACAGTACAAATTCTGTCTACTAAGATATGCAAAACACCGTGGATCCTGATGTGTTTTAGCAAATCTGGTCATACATGTCAGTTTGTGCTCAAACATTACAGCTTCAGTGTTGAACTTTTTGGCATGCAGCACATGCTCCTTGACCTTTAAGGTCACTTCCTGGAAAGCAGACTTTCGACGTTTGACCTCTGCCATGACCCAAGGCATGACAAATTGGGGTGGATATCGCCTATCTAATACTGCACTGCCCAAATACATGGCATTAAAATCAGGAACAATGGAAGGAGATGGGCTGCTTAATTCTTGAGGAGGGGTAGGAACAGTTTGCCTGCTTAGGGGATCATCCCCAGAATCTACCACTTCTAGGTGTCTTACAGCAGGTGTAACCTCTGGTGAATCTTTGGTGGATTCTGCCATGGTTTCACCTGAAGCCATTTCACTGAAAAAATAAGATGTAACATCATTAAAATAAAATCAGTGTCCAGTGATGTATAAATCGAGTTTCAATAATGAATCCTAAGAGACACAGTTACCATAACCAGCTCCATATTAAATATGATACAACTATCAGTAAAAAATAATCAAAACTTGGCAAATATTTTCTTTCAATATGCATGAAATCAATCAACTTGTAAATGACTACAAACACATACACTATATATACATGACATGTATTTAATCTTCTTTCCCCCACAAATAAATAAATCTTTGTGTTTTATATCCTTTTGCTTAACACATTTAAAGATTCTTTAGATTTCTATAACCAGTCAACTTCTTTCAATATCAGAGGCCTATACAGATAAACTTTTTCCATGATATATTTACCATGAATAAAATTAACATACATTGAATGAAAGGCATGTTTCTAGCAATAAAATGACCTTGAAGGTGTTGTATACTCATCTTTCATTTTTGCATTGTGGTTTAATAAAAAAAAAAAATCTATTAGTTGACAGCTTATTATTTTAATCCATAACATGAGAGAGACTGAGAGTTTTGGGGGTGTATGTGAGGGAGGGTGTGTGTGAGGGGGGGTGGGACACTTAATCAAATCAAACACTTAAAAATTGATAACATTTTGTAAATATATGCTCACTATGCTGCTAGGCAGTCTACTATTATAAAGATAGTTGCACTTCACTGATTATTTGGTAAAATACCAAGGAAAATGTTAGCCGAATCATTTAATTTTGTTAGAAATGTCAAGGTGTGAACTGTTTACAGAAAATTGTAAGCATTATTCTTAATATTCTATAACAATTGTCATAAATTACATTCATGTATCATGCAATGCATTGAACGCACAAAGCTATTGCCAGGTGTATGTGATGTGATCTTATATATATACTGGTACAGTGTGAACTGACAGAGATCCTTATCTGATAGGAGAAAAAAAACATCTCCCTTAATGCAAAAAAATAGCAGCCTTTCACAATTAACAGCAAATTTATTCATATAAATTAAAATGTTAAAAAAAAAAAAAATCTGCATTCATGGTTAAATTAGTTATTCAACTTGTTATAAATTTTTCCTGCATACTGTACATAACTTGGCATATTCAAAACTTAGTGCAATCTTTGGATATGCATGCACTTATTCAATTGTTGGCTTATAATCATGAATTAGCACTGACACATGTCCGTGCTGTAGTTTGTATTTGTAAATGATTTCATAGCTGCAGTATTCATGAATTAGCGCATCATTGTCTGCGCCAAAGCCGCTAAAGGATGAAGCCCACTTTTTTGAGTATACATAAAGTATATTGAAAACATACAAAAAATAGAAAAGGATATAATAATATATATATATATTTTAATGAATTATTCATATATTTTTCTGCTCAAATTAAATTACTGGTTTCAATCAGTTAAAATTATAGTACATTTAATTTTGAGATACAAAACTATTGCAACCAGTTAACCAAAGGACATAAGGTAGATGCAAGTGTAATTTTTTTAAGCAGGGAAATTTGTTAAAAAGAAAAACACTGTTTATTATGCAAAACACTTCAGTAAAATTGTCTATGTGTACATAGTTAAAACAGTTGGGCTGTCTAAAATGTTCCAATTTAAAGAATAGGATAAAACCAAAATATTCATCATGTTCATAGACTATGAGTTTACATCCAATGGAGTCAGTGAGCAGATATAATGGCCATTTGAATTCTTTATGTAACAAGGTAATATCTTTTTTGGTTTTGTTCATATCTGATTAATTTACTTTTACTACTTTCCATTCTGATTTCATCAGCCAATGACAGCTGCATATAAGCAGGGACCTATATACTACCTGTAACTCATATGAGATCTTGATATCAGATATTTTTTGGCAATTTTTAAACATATGCTGCCAAAATATAAACTGGTCTTCAAATATAAAATTTATTTGGCAGCAAACTCTTAATTTTAGGAACTAGAACTCATAAGAATTACATCAATGCCAGAATGGCTGATTAAGCAGCAGAACTGTAGCATTATGGTTTTATATATATATTAATCCTTGACCATAATGCTACATTCAGATCCCAAAATGCAAATAAGGTGCAATTTATGGAGCAAGATTTTCTCTGTGCAGTTGGGAAGAATTTCTCCATTTTTCAGCATTGGTCAATTAACTACCCCTCGATCACTCTCTAATGCTACACACATTAATGATTATTTAACCAATCTGTTTATTTTATCAACCACCCAACCCTTAGCATTCATCTCTACAGACCAATAAGTCAACTAGTGTTGAATTTTCTGCCATCCATCAAAAATTTCAAAACAAGTAAACAAAACCATAATTTATTGCCATAATGCAAGTTTAGTTAACAGTTCTGCAACTAATGGTTGAGTATATACCCAATTATCTTAGGAAAATTTGGTGATTAACAGGTTAGATAACATAATGAGAACCTGGGAGAAACTTATAATATCTTGAATTTATTAAGATTTTTTTCATTTTTATGAAATTTGGAAAACATTTAAGGCCATTTTTTTTTTTTAAAGAATCCCTATAAATACATGATTCAGTGCTCAGTTCTCTTTTGAAGCAATCAAATTGATACACAATTAATTTTTGAACATTATCAAGGCAAAAGTAAATTGCATGCGAAATTGCATTTGCTTCATTTTCAGGCGCTTTGGTGTATTTTCAGTTATTTCATCCGGTGAACAATACGACAGATCGTCTAAAAATACACAGTCGTTAAAGACCGACATCCCAATATCTCACAAGGTAACAATAGAAAACTGTTTGTTTTCACAAATGATCATGTTTCAGTTGTTAAGAAAATGTGATATGATGTTCAATATTCACCTTAATCTCACTGTTTTCGCCTCTCAGCTGATTAACAGTTCAATGCACCGCCATATTGTGACGTAAGAATTGGGTTAATCTTTGAGACCTTCAGGAATATGCAACGAAAAGAGGAAAGTTGACAAACTTTTTTCATGATGCATGCAACATCTGTTTCATAATTGCTATAATTATCTTGAATGCAGTCCAAAGGCGTTTGCTTACGAACGTAAAAAGTGCACGTGCATGCACTTTTTTTTCCCAGCGAACCGGAAGTAGTTTTTAAAAGAATGGTGTAAAACTAGTTTTCCGAACCGTTCATATTAAAAAAGGGGGGTGGGGTGGGGTGAGAAAAACTTAAACCTTTCCCATAACTTTTGACTGGATGGGACTATGGTTTTCATATTTCACAGGTGTATTCTTTGTGACAAAACCTTTCTTTGTGTACCAACAAATTTGACCTCTTGACCTTGACCTTGGAAGTTGACACATTTTTACACCAAAATTCCAAACTTTTACTTTGTCCATAACTTTTGAACGGTTGGTACTAAGACTTTCATTCCTCATATATGTAATCCTTGTGACAAAACCTTTCATTGGATACCAGCAACCTTGACCCTTTGATCTTGAACTTCGAGTTTGACCTACTTTTAAAAAACTTTATTCTTGGCCATAACTTTTGAACGGTTGGTGCTATGACTTTTATTCTTCACATATGTCTTTTTTATGGCAAAGCCTTCTATTGGATACCAACAACTTTGAATGCTTGACCTTGGAGATTGACCTACTTTAATAAAAAATTTAACCTTGGCCGTATAACTTTTGAACGGTTAGGGTTATGGCTTTTATACTTCACATACTAGTATGTGATCCTTGTGGCAAGACCTTTTATTGGATACCAACAACTTTGGCCATGACCTTAGTGTATGACCTACTTTTAAAAAACTTAAACCTTTTGTAATATCTTTTGAACTGTGAGGGCAAGGGCTTTCACACTTCCCATGCTAGTATATGTAATCTTTGTGACAAGGCCTTTTTTTTTAAGAAACCAACATTCTTGACCCTTTGACTGTGACCCTGGAGTTTAACTTACCTTTGAAAAACTTTAACCTTGGCCATAACTTTTGAAAAGGTGTTGCTAGGGTTTTATATTTTACATATGTAATTATTGTGAGAAGGCCTTATTCTGGGTACTAGTATAAAAATGTTTGATTTGCATTTGAGAAAATTAACCTTCTCTAATCTGCCATGTGTTTCACAAACACATCTTGTTCTTTACATAAAATGTCTTACTGTTGTTATCACAATCAAGCTCGCTTCAATTCTTACATGTTATATGAAGTCATTGTTTATCATATATGATGCATTTCCAAAATAGTTTTCCCTCTCTGATTCAGAGAGGTCCTGATCGACACGCAAGTGGAAATATGAGGTATAACCTCTACATTTTTGTAACGATGTTAATGTAATTAATTAAAAAAAATACATGCCTGAATTTTATTCACTTCTGAAACAAATGGTGACAAGCACCAAAAATGACATTGTTTTCAAACTATACATTGGAGACATTTATATCAAGAATGGAAATACAAATGTACTTGAAAGGGGGATCTCTGGGATAATCATGATTTTTTTTTTTTGAGAACTTTTGTTTGCTGTTCAATTACAATGTATTACAGAAATTTTAATTTGTACGCCACTCCTCCGCGAGTCACGAGTTTTGCAGTATCGACGAATCCCTTTAATTGTACCTCAAAACGAGAATGACAAAGCCCCCCTTCCCCCGCCTCGTTTTTCGTCAGTTTACAATTTATGTTAAAGATCATAAGTTTTTAGAATTCCAGAGACTTGACTGGAATTCTCTTAATCAATGCGTTTACTCATCATTTAAAAATCAATACTGTAATATTATTTGGTCGGTAGGTAGGTGGGAAAATCTTCAGTTTTTCCATAAAATTTTCAACATATTTTTTGACGGAATAATTAAGAGGAACAAGGAGAAAGAAAATGCTAGTATCCTGTCCTGAACTGTATACAGAAAAGTTTTGAGTCGGGGCAATTTTAGTTAGTCGAACGGGAGAGTGCTATTGAACAAGATAGTCCTAATTTACTTCTCAATGATAATCTTGTTCCAGTATCATATCTCAAGATTGTCCACAAAGACATCAAAATTACAGTTTGCCTGTATAACTTTTAGATCGTAGCAGATTATAAAGAACTATATGCGGTATTAACCAACATTTGCCCCCCAAAATCAAACTTTGATGGAGTAATATTTAATTAAGTCCTTAAACAGGGGAGTATATGCTGACTTCAAAGCACTGAATAATTTCATAAGTAATGACGTCATATGTACGTAATGACGTCACAAATATGACGTAAATTTCAGTTTTTTATGAATTTTGCAGAAAAATGTACATATTTCGTCGATATTTTAAATAAAAGTCACCGAGCGCATGTGTGTTCAGGATAAATATTTTGATATAATGTGTAGAATGATAATATCAATGAAATATGTCAATATTGTTCCTGAACACACATGCGCTCTATAAATTTTAAAGCTTGAATTGTTGAAATTTTGTCCATTTTGTCCTCTTTCTGAAAAAGAATATAAAATCGGACTAGTTTGTGACGTCATAAAAACAGAAATTGTGAATACACTGCTCTGGAACTATAATATTTTCTGTTAACTTATATTTCTCGTACAATTTATTGAATTCAGCACATTTCAGGAAGTTTTCAAAATTTGACTTTTGTGGGGGCAAACATATGCAATATACCGCATATAGTTCTTTATAATAAATTAAAAATGACTGAATTTGTTTTGGAATCCACATATTATTCAAAGGTCAAAGCTACATGTATTAATCTTGTTTCTAATATTTTGACCGTAATGAATGAAAGCTGCATTAATACAATTTAATAGATATGTATACATGGTATATGGAGTGACATGTATATCCTTGCATGATTTTAAGAGCCAATACATAGGCGTCGGAACCGGGGGGGGGGGGGGGTGTTAAGCCCCCCTTTTTTTTGCAAAGATAGACATAATATAGGCATTGAAAATTGGGATTTACCTTTTTTGTTGGTTTAGCCCTCCCTATTTAAATTAGCCCCCCCTTTTCAATTTGCTTCCGACGCATATATGCAATTTTGATATGTGGCATGAGTACTACTACTAGTATGTCTCCAGATATTTATCTTCATTCTGTTTGTTAATGAAAATATACACTAAATCTCTACTTTGTAAACTACATATATAATACACCATATTTATATGTAGCTTGACTTCAGAAAATGATATAAATACGGCAGTCATTTTGTGATGGCCCACTAGATTTGGTTATGGATAGTGGGTTCTATTCCTAAAAAAAAAACATTTCTTACCCATTCTTGAGTGTAAATCAATACAATGTAAGTAGTATATTGATATGTTTTTTTAATTGAAACCTTACCGATAATATTGCCGCACGACTAAATATAAATTTAGTTTATTACCAATTATTACCTATAATCCATAGTTGATTATACTAGTATATCCAAACCCCATGCCAATCAATATCCTTCATAATATTTAAATGGCAACGAGGTACACTTGGAATCCCCAATATTTATTTATAGCAACAACATGAACGGTTACATGTACATATAAATTTAAGTATTACTTTGAGCTATAATTTGACGAATTCATCAGCGCTTTTTGTCTAGAATATTCTTTGGTCACGGTTTAAACCCTATATAAATGTGCATTGAAATTCTCTATATATAAGTTAAAAAACTAAGTTTCCTATTGAGTGAGTTTGAACTTTTCAGTTGGACTTATAAAATCAACTGATATTTTAACAGGTAAGATTTTCCCCTATTTTTATGTTTGGCATTGTATTTGCTCTATTATCCACTTTGTCAAAATTTCTCCACATCTCATATAAAGCTGGATGAATTGTGATCATGGTATGATCAACAGCCAAAGAAATGAAATTGTTATACTAAAGTTACATATGTCGTTAAAGCTGTACTGCATGGAAAATTACTAGAAAAAAGGCTGAAAATCTTTTGCTAGATAAATCTACATAATAATAGCCTAGAAAGGATGTGACCCCTCTCCCCGGATCCCGGTTTTTGCCATTTATTTTACCAAAAATAATTCATAAGCGTGGAAAGCAAATTGAAAGTGGGGTGGCTAATTGAAAGTGGGGGGCTAAACCAACAAAAAAAGGGAAACCTCAATTTTCAATGTCTATATAATGTCTATCTTTGCAAAAAAGGGGGGAGCCCCCCCCCCCCCGGGTTCCGATGCTTATAATGTAATTGATGCCAGTCATCATCTAGAATAGATTCAAAGAAATTTTCCATCCCAGTGGATTATGATTTAGTTCATTTTTCCTAAGGGTAAGTTTTACCCAATCGATTGAATTCCCTTCTATTTCACTATTTCAGCATTTTACAAACTCGGACAGCTTTATTCAAACTTTAAATATGCAACACACATTGATCAGAGAGAGAGAGAGAGAGAGAGAGAGAGTCTCATATAGCAGTATGAGCCATATTTATGAAAAAAGGATTTTCTTTTTTCCCCTCCAAAAGTCACTGTTAGATGTCATAATTATTTTCTATGACGAATACGACTAAAACTATATTTATAAATGTTGAGTTTGAACAGAAAAAGGATTTCTGCACTACAAAATATATCGTTTTGTAAAAATAATACCCGATATGTCCTTCCTGCAGTGGATAATTCTATTGTATAAGCAAAGAAACAAATTATCAAGGGATGTGCCTATATAATAATATATGTACATGCACATTGTATATGATATTGTCAAGGGGAAAAACTTAGATGTCAAAGACAATCTGCATTCATTTTATTATCATGTATTGAGAATTCTATTAAGAGTTGCGGGAAGGATGGACGTTGGTGTCCCTATATCATGATATTTATAGGCTTTATCACGTGACCCTGTATCAAAGAAATTCAACTCCTCCCTCCCCACCCCACCCACCCACATATACCCGCAAATTGAAGTAGGTTTTCATTTTATCTCATTCTTTCAAGTAGCTTCCTCTCAATAAACGAGTCTCCACTTTAGTACTTTAGCAATTTCAATATGAATAGGTAGGCCTGGCTCCAAACTGTACACGGGCTTTCGCCTACATCGTGGATTTAGATTAGGTGAAAATCTACCCATAGACTCTAACCATGTTAACAACATTATTAATCACATCAAAAAACTTTAATTCTTTCAAGTCCAAAATGTAGGATAGCAGTTATTTGAATCTAAAAAATATGCCTATATTTTAGTTTCAATATTTTTTGTGTAAATCACAAAAAAAAAATCTTTCTTATAAAGTCAAAAAGTGTTTTTTTTCCCCACAAATACATCTATTACAACAATATATTTAATTTTCAACGCAAATTCTTAAAGAAATGTATATATTTTTTTCATTTTATCGACTTCAGGAATCAGGAAATCCTCTAAGATCGACATAACCAATATCCGTGACAACGCACTTCGCCGGCTGAAAGTGAAACAAGAAACATGGCAGATCAAATCAGTTGGATACCGCTGGAATCAAACCCCGACGTGAGTTTTAAGTACTAAATTTTACTCAGTTGTTGTTATTTTAGTTTACAGAATGATTTTAACTGACATTTACTCTTTGTCTTTTCAGGTTCTGAACAAGGTAAGTGAATTATTTATCGTATTCTGTTCAAAGGGAAGTCACTCTCAAAATTTTCTTCTGCAACCCCGGCTGCATTGCAGCAAATTAATGTCATTAGCATAATTTTCTAAAAAGAATTGTACTGGAAATATGTATCTATGTATAAAATAATTAAAATATGATTAATTTTAATTAAACCATGTTATTATTAATATCATAAATATTGAAATAAAAAGAGATGCATATAGCTTCAGAGAAACTGTAAATATTTTAGCCAAAAAAATAATTTACGCGCCATCCTTTGGTAGACGGTGATTAATATAAAAAGCTACATATTAAAATAATAATTTCCATAAGTGCACAGTTTTAAAAACATTCACAAATATTTTCTTGGGTATACCAAAAAAAAATGGCAATTTGTTTTTAAGGATGTATATGGATTACTGGTTACCATTTATTATTTTCTCTATAATTTAATCTATTAGCATGATAATATTATGGATTTTTTTAATGTATTTGATAGCATTTAAACCCGTCGCTGCTGTAGTTCTCCTGTACCCAATTACAGACAAGGTATGAACTTATAAGTTATGGGCTAATATTTACATCCACTGAATATTTTCTCCTTTATTTCTTAAGAAACCCCATTGCGTTCATCACTGCATAAACTACAGTAGGCAGGTCTGCATTTGCCTCCTATAATATGTTAAATTTACATACAAAAAATAATGTCAGATTTCTTGATAAGTGGCTGTTCCATCAATGAAACGTACTAAGAAGTACATATCGATAATACAATAATTTATCTTTTTAATCCTACTTTAAATGATTATTTATACAGATATAAATATGAACAATAAAATGCTTTCTTTGTTTGTTGTTATGAGGAATATTTTGGAATGAAACACACGGTCGCAGCTATTGCAGAAAAAATTTACATAACCCGCTTACGCGGGTTATGTATTATTTTTTGCAACAGCTTCAGAGAAACTGTAAATATTTTAGCCAAAAAAATAATTTACATCCTTTGGTTTACTTTCACTTGGTGCAGTAACAACAAACAAAGAAAGCATTTTATTGTTTAATTGAAAGGAGGAGAAAACTTTACAATATGTACCACATGGAACTAAATAATCATATTATACATTAATTTATCATATTTGTTTACAGTCAGAAGCAACTGCTATTGGAGAACAGAAACAAAATCCGGACTTGTATTTTGTCAAACAGACAATTAGAAATGCATGTGGCACCGTGGCCATTGTTCATGCTCTTGCCAATAACCAGGATAAAATAAAATTCCTTGGTATGTCAATCATAGCATAAAACAGAGAATGTTATTGTGGAGTTGTAGAACTGAAAACACATTTTATTGATATGTGTATTAACATTTTTTTGAGACAAAAATCATTTACTGACTAGAAGTGAAATTGAAGAGTTTTTCTTAATTTGCAGATGATAAGCACTTTGCCCAGTTTCTCAAAAAGACCCTGAGTATGTCAGCTGAAGAAAGAGCTGAATTTCTGCAAGTGGACCAGGTAAAAAACAATTTAATAAAATCAGAATGTTTGTTTTCACAACAAAAAATCTGTTGTTTTGGCATTTCCCACTGACAGATAAGCTGTGAATGTTGGCTTTTTTCTGAGTAAATTTTCCAGAGACCAAACATTTCCTGGTTCCAAAAATGGAATTTCCTGGATTAATCCATCGCTATTTTTATACATGCATTGTGTAACTTGCAAAAAAAAGTTTCCCTATTTTGATATAGAGAGCAGATACCGGGGTAATTTGCATACATTCAAATTCTGCCTACAATCATTTGAGAACTGTGATCCAATAAGGTCTAAGCTTGAATCTGCAGTAGCATTGAAAATTTATAAAATGGAAACAATTATTTTTAGGACATGGGATCTGCTCATGAAGACACAGCACAAGAGGGACAGACTAAGGTATAGAAAAAATATTTAAGGTTTATTATCACTCTGATAAGAGGAGTAACTCTCACCAGACTTTCTGTAATTCCTATATTAAAATTTTATTCAAAGATACACTGTAAAATGATATTTCTGTCAAAATTCTATCTTAAATAGAAATTTTTCTGCAAAAAAAAAGATGTTAAAAATTTTGAAAAAGAATTAATCCTGATCATTCTGGTTTAATAGGCCCCTCCCAGTGAATCCAAAGTCAACACTCACTTTGTTTCCTTTGTGTGCAAAGATGGAGGATTGTACCAGCTGAGTATGTATCTTTATATCATAAAAATTGTTGCATACAGTGAAAGTGATACAGCATCACTAATTGTTCAAAGTTCACATTAAACCCTAAACTAATTGAAAGAATTCCTGAATCTCTATTCCCAGTCTGCAGTACTAGGAAGGAGGGAGGGGGAAAGGGGGGTTAAGATCCTATGTGTTGTTAATGAAAAATCCATTTACTGTCTTGGTGAATTGTCATTATATGGACATTTTTTCTTGACAATCTGTTTTTGCTAGAACAAAAGTTCAGGAACATCATATTGCTTAGGCCAAAAAAAATAATAGTCTTGTTTCCTGCTACCAGCCAGAAAAAAATAGGGTAGGTAGGTAGGAAAATTATTTTATTTTTTTAATTTTATTTTATTTTTTCCAACGGTATTTTTTTGGATATGAACTACTACAAAAAATTGAACATGTCATAGCTTAGATAGCTAAGGTCAATATCACCTTTCAAAGTGAAATTCCATGTCTTTGGATGCACAATTCAAGTGGAATTTTACAAAAGTCCATATTTTAAACATATATTTGATGAAATACAACTTGAGAATATATAATTTTTTCACTTTTGAAACATGAACATGATGAAATTTCTAAAATTTTGAATTTTTTCCCCAAAAGCTAAAAAAAACTTTAGGGTCGGGTGCAAAAAAATAGGGTAGGTTGGGTAGCAGGAAACAAGACTATTTTTTATTTTGGCCTTATTGATCTTATATTGGTTGCATTAACTCCCCTGTGAATTAGGAATAACATCATATATAACCTGTTTTAATTATTTCAACTATAGAAGTTTCTCAGATAATTCTTCAATCTGATGACAGTAGAAAACAGACATATTTTTCTGTTTTTAAGCATTGACAACTTACATATATAAAACCATAAGAAATAAATCTACTGTCTCAAGGTAGTGAACATTTCACTTTGTTGAATTATTTTTTTTGATCTCCATGTGTTTGTAGATGGTAGAGATGATGCCCCCATCTATCATGGACCAACCACTCCTGACAGTTTGTTGGAGGTAAATATTGCAAAAACTCAAGTGCTTTGCCACCATGAAATCTGTTTTTTTCAACTGCAATATTTTGCTACAAAGGATTCAGCAATAAAATTTTTTTTTTTACTGATTCTCTGTATTCAATTCAGTCTATATCTATATCTCTCGACACACATGTCCAAACAAACAAGTTATAATTTTATACCAATATGGAAATAGTGTTTCAAAAAGATCTCTTTATGGTTGTTCAGTCAGACAAGTGAATAACATAATGAATTTGGACAGGTAACATTTGTTGGCAGGTTGTTTGATGGACAAGTGGATATTTAAGTTAATGTTGAGTCCTGTATCAAGATATTAAAGGAAAAACTTTACTGATGAAATAAAAAGTAAAAAAATAAAAATAATGTAATTTTTTAAAACTTTTACAGGACACTGCCAAGGTTGCAAAAAAGTTTATGGAGAGGGATCCTGATGAATTAAACTTCACTCTAATGGCTCTGAGTAAAGTGCAGTGAAAAATTCGCTCTACCGAACTTCAAATTCTTCAGATCTAAAGCTTGTTTGGATCACCAGGACTTTCTCACAAGAAATATTTGCTGAGCTGTGTCAATTGAAATAATCATGAAACTTACTCACAACTACCAAATCTGCTTTAAGTGACTCACACATTGTCAGTGCCGTTGTTGTGCAATGCAGATAAGTATTCAAAAACTTCAAGCTTTAATACATCTTTCTCTAGTATAGATGTATGAAAAAATTATCTTGGCTACTAAATTAAATGGTATATTGCCTCATTTTTAATTGTTTAAAAATTCATAATTTTGCTTTCTTAGACCTGCAGATTGTACAGACAAATCAAAATGGAAGCAAAGCAATATCAAAAGTTTCTATTTTTTGCTCTGTGATAGCTAACTATACTGTATTAGGGTTTGAAAGTTTATAAACAAGATATTTATTATTGCTAAAACAAGTGTTGTAATGCAGTATTGTTGCTAACGTAAAATATAATTCTGCATAATATGGAAATGGATGCTTGATTCTTGTCTGCATTGTGAAAATGCTGTAAGCATGTGATGGACATAATAAAGTAAATGTATTTTGTACTACATGCTCTTCTGTTTTATTATAATAATGTCATTATATTTACCACAAGCCTTCCAACTTCTTGTACTAAAAAATCTTTTTATTTAAAATACAAATAACCCACCTTTCCTAACCCACACCAGACCTTGCTGGAGAACTGAAGGTCTATTGTCAGGGAACGATATGTCCATTGTAGTCGAAGGTCCGTTTATTAATCTATCCACAAATTTTTACCTTACCCATAATGTAAATGCTATATAAGAGCTTTTATTGTATATATCTTGTTAGAAGACCTTTTTTTTGGTCCAAATCTTATATACCATATACTGTAAACGTATTACATTTAGCGGTGTATTCTTTTTAGCGATTTTGGTGGAAAGCAGAATTCGCCAATTTAAGTGCATTGCTAAATGTCTTGTTTATTAACCTTTATAAGTAGAAAAGTCAGACAGCGCTAAATCAAATCTAAAAGCTAACTTGTTAAAAATTTAATTTCCGCTAAATATTGTACACACCAAACGCAATATATTTACAGTAATTGAAAATTTTAGCAAGACAGAAATTTTTTTTTTTTTAGATTTGCCCTAAAAATTTGTATTTTATTTTTACATGTAGCCAGGTGTAATTTTTTGCAATTTTAAAATGCTTACTTTAGAAACTATTACAAATAAAACACAATTTATTTTTAGTGATATTCAGATTTAGCAATCTAGAAATCTTGGATAAAATTTCTGCTTTTACCTTAACTTGTGCCCTTGAATTAGAATTTTGACCAACTATAGTAAGTTCCATGAGCTGACATACAGAGGGCATAGGTGTATCACAAGTTACAGCTCTGTACATTTAGCTATACCTTACCGACATCCATTGGTTTTAAGTCCAGAAAATCTTGCCTAGACAAGAGTCAACAACCTTTAAATTAATTTTTTTGAGCCAAAAGTTACGCAACATGGAAGGAGCAAGTACAGGATTTGAACCTAGGTCCAGTGTCCAGTCCGGTGCTCCACCAACTGAGCTCTCTGGCCACATGCTATTGAACCTGTCAGACTGCCATAGGTAAAACTTTTTTTATCATAATGACATTTAATCATAACAAAGCAACTGAAGTGAGTATTATGTTTAATCTGTCATTAGCACAATATGTTAATAAGTGAACACAGTTGTAATACTATATATTAAATGTATGTGAAAAAAATGCTAAATAAAAATATATTCAATACAGCAGATGATGGACGTAAATAATGCCAGTCAAACAAAAATTTGATTTATGATTATTGTCTTTAAAAAAAGATCAGAACAATAATTAAAATAGATTGTCTGGGAAGACCCTTTAGTCTTTTAAATTCATGTTCAATCCAAAGGTAGGCCCTATTTGATTGTTATCAGTCACAGGTAAATAGGTCTACATGTAAATTATAAATACATGAATTGCATATTTATGGAAAGATTAACAAAATTGAAAACAGGCTTTTTTGATATGGTACTAAGTAGATTTTTATGCAATAAAAAGGTTGGAACTATTTTGTAGGAAATGCTATTTTGAAGACACATATCCAGCATTGGTATACTGTTTGTTACCTGAAAAAAGAAAAAAAATACAATTTTTTGAAGTTCAGGCATAAGCAATTCACTGACAACACAATACTGACATGAGTTTATGGAAGCAAATACATTGTACTATTATTATAAGAAGTTTGAAGAAATTCTGTGACTATCTGCATGCCACGGCTCCTATATAAGAGTAAAATTCATTACAAAATAAAGAATGGATCTTAAATGTTGGGGGGAAAACTCAAACTAAGAAAGTCCTTACTAGAGACAACATATCCGGAGTTAACAGTAATGTTGGGGTCAGGCTCTAACTCCATATAAATATGGGACTTCGTTGACATCTGGCGACTGGGTCCCGTACTCGTCTGATGTTGAACTGAAGGGAGGGGGCTCTCATAGGCATGCTGGGTATAATCTTCACTGGAATTAAGACATTTCATTTCGATTTTAGTAGTCAAATAAATATGGATAATTTAAGGGGAAGGGGGTGAACACTCAAGTTGAATTATATTACCTGAAAAGTATCCTATTTTACAAATATGAGGGATATGGTATAATATGTGATTGAGCAGTCTCAACCACTTTTATTTTATTTTCTTAACCATTTTGTCATTAATACTTGGACATATCCTAAAGTTTAATCCCAGTCCTGTCAAGTTCCAGATATTAAGGTTTTACTGTATTATACTTGATTTTTTTTTCAATCGCTTATATTTAATTAAATAACTAGTCAGTGACAAATAATATTTGTAATCAAGGTTTCCTATTTTAATGTTTTTACTGCTTATCTGCAAGTTAGAGTTGTGCACAAATCTCTTGGATTTTTTCGTACATTTATACAAGCTAGCATGTAATACTGTTTCACACAGCACTGCTCATTTATACTGGTACTTGACATATTCTGTTCCTTGTGCACTCTCCACTGGTATTGATATATCTTTTGGGTTCTGACATTTACATCTGTAATACATACCCAGGTCTGATTGGCCCCATATACTCCGTCCTCTGTGGTTGTCGTATTTCACTTTTATAGCGGGGATCTGGTTGATGAAGTCTGTTTTGCTGTCTGGGAACATTACTCTTTGGCTGAAAATTATTCATTTCATATAAGTCAAAGATCACTTACCAGGTAATAAAAAAATTACATGCAAAACAAATGATTTCATCCAAGTAAAAGATCATTGGTACCAGTAAAGTCAATAAATTAGTGAGTGGTTTGTCTGAAATACTAGTTAATCTTATGAGATGATTACCATTTGTTGTTGATATTTTAAAGCAGCCTTTTCACTTGGACTTTTACGGCAACAGCAACATGCAACAATAATTACGATGATAAGCAACAAACCACCGCCACCACCTGCTGCTACTGGTATCACCCAAGCTGGAAAAAGCAACATGTGGAACATCATTCAGAACTGAAGTAAAATTTGCACTTGAAAAATGTGAAGCAGTATTTGTAAATGAACTGGCAATAAGGATGCTAATACTAGCTTAATTAACATTATGACATTGTATTTCATGGATGATTTCATATTTAATTTTTTTTTTTTATCAACAGCTACACATGTAGCTTATGATCAGAATTTTCACTCTATATGAAAGATAATAGAGAGCAGCACCAGAATCTGCCTTAATTGTCAAGATATTGGGCATATATAAAGCAGAAACAATTAGCTTTTTTCTTTTCATACTTGGCAGTGCAGTGCTGTTCTTTGCTGGTGCTGGTGTGGAAACCACATAGAATTTACAAGTCTCGCAACAGTCCTTCAGGACCCCAGCGTTTTCATACGTGGCACACTCATTAGACCGGCAGTCTAACACTCTATCTCCATACAGACAGTCTACAATAATAATCATCAAGATCATTACTGATAGCAATTTTTTTTTTTTGTTTGAAAGATTAACAAGAATGTCGGTCATATATGCATTCCATAATGAATAATCTATCCTAATGCAATATACTACTCCGAAAGCAGCATGGGTATGAACTTTTAATAATTTTCTTTTGATCATTTTTTGTAATACAAATATCTGCATGCATACCTTGGATTCCAGTTTCATAGTTGTGACAGGTCTCGCAGCATACATTCCGCGCTGCACTTCCGTCAGAAAATGAACCATAGCAGTCCCCCGGGAAGGTCAGAGCAGAGCAGTTTCTCTGGTCCCCGTACTTACAAGCTGTAGTATACATAATGGAGGAAGATATGAAGAAAATTTTATTATCAACAATTAATTTTTAAACAATTAGAGAGAGGCAGAGGGTGGGAGAAGGTAGAGCAAAAGATGGAGAGAGAGAGAGAAACAGAGGGTGGGAGGGAAGATAGAAAGTTCGAGAGACAGAGGGAGGGAGGGAGAAGGTAGAGAGAGAGAGAGAGAGAGAGAGGGGGAGGGAGGAAGGGAGGGAGGGAGATGATAGAGAGAGACAGACAGACAGACAAAGGAAGGGGGAGAAGGTACAGAGAGAGAGAGCTTACACTGGATTTTTGTTTTGTACGCTGCACATGTTGCACAACACTGAACCTCCGTGTTGCTGGAATAACAAGGTGCTCCATTGGTTATACTTGTGCATGCTTGTTGTCTGTCACCATATTCACATCCTGAATAGTTACAAAATGAAAAAGAAAATTTAAAGAAACTTTCCTTCTTATGCTTAAAAAATTTTTCAAAAAGTTTAAACAAGTGTCCTTCTAAAATTCATGTTTTAAAAATACATGTATAAGCTGACTTCATTATCTTGTCCCACTTTAATTAAATGTATTTAAATCTTCAGCATACCAGGGTCCCCAGTGCTGACGGCATTACAACTGTGGCAGCACCGTACTGCATATCCAGCGTAGCAGACAGCAGGATTAGATGCAATCCCTGTACAATTTGCACCATAGTAATTGCCATATAAACAATTTTCTGAAAAAATATTTCAAAATATTTTATTTAAGGCTAGAAAATTAAGGGGGGGGGGAACTTACATCAGACATCTAGAATTTTTTTTTTAAATGTAATCTCACCAGGTTCTTTTGGAGCTGAGTTGTCTGCTTTGCATTCTCCTTGATTACACCACTTCAAAAAAAAAATAAGAAGAATCTATATACCGGCATACATGTAATTATTCATTATTTAAAAATTTTGTATATCTAGGAATCAATAAAGTGAATTATCTACATTATACATTTTCGTTTTCCATGACTATATAACACCTTAACACCATAGTTTTAAAATTTAAATACAGTGTATTTTAGACTATTAAATTTATATCTGTATTGCATATGATATACAGACCATTCAAAATACACATTTATACATTTAGGCCTATTTGCAAAGAATCAATTTATTAATGCTAGATTCTACCTTATAAATCAAAACTGCCAGAAAGATATACAAATAGTACCTTTATGAATCTAAATCCATTTAAAAAACTTACTTTACCAGAGCCACAGGTGGTATAATCTAACGGAACCACCAAGTTACAAGAATTACCAGTGTTGGGGTTAAAACACCATAGTCCAGTGCAGACTGTAGAAAAATCACCATTAAAGTTGTCCTAAAATGTATGAAACACCATTTCTTCAAGCTTGAAACACCTTTATTCATGGTATTTATTTAAGAAGTTCAATCTTGTTTTAATACTCAATGAAAATGTACCCACAATCTTAAAAGAGTTTTGTAAGTCTCATAAATTGGCTATCATTTTAAATTTTGAACTTCTAACCTTGATATATATATGGCATGCCAAATTCACAAAAATGAGCTAAACCTAGTTTCACATTTGATAAACTAGGTTTATCGACTGTTAACTGTAGTTTACGAACCGTAAACTATAGTTAACGATTCGTTAAGTATAGTTTTCATCTGTAAAAATATATTTAATGGTTGTTAACTATAGTTTACGAATGCTAATCTAAGTTTATCTGTCTGTAAAAAGCGTTAACAATAGATTTTGTTGATAAACATAGAAATTTGTAAACTATAGTTTACAAGTAAATATAGTTAACAGTTGTTAATCATAGTTTCACAAATCTTAAAAATAAAAATAGTTAACGGTTTGGAAACTATAGTTTACAAATCGTGAAACTGTATTTATCAGATAATCTATATTTTGCAATGGCAAATGATTGTTTTCGATGTTAAGTATAGTTTATACGGTTGTGAAACATAGATTATCGCGTTAACTATGGTTTACAGATGTAAAATATAGATTAACGTTGTTAACTATAGTTTACAGTCCGTAAACTATAGTTTACAACCGATAAACCTAGTTTATCGACTGTGAAACTATGTTTTGCTCATTTTTGTGGATTTGGCGTGCTATATATACTGTATACAGGGAAATGTTCGCCCCCGTTTTATTTTCGCTCCTTTCGCCCTCGTCAGAAATGGGCGAATTTAAAGTAAATAGTATCTTATCTTAAAAATAAAAATCTTTCTGGGCGAATTTAAAACGGGACAAACTTGTTTCCAAATGTGAAAGGGACAAAATAACACGGGGCAAAAATAACCCTGTATAGAGTAATGTTGCCAGTACAAGGAATGTGATAAATTATGAGAAAACTCTTTATTTTATTGGTAATTTTTAAATGTAGTATCCTTATTTCTCTTACTAGACAAGCATATGATTGGGAATTCCCCATGGCATGTATACACTGTTCATGAATTGAAATTTGCTGTCCTATCTTCAGGTTGACAAAATCTGCGAGATTGGGAACTGTTCCCGTGTGGTCAACTCTCTTTAAACAATTACTTGCAGTCCTGTCAGTAGAAATATAGTAGAGAAAATAAATTTAATATTACTCCAGGAAGCAACTTTACACTTTACAGATAATCCAATAGTTTTCTACAGAAATAATATATTGGGTAGAATGGAGGGAGCAGTCCCCACTTTTCCCTGCTTGCGTATAGTCTTTTTGCTGTAGTACCTTTTAATAAAATTGCTGTAGTACTTTTTAATAAAATCATACAGTATATTTGGGTGCTGCTGTCCCAATTTTATTTTTGGCCTTAAGGTATTCTCAGGTATTCGCCCACAGATGTACCGGCAAAATTAAGCTTGTTCTCTAGAGAAAAATTCTAACATTAAAAAAATTTGAGAAAAAAGCATAACAAAGTTAAAAGTCCACCCCACCACCTCAAAATAAGATTTTCCAAGTTATGGCTTTTTTTAGGTAGAGGTCTAATTTTTTTTACCCCCCTCCCCATTTTAAACTGTTGCTACTGGCCTGACACGTGTACCAGGTATATTTCATTTTTATGCCGATATCTTAAAATGTATTTACTTACGCATCTATACTACTTAGAAGATTTCCCATTTCTTGCTTGGAACAGCTAGAGAACAGCCAGGGGTGTCTAGCCTTTGATCCGCCTACTGCTGAGCTGGTGGCCTCCATAATAAAATGGCTTTGTCGGGAACAAGTGTTCTCAAAACCATCATGCCTAGCCCCTAGACTGGAAAAAAACCCAAAAGGTTTGTATAATATGATACTGTACATATAAGCCAAATTATTTCCAGCTTCCGGATTCAATATAAAAAAACATGCATGATTGTTGACAGGAATCAATTTTTCACTGTATCAAATAGTATTGAATCTATGTTAGCACTAAATTTTTATATATGCTTAGCACACAGTGAAATATTTATGTACATTATATATCATAAAATGCATGATTTGCTTACCTGTGTCCCAATTCATGAGCAGCCACTGTGTGCATTATGAAGTTCAAGTTTTCCTCTACAACGGACTGACTTTTATCTTGACATATTTGTCCTTGGTAGGCATAACCTTAAATCATGGAAAATAATTAAACAATACAACCTGTTCATTCTATTTTTAATTTATTTTTTCAAATCCATTTGTGTACAAATTTAAAACTTTTGTTTTACATACCAGCTATATCGTTATCTAGGGAGCCCATGCCTTTTATAATGTTATACCTTTAAAAAAAAAATACATACTTGTATAATATAATTCATTGAATGCTATTCTTAAATTTTACTCATCAAAAGTGAATTTTGAAATCAACTCTCCTTGGTGATTTCTAGTTGGCCTGTACAGTGTACATGTATACATGTACATTGTACAGCAACAATTAAGACAGTCTATATATCTTTTTACAATGTCTATGGTTTGAAAAGTCTCTTCCCAACAATATAATTATATCAAAATGCTATTTATATTTTATGTAAAAATTGCAGCTTTGTTGATTACAGGAAGCCTTCTTTCGAAGATTTCCCTTACAATCTGCATAGTTTAAATCCGCTCCCCTTTTTTTCCTGGCATCATGAATTCGGATTTCCTGCATTGTGGATAATAGCCTAGACTGAAAAGACTAGGATTTATGTACAGTAAATGAAGAATTGATTTACGTAGACGCATCGCTGCAGATGACTAAATAACATGGAAAAGAAATTACTAGTAATTAAAATATTTAAATGAACAAGCATGTGCACATTGGTTTTTAATTTTTCACTTACATTGTATAATACCGGTACTTAATTTCAACCAAGAAACCGCATTCGGATTCAACAATATATTAGCTGCAATAATGTAGCACTCTCCGATTTTTTTAATTTGATATTTTCTGGAGCCCCCCCCCCCAAAAAAAGGGGGGGGGGGAGGGCTACATTATTGCAGCTAACAATATATATGCTCTCATGCCTCTCAGAGTTGGAATAGAAGTTAATCTCCATGACCCTTACTGAGTGAAGGCCATTGCGTGGTCATGTTTTGGCAGCTTATCCCTGTTTGTGGTTATCCACTGCGAGAAGGCCTGAAGAACTTGGTCAGCGTCCAGTCGTCCATTAGCCTGGAGGGTACTTGACCACGGTGAGTCTGACGAAGTCTACAATGTAAAAAATGACCATATATTAGATAAATTCTTGCTGCAATTTTATAGTATTTGTGTTTGATTCACATCATCATAATCATATGGCATACAGTGTTTGAATATTTTGTTGATTATTTGGACCTAGGAGGGGGGGATGGCGAATTATTAATTTACATGGTTTAGAAACTAAAAAATATCTTAATGGAAATGCCCTAGTACACGCTGATACCTTATAAGTCTGTAAGAAGAGCCCGACAGACTTATAATGCTGAAGCACTGAAGGAAAATCGCTCCAGGGTTTTTATTTACATTTTTTAAAGTGGGATGGATCCTCCTGGAGGTAATTCACATTCTAGTATCTAGACGGCTTATCAGTACATACGTCCCCTACCTTTGCCATGTAGATTCCTACATAAACTATCCTGATCTGGTACGATTCTGTGTTGATGCTCCCATACCGGACATCCATCTGAAAAATAATAACTTACTATGTAGTATGTCAAAAATGGATAAAAAATCAAATCTGCAAAACCAAATTTTTCATATTTTAAAGGCTTTCAACTACTACCTTTTATCCCTTACCCCGTTCACAGTAAATGCCGCGACTGTTCGGATGAAATTCTCCACTTCCGCATCACCGGCGCCAGAACCAAGAAAGTTCCTCCAGCTGTATTTTAAGAAAATTAATATATGTTGAAATACGTTTGTTGTGTTTGTTTAAAAACTGACAGTTTCAATGTACATAATTTCGTTGCTAAATAAATGAAATAAAAAAGAACATCGACTGATTCTGTACGTACTATTCGAACACGGAGGAATCGGTGACTACCAGCAATTCTACTTCGAAAATACCTGCAGCACGCTTATGTCTGCCTCGTCTGGGAACAAACTTTACATCATCTACAAATTAATGCAGGTATCTTCTATAAATTCACAGTTCTACATACGGAAAAAAATCTTTTCTGACACAGTTCTACAATTTTACAAAACACCCAAACGCTAAACTACAAAATATTAATTGTTCAGAATATTTAAACTAATGGACCGTTTTTAAGGGTACATAAAAAAACGTGTGTTTGTTAAAGTTATTAAAAACTTACCTGATTCGAAATAGTCCGTTTTGGGATGGTTTGCTCCAGACAGTTTCTTTATTTTGTATTTATGTGATTTTTTCAAAGGCTCCATAAAGTACATTGAGTTTTTAGATATGAATGTCCCGCGCTAATCAGAAAATACAAAATAACAATATTTTTAACAAAAGACTTATGTAAGATAAAATCAATTTATAAAGTCTACAAACTTTTTTGTAGTCGTTAAATGATTTTTTTTTGGGGGGGGGGGGTTGTTGTTGTTAGTTGACTTGGATGACGTGAAAAAGTATACTCACCAGAGAAAACTCTTTGCAGATTTTGTCCGAACAGGTGATTTGAAAAGCAGCTCCGTTGTTCAAATCTTGATAGAAGGACAAAACCTTCAAACAAATTCATTATTCTTGTAGTACATCTATTTACATTGCAAACAGCACTGCAACATACGGAATTTTAATGCAAAAAAAAAATAATACTCGGATATTTCTGGTACATATAGATTACCTGTTTCGTGGGTTTGCATTTCCCTGATTGAATAATACAGTCCGCTGATTCTGGGCGGATCCCAGAATTTCTCGTCAGTCTCAGTTCTTGTACGCCATTGTTAACGTGAAATCGAGTCTTGAAGAATGAGGGGACTGAAACCTCAGGTGTCTCCAGCACTTTAGGATCATTGAATCGCACATCATAGATTTTTATATGCCTTGTTACTGTAAGTAACAGTCATATATTGATAAGTATTTCGTATCTAATTGAAAACTGTAAGTCAAAGTCATTTTATTTAATTTAAAATATTTCTGGTTTATTAGTATTTGTACTTTATGTTAAGAAGGACTGTCCCAGGTTTTTGGGAAAGAGGGTGCATGGAAATTTATGAATCATATCTTTTCTTTTTGGAGGGTTTGGAGTATAGCATCATTCCTCTAAACGGATAAATATCGATAAATTATTTTGAAAAAGAGCGAGTCTTTAAAGGGTTTGTATTAAGATATAAGGCACCCCGTTCCGATGGCGTGCTGAAATTTGGAGACACTAAATTGAATGATGAACATACATCCAATTTTGGTGAATGTGAAAAATTAATAGTATAGGCCTTATGTGTCAGCGAAGAAGAAAGGTGAGGTGAGGCGGAGACCGCCCAAATGGTTAGAAATTTATCAATTACATAGGAATTAAATTTTAAAAAATCAATCAAATCTGATTACGATATATATGCATATTTTTCTATTTTATTCCTATAATACATATAGTATAACTAAAGCTAATTTTGGCAGCGAACTTCAAACTTATGAAATGACGAAAATCTTGAAAAACTACCGTTTGTCTAACTTTGATGAATCAGGTAAAAAAAAAAAATATAAAGAATATCATAAAGCAGGAATCTGGTGGCAAACATATAGTGTATTATAAAAGTCACTGAGCATAGAATTTCTACACGTCACGTAAGCCCCCCCCCCTTTTCGTCCCGCCCTCCTTCAAAAATAAACTCTATCATTGAGTACGCTTTGCTCTTATTCTCAGTAGTTGCTATGAATTTCTCCTATTTCAATTTTTATTTCTTTAATTTAAAACTAGAGGTACTGTGAGCGATGAGCTCACTAAATGATACCCCCGCCTCCATATAGTTATAATGGCAAAGTCCATGTTTTGCTGTGGCCGGAAAACCCAAAATATGTTTCGGATCAAAAAGTAAAATAGGAGGTGCACAATGGCAATATGTAATAAAGATTCTGTGAAAGTTTCATCAAATTTCATTCAGTGGTATGAGAGGAGTTGCGGATAAGAGATGGGTACCCCAAAGCGTAACAGACGGACGGACGGAAGGACGGACGTACAGACGGACGGAATTAACGATTACTATATACCTTCCCGCTTTTCAAGCGGGGGTTATAAAAAAGAAGAATATCTAATTGCTTACACCAAATGAGCAAGTTTGATTGACATTTCGAAAATTTAAAAAAACCTGTAATACATGTATTTTATTGACAGCATCCGAATGAAGCTTATGGTACTATTGATTGAATTCCTGGCGAATCATTCATTGTCGTTTTATCAATGAACAAGTATTGAAATTTCACATTCTTCTGTATAGTATGCAGGTACTGTATAGAAAGCTGTATAGAAAATCAAGGGAAAATCAATTTTGCACATATAGGACTCTACATAGTCTGACAAGTCTCTTATGTTGCGACAGTGCATTAATAAATGGAAAAATGCATTAATAAATTGTCGTCTATATACACCTTCGAAATACTTTCAATCCTCAGTATCATTAAACTGTCATTAGGATAAAATTATAACAGGTAGTTTGCTGAAGCATGGTAACCACATGTAGATGATCGGGGTAAACTTAACCCGTTTCAGAACCTTTAACCTGCTCACTCATCCGATCTCTCTCAAGGTTTCCTTTCTACCCATTTCTCTCCGTAAACAGCTGTAATTAATCCAGTTCACACACAATGTTGCGAAATCATAATAAAAAGATAGATGATTATGAAATTTTAATTTTAAAACTCACCTTTGGTGTCCGCAGAAGAGTATGGGATAGGTACACTTTGTAACAGTATAAAAATGACAGCACTAGTCCTAACACAGAGAAAGACCATCACTTCCACTATGGACGGACTGAACTTTAATTCGGGGTAGGACAACAATGCCGCAAAACACGATAATTGGTTACACTGGACTGACTAAAATCATAGCGTTCCAAACTGGTTTCCAGCTATTTTTAGAAACTTGCAGTTATTATGCCGATTTAAAAAATGTTTTGGAAGATCTGAAAAGTGAATTAAAATTTAAAGAGAACTTCCTGCATTTGATTCCTGTCTGAAGACCATTTAACATTGACCTTGGTAGTTTACGGTTCACTGATCAAGCGCTCTCTATTGATCTCTATAAACATGTTTATTTTCAATCCTGTAAAGGAAAGTTAATTGGTTTTGCCCCCCCCCCCCCCACGCACCCACCCCTTTCCATAAATTTTACACAGTAGTAATGTATACCCCACCCCACATCCCTGCCACGGATCTGGGGCATACAATAAACCCAAAATCTTTTTTAAAAATATTTTTCTCTTTAAATTTTCGATTTTATTTATTCCGCCATTATTAATAAGCAAATGAAGTTGTTGATACATATACATTATATTTTAGTGTATTTTATAAACATTTAGAGTAGCAAAACTTTTTAAAATTATGTGGTTGATCAAAAGATTAAATGCACTTTTTTTAAGGACATGGGGTATTAAAAAAAAAAAGCTTTTAAAACAGTTTTGAGGTTTTTATGAATTTAACACTTCTTATTATCGTCATTTCTCCCACATATTCAACTGAAATTTAATGCAGAAGTCAATCAAAATGCATTAAATAAATAAATAAATAAAAAAATAAAATAAAATAAAAAAAATGACATGATTTGAGTCTAATTTTATCGTTTATTTAAATTACCATATAAAAATTGAATTACATGTAATTTGAATCAGAACACAGGAAAATGCAAGAAGCTTTGATAAATATCCCACTTTCAACTGTTCTTGAAAAAAAAATCAAGGTCAGCTTGACAAATTTAGCGATTGATTTGAAATGTTAATGCCGCATACATGGTGTGGTCTGTCCTATTTGGAGCAGCAGTAAAAGTACGAGCGTATAAAGCATTTATATGTTTCTCATTAAGACTTGACCACGGCACACTGTTCGCCATAGGGTTTGAAAAGTTTCATTTATTTTTGTGGACAAATCCTTGAATCTCAGCACATACACATGGCTACCTGTGCGTCCAACGATTCATAAAACCTTGATCTCAAAGTAATTTTTTAAAATCATTTTCTTTGAACTCAATTTTAATTAGATTTTGCATTTTTAATATATTTGTCTCAGATTTTACTTTTTATTTGCCAGTGATCAGGCACACGACTCGCTATATGGATTTTGTTGTAGTTGGCCCTAGCTCGGATATCTCGAGGGAAAAATGCAATACATGTATACTTTTAAAAAATTCCAGTCGAACTTGGTCAAGCCAGTCGCATTTTTTTTGTCCTTTAACGCCCCTGTCATAACTTTGAAATCGATCTGTCTAAATCAATATTTCAGAGATGTCCTGTAGTGATTTATTAAATATTCCTCATTTGATATATAGCTATCGTATATATTCGATCTTGTCATTGTGTCTAACCAATGTCCTGATAGAAGACAAGGGGAGAAGCAATTTATGATAATAAAAAGTTATATTTTGTATGGAATTAAATACAAAAGTTATTTTTGAAAAATCCTCTTTTTTTTAACCATAGTCTGGAAAATTCCAAGTACACTTTACAAAAATTGCTTTTAATTTCAAATCATCTTTTCTAAAATTTAAGTCTGGAAAATTCTCCAAGTATATTGACTAAAATTGTTATACATTGCGGAAGACTTTTTAAAAATATAGGTCTCTTTAGGGACTGGGCTTTACTTTGGAGTGCCTTCCTTCGCCGATCTCCAACCAAGCCGATTCTCAGTGGAGATTGTGTTTACCCTTGCATTCTGACTATTAAAGGGAGTAGTACTAGAATTGTCAGTACATCAAATCACACATGTAAAACTACATTCAAGCCCATTTCAATAATTCAAATCTGTAGACCGTTTTCGGACGAAAAAATAAAACGAGAATCATAGGCGTAGTCACAGGGGGGGCAGCGGGGGCACTAATGTGGGGGGGCAAATATGTCTGTGCCCCCCCACTTTTTAAAAGAAGAACAAAATCACAGCTATTTTTCCCCAACATTACCTTTACTATAGGAAATATTGAATGAATGAAAAAGTTGGCCCTCCCCCCCCCCCCCCCCCCACGAAATAGGATTTTCGAGTTTGGGGAACTTTCCCTTTTTTTTTTTTTTTTTTTGCTTGTCAAAGGATTTCTGGAGTTGAGCCCCCCCACTTTTAAGTTTGGTTTTTTTTTTCAAAAAATTTCTGGAGTTGAGCCCCCCCCACTTTTAAGTTTGGTTTTTTTTTTTCAAAAAATTTCTGGAGTTGAGCCCCCCCACTTTTAAGTTTGTGACTACGCCTCTGAGAATTGATAAAAGCCAACATTCAATCAAACAATTTTAATTATATACAAAAAACTTGTAAATATAAAACACATGAGTAAAAACAATATCACTATACACACCTAAATTATACTATATAATAGTAATAGGCTAATAGCACTAAAACATAGATTTCACAACGAGACACAGTGTAACTTGGCAAGTATGTTCTGTTTTTCAAATCGACTGCACTACAATCTCCTAAACATCGTCTTGAGGGTTTGTCTAATAATAATTAAAACTTCCGATGGCGATCGTTTCGCGACATTGTACAAAGAACTGTTTGTGGTGGTATCTTTTTACACATATATGTTGCATTGCAGATTGCGTTTCATGATGTTGCAATTTTTTTTAACTTTTACTGACACATTTTCAATATCCATCCAAATGAGTAATGATCACGGTATGACCTTGAAAGTATTTACTGTATTTTACAGGTTACAAGAATTGCTCCTATTTTCAAACCGCGGATGTGGTTCCACATCATGACTTCGCAGACTTCGAGTACCTGAGAATCCTTCACTGTGGCGCCGCCCAGATCCTGTTCCGCCAATTCGTATACGGGAGATAATTCTTTGAAAAAGGTTTCGATGACGTAATGACTCGACGTCAACTCCGGCTTTGTCCAACCAGTGGCGGTCTTTTTCCAATAAATACCCTAAAAATACAAATCAACAATTCAAAAACAGTAACAAAATAGGTAAATTCCAGCATAAACATACTGGTATCCACTTGAATTTCAATAAAATGACAATAAATTTTAATTTGATTGAAAGCTAATTGACATTATTTTTTCCGGTGCAAGTTAATTACCCGCTCTGAGGAGTTTTCGTATATTTTCGGAGGATGCTTCACTTGAGGAGAACATTCCGAGATAGAGGGCCGATTGACCTAGTTTATCTCTCTTATTGATGTCACATCCGTTTTTGATGAGGTATTCTATGGTTCGTTCACGTCCTTCTCCAAATGCAATTAAAAGCGCTGTTTTCCCCGTGGAATCCTGTTCGTCCAATAAAGCACCTGAACAGAAAATATCAAGATATATTAGAAATTGCGTGATCTTTTCATTAACCTTATTTTAAATTTAATTTTTTTTACCCTTTATAGATATATAGATCACAAGGGGGCTAATACATGAAAAAGATTATTAACTCTAATATTTGTGCTTTTTTAAAAGAGTTTAATATTTTTACCAGTAATTATTTTTGTTTTCAATGTAAATACTAGCGAGGGCATATAAAAATTTAAAAAAATACTTCAAAGATTTTGAAATCTTTTTAGAAGCTGGAGGAATCAACTAATATAACATTATTCAAAAATCATAATTATTAAAATAGATATTCTTATATAAAAGCACGTGTATTGACTAAATAAATTATAGCCATTTTATAGGGTTGTTTTTGTTCTGAGCCTATCTATTAATATTCTATTTATTACCAAACTGTTCATTAGGCCTCCCTACATGGGCACGCCAAAACACATAAAAAATGAATCATCTATTTTCACGATGACCAAATCACTCTCGTTTGCTATGACCCTAGTATAGGCGGACTCCCAATAAGTCCTAGTTTTGACCAATACCTGCTTTGTGAAGCAATTTGACCGAATCCAGGTCGTCATAAAGAACCGCCTTCATGACCGCGGTCTGCCCGTGTCTGTTCTTGGCGTTTAGTTGTGTTTCTCCTGGAAAGAAAATAAAATCATATTAATATTTGTGCTGATTGAAGTAATTAATTTTTTCCTGTTTCTACATAAGTTGTGAATTCCGTATTTTTTTAATGGAAAATTTTTTCCCTATAATATTCTTGTACATGTATTTAAACAATAAAAATGCTGATAGTACGGAAATTAACGTCGCAACTGTTGCAGAAAAAAAATACATACTGCAATAGTTGCGATGTTAATTCCTGTATTAACAAACAACAAAGACATTTCACTCTTTATATACATACCTAAATTAAATAGCATTTCAAGTACAATAAAATTAAATGTGTCCTTGTATGCATTTTTAAATGAACTTTGTGCTGTATTTTAATGTTTATATACGGTGGTGTACACTTCTAAAACAATTTCGGATAAAAGTAACACCTAGAATATACGAGGGCTGTTCGGAAATTATTGAGACAATTACATTTACTCCATAAAGGACGGAGATGATTTCATGAAAATTCATCAATATTTTATAAAGAACGAATAAAACACTTATGCAAAATTTCTAACTCCTATGATAATTAGATAAGTTTCGGTGAAATAATAAACATGCATATGTCTATCGACCCGGAGCAGCATTGCTACGTCATTTAACGTCTTATCAGCCGGAGATGTTTCGCATGTGAAACAATCGGGAAGCGTTTAATACTCTTCTTTCTTTATTATTACATATAACATTACAAAAATCAAACATTCTCTTTTCTTAAACAATTATTTAAATTGTGTGCTGTTGCTACCCCAGTATAAATTTTCTTTTGTGAGAAAGGATGACTTAGAATCATACAATGCCGATTTATGCAACGCGGGTCAGCTATATCAATACCGTAACGATATTAATACCATAAGTAATAACGGACGGTCTTCCAGAGCTTTTGATTTTACTCTGGTTGAAGTAATTGTAAAAAAAATGTATATCAATAAAATAACAAACCCTAAAACATTTTTTCTCGTTGTAATTGTTTTAGCATGTCGTGCTGTCCGGAAAAGAGTTCTAAATTGAGCTACACAAAATTTTAGGTATGCTGGCTGCTCCGCCCTTGACGTCAAAATCTATTTTGTCGTCGTTAACAGATTTCTCTACCGCGCTTTATTTTGTCATGATCTCCGTATTTCTGATCAAAATTTAGACAAAGTTGCACAATATGAATTTAAGATAACGCTGAAAAATTATACTTATACACTAAATTATTTTCGCTTTTATTATGGGTCCACAAAGAGTTAAAAGGTTGGTTATGCATATTTTCAATAAATGATTTCGTGACTGCTCCGGGTACCCCTACTATTGACGCATTTATATTCCATTGTAGAGAAAATATTTAATATTTGTAAAATATCTCTTGCTTGTATTAGTTCTTAGTGTGTGTCAAACCTACATGCAAATTTTCACCGAAAGACGTTCATTAGAAAGTAAAATATACACAATTTCTCAATAATTTCCGAACAACCCTCGTATGTTTAGTATTTTTTAAATATATTTTTCTTTGAATCACCCAAGATTATTAATCAATTGATATCTTTCAAAAACTCCGGTAATGCATGCTCATTTTTTGTCTATGAACATCTGATGACACTATAATCTAAAATTAAGAATATCTTGAAAAATTATCAGTTGGAAAGGTATGTTGCCTATGTCCTTAGTGCATTTTACTGACCGATAAATGGTTTTCTTCAGAAATCAAGGAGATGTAATTATAAATACATACTATACTGGTTTAACTTAATATGAAGTGTATACTAGTTGTTACATTAATTTTTTATAATGCGGAGAAATTAAAACGAACTATAACAATCTGTACACTTGTGAAATTGATATAAAAAAGGAAATATGTGCCAGGGGTTAAAGGAAGACATGCATGACTTTATGCTTGTCAGTAATTTGGGAAAACTTCCCAAAAACAAGGCCACGTCTTGTCAACGTTATCGTTCTTTAGTATGTTTGTCCAATCAGGATCTCTGATGAAGCATGAGGCCACGCCCATTGTGTAGGAGGTTATCTTTACGGCGGACTACGAGTCCGAGTGAAAGTTTTAGCCAATCAGCTTTTTATGGCTTTTTCGAGAAAAAAAAATTCCATAAATATTTAAAACATGCATACAAAAATAAAAATGAATTTTTTACTTTAAAATAAATCAATAAATATAGAAAAGGGTTAAATAATTTCATTTTAATTTACATGCATGTCTTTTTGACAAATTACAATGTTTCTGCTAGTGCTGAGCTTAGTATATGTAATAATATGCTTAGTAAACAATAATGTAATATTTCTATGCCGGAGTCCTCGACACCTCGAAATAAATCACGTCATACAGTGCAGCAAATTTGACAGCACGCAAGGATAAACATTTACCTAGAACCGTAAGAAACATGTGAAGTTGACACCACGTTTGTTTATTGCACATGCACAGCCTGCATATGTACACCTTTACAGCCCATTTTATTCAAGTAAAACATTTTTTGCAGACTGTTCCAATATAAAATTATCTCATCTGTATACAATAAACGTAGAAACGTGGTGTAAAATAAAAGTACTCCTTTTGAATGATTAATGTATATCAGGGCAAAAAAATGCGATTATACAATGTCTGGTTTTTTTGGTGGACAGTTTCCTTTAGAGCAATTTGAACTATTGCGACGGTTTTTAAATAATTATTTTCAAAAAATACATATTTCACTTTAAAACATTGAAGTCATACGAAACATGACATTGGATTAATCAAGTAGCTTCGTGGTTTACAATTTAAATACATTCAGTCCAGATGGTGAGTCTTTTTCTAAATGATAAAGCGTCTGGGAAGACAGTAAAGCAGTGATCGGACAACACTTGAGCTATTCATTTGCATTTCAATTTAATTATACAAACTTTGCGTTAATTTTGCATATAACTTTTAAAATTAAAAAGAAGTTGAGGAAAGAGCAACCATGGCTGCAAAAACTTAAGTCGATTTGCAAATGCTGCAAAAAAAGATAAATGCAAATTTTACGAGAACTTGTTATGTTGTAAATTTTGCATTTACTCTCCAGGTAAATCAAAAATTTACAGCATGACAATTGGAATAGTTAAATTAAATTGTCAGTTTACCCATGTATAAAAATAAAATGTGACGCATTGCACCTGGCCTATGATGCAAATTACCGATAATTTTTTGTCACTATTATCACTTGTAAATCACATAAAATGTAATTCCACTGCATAATGATTTTTCACGAAAAGTATGTACATTTTATCAAAGGTTCAGCTTCTAGACCTTAAAACATACAATTAATATTGGTCATATCTTGAAAAAAGATTAATTATCTTTGATCAAAGCATAAAAATATCTTACCATTGCTAATAAGTAATTTCATGACGTCATAATGACATCGTTCGGTAGCTTCGTGAAGAGGTGTGCTTCCATCAACATCTGAAATATTTGGATTACTGCCTGCATTTAGTAAATTTTTGACAGCTTGGATTTTTCCATAACGAGCTGCATAAAACAGAACTGTCCTCCCATTAGCATCTCTCATGTTAAGTTCATTTGTTGTGATATTTGCAGCGTTTGCAAGAGCAACCGCTTTGTTGGTTTTGGTGGATCGCTTTGGAGATTGCTTTTGCCTCAACACTGCTAAAGCCATGTTTGAAATCACAGAATAAAAGTTTGTCCGTCAAGCGATCACAAAGTTTATCTTCATCTAGTAGTATCGCCTCATCTGTAAATTTAGAAGAAAAGAAAAAACTTCATAATAAATTTGCATAAAAATAATTATCTATTTTTTGACACACATTTCGATTATTTCCTTAATTGCACATGTCTCCGTGAGGTAAAAGTGTAATAAGGATTTTAGAATTTCCCCCCGTCTAATAAAAGCTACCTGTCACCCACAGGATGACGGGGTTATTAATTTAGCACAGGTGATGTGAATCCACAACACACACGTTTTTACATCTGAATCCTATTGAAGTTCCTCTCTATTTACACATTAGCATAAATCCATTTTAAGTAGCTGACCCCTCGCCCTCATCATGCCTCGTATAATATTTTAAGCATGAAATCGGTCCATAATAGTCAAACGCTGCAGTTTTATTAACTAACCACGTGTAAATATTTTTCTTCCTTGTTCTAATCTTGTTTTAAAATCTTTTCAAAGGTGACGTAGGGAAACACAACAACAACAAAATAAATGGAGACATGAATAAAAAAGATAAAATATCTAAAATAAAATATTGCACCAGCAAAATAAAATGTATTTTGAATTCTTACCTCAATCACAAGAAATATCCTTTTTTCGAAGTAAAAACAACATGTGCTGCAAGTTAATGCAAATGTTCCCAATATTTGGCCTTCGCTCTTAATTGTCTCTGCTCGTTGTACTGCTGTGTTGTTTTTCTTGTGTTGGACAATAGGGTGACCGTAATGGCGTACTGTTGTCAATCTGTCGTAGTTGACGGGCCGTGCTTGACCAGTCCTGCTGGCGGCCTAGTACTGGACAGCGAGGTGGTCAGTTGATGAATGTTGTTTGCAGTAGAACAGACTTGTGCAAAAACAATAATGCCTGATTGGTCGTGAACTAAGATTACATCTCGTGCTCGCCTGTAATAGATTATGGTCGTAAAAACCCTTTGAAGCATATCGGTCCGCGAAATTATTGGTATATTTTTCTTTTGTTTTTTGTCTTTATTAATAATTTTATTAAATAAGTTTATTAAAAAAAACGGAGAGTTAAAATTTTGTGAGATGTAAAATTACGTACAAAGATATTTTTGGGGGGACTAAAAGATACAGTTCCGAAGAAGAGGACGCAATTAAAAATATTATGTGTTTAATTAATATTTCACCTTACATAATGTTCGAGTTATGATGAGAGCATTATGTCATTTGCTTGCCACTTCAATACACATTGTTCATTGGTTCTTGCGACGATCAACTTGGCAGCTATAATGAACCAAACTTATGATCGTTAAACCACCTCTTACCATATTGTTTCAGAAGCCCATAACATTATTGCAGTTATTCAAGTAAAAACAATTTCTCCTTTATAACTTCTGTTAACCATGTTTTCTTTTTCTATTTGGGTCTTCCTAAACTATTTCGTTGTTGTATATAAGAATTCTACGTTTTGTTCAATTCTGACATTGATTCTTGGGATGCTATACTAAATCACGTGTCTATAAAACACGAGTTTCCTTTGTTTTGTGGTCACGCGCCGCATTTTCTCCTCTAAGTAACAACGTCTCGCAACCGGCTACATGTGTACCACAAAATTTAGAGTATATATTGTGATTTGTAAGGATAAATGGTTGTTTTGATAATTTCGGTTGTTCTTATTCTGTTTTTTGTTCATGTAAGGTACCATTACCATATTTGACGATAAATTGAATAAAAATTTGATAATTTGTCTGTTTTTGTAAACCGATATTCGATGACGTTGATATTCATTCTGGAACCTTAATATTTTTATGTTGTAAATTTTAAATTTACTGGGTGGCAGTAAATACTACCATCTGGTAAATTCAAAATTTTTGACATTTCCCTGAGCCAACAAATTCTCTGATCTAGCTGAGCAGTATCTTTGTGTACATTCTGTTGTCGTTGCTGTTGTGACGACGTTTGTCCTTTTTTGCTTTTTTCACTGCATTTATAATGTTGTTGTTGTTCCTGTAATCTAAATAATTTTAACCTTGTTTGTAAAACTGATGTTGTTGCTGTGTGGCATTGTTAACCATGATCATATAACTTATGTTGTTGTTGTGTGGCATTGTTAACCATGATCATATAACTTAAGTTGTTTTTGAGTGGCATTGTTAACGTATGACATACGTTCATATAACGTATGTTGTTTTTGTATGGCATTATGAACCACGATCTTGAACTTAAGTTGTGCTTTTGAGGCACTGTTAACCATGATCATACATGTATAACTTATCTTTTTTTGTGTGTGGCATTGTTAACCATGATCATATAGCTCTTATGTTGCTCTTGTTGTTGTTTTTGTCGGGTATTTTGATCTTGTTTGTAAACTGGCTGTCGTTGTTTTTGTTATATGTTTGTAAAGTTGTCTAATTGTCACAAGAATTTGTTATATTCATTGGTTTCTGACAGTGGCTTTACGAGTGCTCTAGATTTGGAAAACAAGAGGTGTCTCAGGGACAACTTATAGATAGTGTTGTATTCTAGATAGTGCTGGGTTCTAGTTATCACGGCGATGTGTTGTGTTCTAGATAACTCGACAATGTGTAAAAAATGGAGTATTTAATTTAAAAAAAAAGAATAGTAGTTTCATTTAAGGAGGCTGGGGGTCAACAAATTAACCATCAGATATAATTTATTTTTTGATATGGCGAAAACCACCCATTCCTCTTAAAAATGACCTTGTAGGTGAATGCAATTGAACTCCTGCGAAGATCTATTGTCAAAATTAAAGAAGAACGATGTTTTGTTTCTTTGGCAAAAAAAAAAAAAAAAATCAGCTAATACAAAAAAAAAATATAAATAAAAAAATAAATGTGAGGATGTCAAAAAATCTACAATAAATATCTGTGAAAAAGTCTAGTTACAACATGGGCCCCGGGAATTCCAGATGTGGGTTCAGTTGCCTGGGAAAAGTAAGTAACCCCTGTCGATAAAAAAAACTAATACAACAGTTACTTTAAAATAGTCCTTCTGCAAAATAAAGATTTTGAATTTGGTAGAATATAATCAATATCACACTATATTCTTTATTTGCTGTAATTTTTCAAGTTGCAACCTAGCAGTTTTTTTTATGAAAACTGTTCTGTAGAACACCAAAAAGAAAATTGATGCAATTAAGATATCTACTGGTTAAAAAACGATACTTAAAACACGGCAGTTAGACTCTTTGACGATGGTGTTTCTAAAAAAAAAAAAAATCTATCAGCTAATATACGACTGCAACGATTGGCCCCATGTAAAGTTATGATTATAAATTGGCCAAGGATAACATCAACATTGTTATATCTTTATTCATCTTATCCATCATAAAAATGGCAAATAATGAGATTTTTACGGAAATGCAACAGTTATTGTCCAAAGAACCATCCTGTAATCTAGAGGACGTTCACATTATCATAAATAATTCAAACACCGTGTTACAAAGTTTGGATGACGTGATTGCATTAGTTAACAACGCCATTAAGATCTAAATTAAGGATGTTTTAATTTGTAAACAATACACACTATTGGTCACTAAACTAGAATAATAACACGATTTATTTTTATAACACTTTATGACTAAAAGCTTTGTTTTTGTTCAATTTTTTTTCTTATAAAAAATGACTGAAAAATTCAAGACGCATTATATGCTTCCAAAATTATAAATCGTAGATGTATTAGAACAATTACTGTCCAAGCTTGATGGCGTTAATGATTTGTGTTTTGAGATTTTAATATTACAATTCTTCACAAAAATAAACTGAATTTCCTGATGAATCAAAGGGGGTGGGGGGGGAGAGTACGTTGAGGTTTGCGGCAATACGAAAAATTGTTGTTTTTACAAATTAAAAAAAATCATTTTAAATCCGGCTTTATTACTAGACGTTTCATTTGTGCAATCAGTAATAATTATTATAACATTTTTGTATTAATAATTATAATTTTTAAAAATAATTTTTTTAAAAATCACATTTTTATTTCGCAAATTTAGCATTTATATGGATTAAGCAGAAGAAACACACTATAATGCGCAGTTACATTAGACAACCTAGGGCTTCATTTTTTTCTCTGAACTCTTGAGGATTACTGTTCTAAATGTTTACATCCTCAATGCAGAGATAAATTAAGAATACAATGACCTTGTCATGATGTAATAATTTTTCATTTATGAAAATGCTTACGGTGACATGTAATATTCTGGCTAACGTATAAATGTTGCACACGCAGGTATGTTTCATTAATAAACTTATTTATGTCAGATCCAATTATTAGACTTTGACCTCAAAAAATTTTTGAGATATTTCAAACAGTTTCAATAATAAAATAATTTACAAAATTATTACTCATTGTGTCAGTATTTTCTGTCACTAATTAACAGTTTTCAATTGTCGGTATGTGCTCTCATTGAAAATGGTCAACGATAAATATTTGTTGCCCATAAGCTTAATGCAATATACCAAACTTGGTTTAACACTGGACCAATCATTCTCTGACAAGAAGCTTAAAATGTTCAGAAGCTATTTGGTTGAAATAGTTGCTCGCCATCGTCGCAAACCACGGGTTTTGAGTCCGCAAGATAGAGAGAATCGACGTGAATCACCCGTGGGTTACCGACGATGGTCGCTCGCAAATAAAAGCGATTTGTTGGAATAACAATGTATTTAAAAAAGATATCGTGAGTTAGCCATACATCAATACATGTATGCTAAAAGTTTTCCTATTTCTACCTGCCAATCAAATCTAACCTGTACTCTAAAATTAGAACCTAAACATGAATAAATAATATAAATTGATATTTATTAAACAATTTCACAATAGCGGTACATGTAGTGTTAATTTAGGACGCAAGTCACAATTTTAAATTAAATAAATCAGTTTATAATGCATGATTAGTATGTAATTATATATCCTAGAACTGTTGTAATCTTTTGCATATTTTAGCCATGAATTACGATGAATGAAATTAAATATGTAGCGTTAAATTTGGCAGGAATAAAAAGAAATCTTCTCTTCTATTGGTTATCTCCACTGACAATCACTAGTTGACCTGAACTTTTGACCTTTATAAATGACCTTGAGACAAGGACCTGGCATATTAACACCAGAATAATGTCAGTAAGTTAAGTTCACTCCAGCCTCTGTTTTATCTGTTTGAATTTTCTCAAGCAGAGAGCTACAGTTCTGCAGCTACTCCAGCCATAAATTCCAAGAGTTATGCTATCCCATTCATCTTCATTTTAAGTATGTCACTGTAACTCAAGTCAAGACATATCAATAAGATCATTGACAAAACATATTCAAGTTTGCATCCGTTCTTATCAAAATGTTTAGAAGGTTGATATACTGGTACTTGGTATACACTTCTTTATGAGAGGTTAGTAAGTTTGGTACCCCCAAACTCATCTTTGAAATATGCTCATCTCTTCAAAAAATGAGAACAAAAAGCCACTTTTTATTAGGAATGGTTTGAATATCAATCGGCATTAAAAACCACTTCAAAACTAGATATTTGCAATACTTTCAGAACTTTGATTTTGTCAGATAGAGAGGGAAACAAGATGTGTTTGTGAAACACTGATGCCCCCGTATGGCAACATAGCAAATATTAGCTGCAGAACTGCAGCTCTCCGAATAAAAATATATTGATAGACCGGAGAGGTCAAGGTTATTGGTATCCAATGAAAGGTCTTGCCACATAAAATACATTTGTAAAGTATGGAAGCCCTAGCCCTAACTGTTCAGAACTTATGGCCAAGGTTAAAAAATTTTAAAAGTAGGTGAAACCCCAGGGTCAAGGTCAAAGGTCTCACCATCAAATGAAAGGTCACAAGGATTAAATATGTAAAGTATGAAAGCACTAGCCCTAACCCTTCAAAAGTTATGGTCAAAGTTTGCTTTTTAGAAATAGGTCAAACTCCAAGGTCAAGGTCAAAGGGTCAAAGTTCTTGGTATCCAATGAAGGGTCTTTTTACAAGGATTACCTATGTGAAGTATGAAAGCCCTTCCCTTACAGTTCAAAAGTTATGGCCAAGGTTAACGTTTTTTCACAAGTACGGAAATCTCCAAGGTCAAGGTCAAGGTTGTTGGTATCCAATGAGAGCTCTTGCAACAAAGAATACATTTTTGAAGTAATAATGTCCTGGTATCCTCTGTTTAAAAGATATGGCCAAAGTAAAAGTTTGGAATTTTTGTGTAAAACTGGGTCAAACTCCAAGGTCAAAAGGTCAAATTTGGTGGTACCTAAAGAAAGGTCTTGTCACAAGGAATACACATGTGGAATATGAAAGTCATAGCTCTACTAAATCAAAAGTTATGGGCAAGGTTAAAGTTTTTGCGGACAAACAGACAGACGGACGGACACAACAAAAACTATATACCCCAAAACTTCGTTTACTAGGGGCATAAAAATACAGCTTGGAGTTCACCATACATCCAAAAAATTGCATTCATTGAACATTACTGCAATTGTGTCAGAGAATATTAACTTTTTCACTAACTGTTGTTTGACTATCTACATATGATATAAGGAAATGTGAGAAAGGGGTGATATTCTAGTACACTTAGGGTAATTAAAATTCAGTAATGCACCCTTTTCTTTATCTGGCTAAAAACTCAGCCTAATTCTATATTTTGATTTTTCAATTCTGATAATGAATGCATCTTCGCTAGCCAAGGGTTTCTGATACGCTACTGAAGCGAGTAGCTTATCAGAAGCCCTTGGCTAGCGAAGATGATAATGAAATTCAATGTAGAATTTTATTCTCTTTAATATGTTCAAATATCTGGAAATGTCTAAATCTTACTCCCTCCACAAAAGAAAAACCCTTGAAGTGATGGACAAACTACAAGTCACGTTAATATAATAATTACAGAAAGGGGTTAATTGGATAACATAAAATCTTTGTCCATTACGTGACAAGGCGTGCGATATGCTTCATAGAACAGTAAAGTAGTAGCAATTTGTCATTATCCATAAGGGCACTTGAGAGCTCTTTGCACAACCAGACAATTTTCCCTGCATAGCACCATCATACTATTATTGCTAGTCAAAAATGAGAACCAGATTGGTTCATCAAAACGCCATTTTTTTTTGTTTTTCAGAAAGAAGCCGTCCATAAAAAAAATGCCAAGTCATCAAGAGCACAAATGTCCACTAGAAGGCACTGCGACACTCCCAGCAGTTCATTAAAAAAAATAAAATAACAGATTTCTTGTATTTGATGATTATTTTTTAATGATAACAATGTAGATGATAACATTAGAGACATTATAACATATTTTTAAGTGAAACTCAGAATTAAATTGCTGAGTCAACTTTTTTATAATTTGTTTGTCTATTCAATATAGATGAGTTGAAGAGAAAGGGGGGGAGAGGGGAGAGTTGATCAATGCTACGCTGAACAAGCATTTTCAATGAAGTATAATTTAGAATTTCAAAATGTTAGCTACTCTTAATTTCTTATCTATACATGCTTACAAAAATTTTACAAAGCATTTACATGTACTGACATACCTTCATATGGTGTTTTGTGACAAAATGCTGTTGAGGCGTAACAATAAAATATTTTATCCATTATAAATTACACATGTACAACTACTTAACCCAAAGCTATAAAACAATGTAATCATAACCCTGGTTTTACATAAATATTGCAATTGTGTGACTACGAAATGTTCACATCCATAAATTTCTTCACCAGGTTATGGTGTTGCAATTAATAATCTCAATCTTCTATATACATGTATATTTTTTTTAAATTTCTACTTACCTAAATTCATAAAGTACATCATAGAACTGTGAAAATCCTACCTATTTTAAATTAGGTATTGCAAATACATATTATTGGTCTGGTATAAATTGGTAAAAGATGACCTAAATTGAACAAGCCCAATTGTAAAATGTTACATGTATGTACAATACAGAACAAGCTAGTGGCAAAACTCTGTAATGGCAGAACTCTAAACATGTCCACATTGAAATATGATTACCTATGACCTACTTGTCATAAACTTGTACACACTTAATGATGATGTAAGGCATGGTTTCTATGGAGACATGATCTCAAATAATTTTTCTCATAATACACCTAAACTAAATGGGAAGCACATTTCAAAGAAACAATAAGCATTAACAGATAAATACACAATCAAACCTCATTATTTTTAACTTAATGAGGTTGAGTAAAAAATTTAAGATATCCATGGATTCTTGATATCGAGGTTAAAATACATAATGTAAAAGTGGCTTGGACTTCCAACTAACTTTGACATTCATGTATCAATGATATTCAATATACATTGTACAATGTATCAATTTTGAGGTACTCATATTCAACTGTGTAATACCCTTGCTAACAAAGCTGAGGTTATTTGCATTAAATATACCAGGCAAACTTAAAATAAGACAAAATCTTTTGCAAGAAAAAAACTTTGTTAAAGATATGAAAAAAGACAGTACTGTGAAAATTGGTTGCAGTCAATATTTTCACTAAACACTTTCTAAGCATATATTTACTCTAGAAAACAAAATACAAATAATATGGTTATTCTCTTTATATATTTAACAAAAAAAATAATTATATATTTGTTTTTATATTTTAAACATAAAAATACAAAGTTTTAATTTATTTTGCAAAAGTAAAAAAAAATGGAAAAAGGATCAACTATGGTGTAAGGAACAAATAATCTTTTTCAGTAACAAAAAAGACCTTAGCTCTATAATATATAATTTCTAAGCAATGGAAAAGGAAATTTAATTGTATCATTAACGTGTACGATAAAACAAGAACTAAAATCCCTCTCTGTCTTCTTCAATGTCTCTTTCAGAACAAAAATAACATAGCACCTGCACTAAAATGTAATGATAGGAACAGTATTCCCTTTTTAGCAGTCTCGTTTACTGTTAATTGGTGTGTTTGACTGGCCACTTCTAATTTCAGTGCAGGAGATCATCATGTCTGTCCACAGGTGGCGGTTTGTCTGGAATTGTGGGTCGTGACCCGGAGGTCAGGTATCCAGCCACACTGGGTCCGGTTGGACCTGAAAAAAAATTAATAAATTTAAAAAAATAAATAATATTATGTACAAAACAGATGAGGAGATTCTCTGAAAATTTAAAAATTTTCATTCTTTAGAACAAAGCTAAACTTTATAAATCCTCGGTACTACTGTATAAACATGTACAGTGCATCATGCAAGTCAGATCAAACAAACAAATGAATTTTCAATAAGAACCCGATAATTTAAAATAGGGGATAGCTCTCTTACTTAATCATTCACACTTGATAAGCATTGAGATTATTTTTGAAGGTATTATAACTTTTCTTCCATTTCTACTCTGTTCCTAGATAAAATGTGATTAATTCCCATTAACCAGATGACAGTTAATACTGACATCCACAAAGGTATGATCTATGCAGATTTGGTTATGATGAGTGCATGTGTCTGGTTAAAAAGCTTAATCCACAAACCACACACAAAGAAATTAGGCATATTTCTTAGTATTGAAAGAAAGAGGGTTCTTATAGTTTACTGGGGCATAATAGTTACATGAGTATAGATTTCTTTTAAGCCAAGGAACCTTCTCATTCACTTAAAGTAAGACTATATACGGTAATTGTGTGCATGCATTCCCAGTTACACCTTCCAAGCAGTTTGGAATTACATGTGGACAGATATCTTGGTTTTTGATGAAGAGATGTCATGAAGTCTGGATTTCTCTGAATACTTATACATATATATATGTGAATGTATCTAATTATGAAATGAAAAAAGTTTCATTAAAGGAATTATTAATTCATCCCTAAATGTAGGCAAACAAATCCAGCAAGGTTATTTATATAAAATGTGAGAAAGGAAACTACACATACATCAAAAGAAAGAGCCAAAGGTTCTCTAATATTGCATGCAGGTGTAATACATATCATGTATCTCTGATTAAATTTGTACATGCATGGAGAGCTTAAATTATCTAAAATTTGAATCTGGTATTCAATGTGTCGGAAGACAATTAAGATGAAAGAAAAAAATTCTAAAGAAACAAAGCCTTTATTAAAACATTTCTGATGTTAGAAAAGTCTGAACGATTACATAAAAGTCAACCTGGACTGACAAGCCAGAGATCAAATGCCAATATCACATAAATCTATGCAAAGTCATGCACGAGACTACATGTATCCATTTACAATATAGTGAGCAATATGCAAAAACTGTCTTTCAGATGGACAATACATGGCAGAAATTTTTATAAGGGAATGGGGTCTGTATGATTTTTAATGCTAAATCAGCATTTAGAGTTATATTCTGTGTACCAAATGGCCTGGTCATGCAGAAAAAAAAGTTATAGGTACCAAGTAATAAAACCCTTACTGGACCCATATTAAATGCCAAGAAATAATTAAGGAATTGATGCACTCATGAATATAGGTTTTTAAAAAAAAAAAAAAAAAAGGGGAAATTGCCATAATCACATTTTCTTGACTCTACATTATGGAATGGAAAAGATTTTCCTCCCATTAACAACTGCATAAGACAAATGAATTTCTTAAAGAATAGACTAAACAGTTTAAAATTATCTTTTGTTATATTGCTTTTTCTGTGACAACAGGATCAAATTAATTATCTAGACCCCCTTCTTAGAATTAACTAATTTAACCTACATATAAATGAACGATTCTTATACTCATTACTTATTTTGAAAGCAAATCTATTTATCATTCCACAGTGACACCACTCAGTATTTGCTAAATGTGAAATTATATCGAATATTCTCACAACAAAGCAGTGAAGGAACAAGAATATATGTGAAAATACGAAGTGCAAGACAGAACTGTTTTCCTATCTGATCTTTAATTTGATATTTGTGCATAACCTTGCCTTGAAATTTTTCAAGGTCGTTACACAGATCTAACCATTAACAGCACCTTCCAGATTTTTGGCTTATGTTCAATGTGAAGTCACAATCTCCTTCATATGAAAATTTATGGCCTTGTTTAAATAAACAGTAAGACAGACAGATAGATAAAAAAGCAAGTTGACTGACCACTTCAATCACAGAGGCATAAGAAAACAATAAGGGCTTTATTAATACATTTACATGTAAGTATACTACCAAAGAAAGCAGAAAAGGTCAGCATTAAAATTCACTACTGCATTAAAATACAGAGTCATTAATCAAAACACAAGCCACATAAACACACAAAGCACACTCTGCCTTTCAACTTTACAAACATTTTGAAATCTGTTAGTTAAAAAAATTCCCCAAACACACAAATACACACTTGTTTAGATACGTGCTTCTACAATGAACTCTACTATACATTTGCAAATGGAATACTGATTAAGAAAAACACTCCAAACCAAGAAAAAAAATTAAATAATATCCGAGTTTCATGCTATTACCTTTGGAGGAGTCTAAAAAAATAAGGAAATAAATGCTAATTTATATCTCTCATGCAAAAGATCTCTCAAAAATAAGAAACATGGGTATATACATGTAAATGAAATGGATTCAAATAAAATGTCACAGAACTTGTAAGAAAAAATTAAACAGCAAACATAGTACATATATATTTGTACTGTACGAGTATACATGTGCATGAATGTAACATGTACTCATGAATTTTGAAAATGGACACACATAAGTACAGCTTGCTTGTCTGAAATCAAAGGAGGATCTACATATAAAGTGACTCTGAAGACTGAAATAGTAACAATTAGGACAAGAATGCTTACCAGTCAGATAGCCAGCAATAGGTGTGTCTGATATAAATAGATCATGTTTCTGGTCTTTGTATTCCCTCCACACAGCTGACTTGTCTAAAATGTTTGTTATCTGGAAAGAAAAATTAAAAGAAATACACAAATTAAAAAATATAATAATGAAGCTAAAAACCTATTGAAATTCCATCTGAAAATTGTAATTCAATAAAAATATTCAATCTGCTCCTACGAAGCACCAGTACATTAAGTAAGACTGTTAGTAAATTCTTTGTTAATGCTGTATTTAAGTCCTCTGACCTGTTCTCCATATTGGAACGACCTCTGCATGGACTTGAGGGCCTTGACGATCTGAGCTTTGGTTGCCGCAGGTTTATCTAGGCTCTCCAGCCCTCCCTCCAACAGCTTCAGTAGGAACGGCACTAGATCAGTCTTAATGGCCTGTCATATAGAATTCATTCCATTAGCACATTTAAAAAAAAAAACACTCAAGTCCCCAGTAGAGACACTGTAAAGTTTCATGCAGCAAGTCTCTTTCAAATTCTTGTATACCTAAGCTTCATTTTATCAATTTAACAACGCAATGTGTAAAACTGAAATCAGATTTACTACGGCTAATATACCAAGTTTTTTTTTTGCCCTTTCACATGTGTAAACAATTGCTTCCTGTTTTTAATTTGCCTAGACACAGTTCTATTTCAGATAATGTCACTCTCTTTGAATTTGCTCCATTTTAAATTGGCCCATGTATAAAATTAATGCACATTTATCATCCCCCCTTTTCTCTTGCCCCTGACCTGAGACACCAGTTCCTCCTCCCCTTTGTCAAACATCTTGTACAGGGCCTCGGCCGCCAGGGCGATCTGGTCCCTCCTGGCCTTCATCCCCACCATCATAGCACTGATACACTCCACCTGGGCCATACTCCTGATGCAAATCTGTCAAATATTTAAATTCAAAACATAAACAGTACAATGCCATACACAAATCAAGTCTCATGTCCTTTGATTTTTTCCTCTGTGTCAGCTCCATCTACAATACTCTACATTTAAAATGTTGATAATATATCACTGACCTATTTCCAAAAATAATTAAAAATCAGATTACTGATAAACTGACCTCATTATTGGCTAGCTGATGAACCACTTGTATAGCGGCCTTGGGAACAGCATTGTTACGACTACTCATTGCTTGGAAGATTTTGGGAATGTACCCAAGGGAGGGAACTTGGTCTAGTAACGCTTGCTGAGAGGAAAACAAACACACCACTCCTGTCGTTACTGTCTCTAGAGTCTCATTCTAAAAATAATAATATACGGGTTCATTATAACATAGTTACATGTCAGTTTCAACCTACAGGGAATTAAATTTTAGAATTTCACAGTAAGGTTAAGCCAATGGTACTTGTCATGTAAATTTCTTTTTACAAACTTTCTCCTGTTTTATTTTCTCAAAAAAAACCTTGATATAAGGTCACCTTATTAAAGTTAAGCCCAAATTTACACATTTCTTTAGAGTAATATGTTAATGAGCAGTGTTTAAATTCTGCTTAATAAACAGAGGGGCCAAAGGGCAGAATTAGTAAGTTGAAACCACAAAGTCAGCTCTTCATTGTACGATGCCATAATTTTTAAAGGTCTGAACACTTCTTACATCTGTGTTCTGCATACTGATGAGATGTGTCCACTTCTCCATCAACTCTGTCAGGAATTCCTTGGGTTTCCTTAGCACCCAGCCAGGGTTAGCTATAAATAGCCTCAGGAATACCCCTCCTATGGTCAGCTCTCCCTGGACATCTGAGTAGACCACATTAAAGTCTTCATTCAGTCCCCATCTTGTGTCAGGATTCTCTCTCTGGGCTTTGTAATGGCTGTAGAAAGAATTTAGGAAAATTATTACACCAAGGACTTTAGAATATGTCATTAGTATTATTTTGTAACCAAATCTGATATAAACTTCTTCATACATAATGCATTACACATAACTATACAATCTGATCTTGATAGGTTGTGCTAAGTAATCATAAACTAATGTGAAGTATTTTCCTTGCTCCTCAATACAATGCATTACCTGTTTTTAAGTTTCTTTACAGTGTCTGACACTTTTTCTCTTGACTCATCATTCCATATCAATTCAGGGTTCTCATGGGTCCCTGGAGGCAAAATTTCTTTTGTTAGAATGTGTGTGCAACAAAACCAGAATGTATGAACAATTATCTACAGGCACCAAGCATTTTATTTACTTATTTTTTCCCCTTTGAGATACTAGTATCAAACTGCAAAGAAAAGCCTACTTTAGAGATGAAAAGCTGCTCACCATTCTAAATATGTAGATTTATTAAGTACATATAAGTTTTTTCACATTTTTCTTCTCATAAAAAATTACCTTCAAACATGTGAACACTGGCCTCTGGCGAATCCCTCATGGCATCCATGAAAATAACTGGCAAGAATTTGGACAGGATGATCCTAACTTTTGGTCCCACTAGTTTGTCTGACAACATTTTGGCCATCAGTTCCGCTGTCTTCTCCCTGACATTAGGATTGGTGGCATTAGCGAACAAATCCAGGAGGTAAATAGGGGCACCCTTAGCCAGGGCCTCCTTCACTATCTTAGTACTAGACATCAGGGAAAATAAACTCTCTAAGGTCAGTAACTGACCTAAAACAGACAAAAAAGAAAATTCCAGATTTTTTTTAACCAAGAAGAATTTCAATGCATGAAATGATAAAGTTGGCATTTGATACAATTTTTTCACTTTTTAAAAGAGGGATCTAGGTTGGAATATATCTGTCTGTTAAAAGTTGGGTTTGGATATTATATTTGTCTATTTCTTCATGTTCGGGTTGGCAAATATACTGTATCTGTCTCTTAAGGAGATATAAAAGTCGGTGATATGTCATGCTTACAACTTGGGAGCATTGCAATGGCCATAAGTAGGTAGGCTAGGACCTCTGAGGCTGCTATATCATTGACACACTCCTGATTGGTTGTTACACTATTGATGACCTATCAATCAAATCAGGGTATTTTAAATGTTAAAACATGAATCATCAAAATCAGGAATTTAAAAACATCAAAGGAGGCATACCGGATTTTGAAAGAATTCAAAATGATACAAAAATTTTATATGTCTGTCTTGTAAGGTTCTAAAAATATCAAATTTTTCAGACTTACTTCTAAAGCAAACTGCTGCAGTTTGGCACAGTCATCTAGTCTTAACAGACAGAACAGTAACTTGAAATGTCCTATACACTGAATCTCCACACCTGTAAAAGTACATGACTGCTTCTTCAATCATAGTATAAAATGGAGTTTCAAATTTTTTCACTTACTGCAACTGAATGACTCAAGTTACGGTAGATTGTCCTTCATTTCAGTCATACAATATTTTGCTTTAGTGCTTTTTATTTCCAAAGAACCCTATTTCTGATAAATGCACACAATTTCAGCAAACCTTTAGAGACCAAATTTCAGAGAAACTGGCTTTTTAATTTGACTTTATAAAGAATACTAGTTATTAATATATATCAGTGAGGGTTATCTCCCTTATTTGAAGGCGGATGTTTTTTTTGGTGCACATATCACCTACCTGGGTTGTTTTTGATGACGTTACGTAGACCCTCTAATGCCATCTCCACATTCTTCAGTCTGGAGCCTTGGGCTGCCTGCTTAGCATTACTTTGGTTTAACATCATCAGAGAATGTAAATACTGGGCCTGGGATCCCATGTAGTCCAGCAGGTCAATTGTAAATCCTTTGGGATTCTGTCGAACATAAAAAATATTTCAAGTGAGAATTTTTTTTCAAAGGTCAAAGTACATGGATGCTCAAAGGTTAAAGTACCATAAAAGTTAAATAGATTTTTTTTCTTAATGCAACAATTTTGATCCAATTTCCATAAAAACAAATCAATTCTCTTCTAATTAATAATTTTTGCCATTTTTATAGTATGTACAGTCTAACCATTACCAAAAATTCTTACCTCTAGAGTATACGTGGGCTGTTCATTATAAATACGGACATATATCTCTCCTACAATCAGTTCTTTGGCATGGATTTCAAACAAGAACTCTGATCCATAGTGTTTGTCACATTCACCCTGCAAGAATCATATAATCAATGTGGATTAAAAATAGTTATTCTCTTTTTTAAACCTGTATTGATTTTTCCATTTCTCTTTGGCACCTTTGAGATGGTCAGTAATTTTCTACTCACGGTTTTGATAACCTGCTGCTGTTGATCAGACAGATATTCCGTCAGCTGAGCTCGAGTGGCATTGTCCCAGATCAAGTAGGGGTTCTCTGAATTACTGTTTAACAGCTTCAGCAACTGAAGAAGATTGGAAAAATAATTCAGCATATTAAATCAACCTCAATGGACTTTCCTTAATGTGGGAACTTGCACACAGCACAAATTAATATCAAAAGAATTCATGCTGTTTAACACCTTCAGCAACTAAACATATGGAGAAATAAGTCATATTAAACTTAAATCACTGCATTTCTTTTGATTTTGAAAATTTGCATCATTTCTAACTCTGTCAAAAATTGCTAATCATACTCAAAGCAGAACTTGACCCCAGATATTCTGAGGATAAATCTGTATACTAAATTTTATTTCAGTATGTGAAATCTCTGTATACATGCACTGTGTGTTCTATATTGAGCCTACCTCATTAGGATTTTCATTGGAGAGTTTCCTCGCTAAGAATGGGGTCAACAAAGCATGGAGGGACTTCTTGACGGGAACATTTTCTGGGGTGGACAGCTCTGATCCCTCGGGAAAATAACCTCCTAACCTGGCACAAGCTCTGACACACAGCCGAGCCAAGTTATTAGCTACCTCCTGGTAAAATAAAAGAAAGACAATTCCATACACATTTTCACAAAGTACTATTTAAAGGTTCTTTGATTTTTTTCAATTTTTTTCAAGAATTCACAACAAATGAACAAAGAAATCAATAAAGCATGAGTTCTGATACTACAGTCAAACCTTGTTATCTCTAATTCAATGAGACCAATAAAAAACTTAGAGAAATCCAGGTATTCCAGATATTAAAGGTAAAATACTTGGAGAATAATTGGTAAGGACTTCCAAATCACTTTGACATATCCATAATTTTCAAGATATCTATGTCTATGATACCAAAGTTCAACTGTATATAATCTCACCTGTTGATTTGACTCTCCACTTTTCTCCACCCCTCCTTCCTCCAGTGTATAATCATAATTAAACAGGAACAATAAAAGGTGCCATAACACACCTGACTGGAAGAGATTGGTTTGTAACCAGAAGTCTACAGAGAAAGCACTGACACACTCGGCCACCACAGAACACAGCTTGGCAAGGTTCTGAAAGATAATAATGGTAAAAAATTCTAATAATTCGTTTAGTTTGAATCAAATGTGAAAGGCACTTAACAATACTGAACACACCTCAATACACCCAATCAGAAAGTTCATAGCAGCAATGTGACTTGTGAATAAAATACATGTACTAGTATTAATTGTTTTCTAATAAGTACAAATCATTCTGATAATTTATCTAATAGAATCAATGAAATCTTTGTGATGCTGAGAGAGATGTGCAATGGAAAAATTTAAAGACATTACCTTGTAAAAAATAAATTTTGGAACAGTTTAGGTGCAAGAAAATCACATCAACCTTGATGATTTCTGATTTTTCTTCCTTAAAATATTTATCCATCCCCTATGTGCTGGAATTAAATATTACATCACTGATAGATTTCTTTCTGGTTGTGTTAGACTGCAGCCCTCAAACTGTGAAGCCACCGCATAGCACTTAACAATATGGGAACACACCTGAAATATGAAATAAAGCAATTTCAGAGTAATTATCACTTTTAAATTCATAAATGCATTCTCTTTACAAAATGCCTGTTCTGCTTATCAAAAGTTCATTCACACCTAAGTGACGTTACTAACATGGCCATCTTCTACCTAAATGGTCCCCTTTATAATCAACACCTGTGCTTACCTGTACTGCTACATCTTCAGGTTTACTCATCATACTTAGCACATTGATACACCTGGCAAACGCTTCTTGTAGTGTCTGAAAAATACAGCAAACTTAAGTATGCTTGTTATTTCTTATTTAAAGAAAGATTTAAGAAAGAAACCAACTGCATTGTTCACTTTTTGGGGAGAATTAAGGAACCAAGTGTGCTCCAGGTTACCTGTATTCCATTTTCCCTTCGGAGCTCCTCTGCATTTAATGCTGAGCAGTTGACGGTATGGTAGCACAGTTCTGCAGCTGCGGAGAGTAACGGGGCAGACTTGGAGAACAGGGCATCATCGTTCGTCTCCATACGTATGGTCTTAATTAACATGGGATAACCAGCATACTTATATGGCTCAAGCTCTGATAAAAGTTCAAAATTACAAGTATTAACATGCATACGCAAAGCTCTGCTATCGAAAACTTCAAATCTAGGAAAATTTAAAAATATTTATACAGATATATAAATGTACAGGTCACTGTGACCTGACCTAATATTTATGCTGATGTAATAAGATGTACATATACATTAATCAACCAGTTATAATCTTTGCCTATACCTGCTTTGTATCTGTTGAAGAGTATGGACTGAGCTTTGAGGATTAAGACAATGTTTTGTGGATCTGGTCCCTCCACCAGCCGAGACTTGCTGCACAGGAATTCATAGGCTTTGTTCACTTGTTCAAAGATTTCCTTAAGTAGAGAAAAGGGAAATACCAGACATTTACCACTAACTGCATGACTCAAAGAGAAAATTATAAAAGACTTTAAAATCAGTGTAATGCCTACTTACCCTTCCTTCTGGGTTTTTATCAGGATGATATTTTTGAGCCAGTTTAAAGTAAGCTTTCCTAATTTTTGCCTCTTCATGTCTTAAAGAAAAAGGAATAAAAACAGAGTTTCAAAATAGTTCAATAATAGTGATATTGTGAGCAATGAACTTGGAAAATATAATCCCCCATCCTCCCTTACTGTTGTAAGAGTTAGTGACAAGGTGCATTTTTAACAGTATGTAAATGGAATTCTGTGAACCCTTACTGGACACAAAATCAGTTTTGCTATATTCATAAATCTGTCAGTGTTCATCATAACTGAATTTTTTTTTAAAAGAACTGTAAAAAAAGTTTGCCAGGGATTAAATAAACTTTACTATAGCTGTAAAATATTCATGTTTGAACGAAATATGTTTTACAAGTATTACTTGAAAATGTGTAAGTAATGATTGATGAGTACATAGTTTTGAGATGTGACTTTTCCATTGTTAGCATCAAAGAAAGCATATACATAGGGGCAGCTTATAGCCCTCAGAAAAAATGCGAAACTTAGGCCAACAAAAATTAATCAATAGTTTCTCAGGCACCGTCGCATCAGTTCAAAAACGGCCGCATTGATCAATTTTATTGACATATTGAAAAGGGAAGTAACTCAATTTTCTATTTTTCAAAGTTTAAAAAGAAAATCGAGTTATTCCCCTTTTCATAAATACTAAGATAGACGTTTTTATTAGAAAAACAACAAATTTCTTCTAAATTTACAGTATTTTATGAATCAACTTTTAAATAAATGTTTGGAATAACATTATTTAAAGTTGAATACATATTATAACTCTAATTTCAGAGACAAAAAAAATTAAGAATTAGTAGATATTATCATTTTATTGAGCAAATGGCTTTAAAAAAGGTGTAAAACCTGCTAAAAAAAAAAAAAAAAAAAAAAAAAAAAAAAAAGCCTGCCTGCCACATTGAATTTTGAATTTTTTGGCCTGAGAAACAATTAATTAATTTTTTTGGCCTTACTGTGTATACATGGTGTATATACCAACACTAATACTGTATACAAGCACAGGAACATCTTCTGATTATATATTTGTACATTTTGTTTTATTTACATATCCAGCAAATTCATTAGTAAGATACATGTATTTCAACAAAGCATTAATAAGAAGAATAGCAGAGTAGATTATCGTGAATTTTGAAGATTGCTCTTGGCTTTGTATTAAGTATAGTCTGTAATTAATATAATATCTATGTTAGATAAAAATTTGCAAATTTAATGAGTATTCAATCAGAATGCTTTTAATGGAAAAAGGAAAAAAAAAACTTTTAATTAATTTAAAATTGATCAAGCTTATGACAGTGAAACATATTATTTAAGATTTCAGAAAAACTCCTGACAATCTTATGAATGTGCAACCATGCACCAGACTAATTACAAGCAATACTATAATATTAAGTTCAGGCAATACAATGTATATTCTTATATTGAATATCACTGAAGCCATGCTTAATTTTATATATGGTTACTGTAACCTTTTTGTGCCAGGGTCAATTCTCGTATGCCTAAAACAATACAATTTTTAAATACTGTATGTTAAACCTTAAAAATATAAAATGGGCACCGATTCCTTTTGAAAACTACACTGTACATGCAAGAAGATGCGTGATGAACTCTATTTGTACCATCTTCCAGTAAAAATGAATGATATTACACATTTTTTGTTAGTGAAATTTTAAGATAAATGTACATGTGTATCAGTAATTAATTGTATAATATATAAGTTGGTATACATTTTTAAGGGTTTCAATAAAAATACAAAATGTAACACTACATGTAAAATTAACCATTTAATTCTTTGCACTTGACAGTAAAGATTTAAGATTTTTTTTTCCAATTCTATCTGAATGAATAAACCACCTGTATACATGTATAACATGCTTGGGTACAAACTCTTTAAAAGGCCTTGCTTTTGATTCATGGAGCTTGGCAAATAAAGTTCTTTTTGTCAACAAACTATCTAAGGTGTAAAAAATCAGAATAAGTCTCTGTGACAGAGACTGTAGCTCTACATAAACTTTATACTTCCCACAATGAACAAAGAAAAGTAGCATCTTTTGAATTACTCTGGAGACAGATAAGATATATTGACTTACCCTCCTACTCCTTTCTTTAGATGCAGTGTCTCATACGCTTCCTCTATAGACATTGAAGGAGGTTTCTTTTCTACTTCTTTCTTCCATGCTTCTAAAATTTCTTTTAGCAATTTGATCTATGGAAGCAACAAAAAGAGATACAATGTACATGTATATTAACTTTTACAACCTACATGTATTTTTTTTTCAACCGTATTATTATTTCTGACTTTTATGTTCTACTTAAAGTAATTTAAATCCATTATATTTTGCTAAAAATGCATTGTATCTATCAGAAAAGAAAAGTCATTTGCACGCCATTCTCAAATATCTTATTAAAGATTTTACTCACTGGGTCCTTGATTGGCCAATCTGGGAATTTCTGAGTATCACAGAGATGCTTAAGATAATACATATTACAAAACAGTTCATGTTCAAGTTGTGGATAGTTGACCACTGGAATGGGACAGTACTGGTATAATGCTCAAAAACCGATGCACAGAATTATGTATCTTAGTGTATCATCACTTTTGTGCCAAATAAAATCACATAAAGCAAACAATTATTCACCAAAAATTGTAGGAGAAATGCATTTTAGAAATGAATTTAGCTACATAAATCACTTTTTATTCTAGATATTTTTATTTTTTCATTTTATTACATAAACCGATGCACAGAAAATTTGTATTTTTAAGTTTTTTTGTTTATTAAAGATTATATTGAAAGTGACTGGTAAAACTGTAGAGATCTACATTTTAGATAAAAGGAGTATTCATCCTATGAAGGTATAAATGTTAAGTACCTCATCTCTGCATTCCATATGGCTTCTGGTGTATCAAACTCTCCGAGGAAAATTTCGGCAAATTTTTCTGGTGTATAGTTTTCTAGATAGCACACCATGGCTTCTGGCAGTAGATGGCCAAGGACACTCCTACTTACAATGTCTGAGCCAAAATTCTACAAATACAATGTGTACAAGAATATTACATTACAAAAAAACTTTCAGTAAACTTCAAGTACTGTAGACGTACTTATTTCCATGGGTCTTAATTCTGCGGAATCACAACATCAGTTTGATCTGCGGGTAAAAAATTACGCGAATTTTTGAATGCCAAAAATATAAATTGTACCCTACACTAAAAATATTAGAAACAAGAGATGTTTGTAAAACACTTATGCCCCCCTACCCCCAAATTGGAATTTTTCTAAATCCGAAAGGGCATAACTCTATCAAAAATGGTGCAATTGTACCCAAAACAGAACTTGATCTAGATATTTATCTGATAAATCTGTATACCAAATTTCATCTCAGTATGTGCAACCTCTACAAAGAAAATGAAGGAAAACTGCAAATAATTGGAATTTTTCTAAGTCTAAAATTTCTTTTAGCAAAAATCTATGGAAGCAACAAAAAGAGAACAATGTACAGTATATACCTTAAATCTGTAACCTAAATTTTTTTCATTTCAGTATGTGCAACGATTGCGAAGAAAATGAATGGACTTTTAAATTTTTCTACTTAAAATAATTTAAAAATCCACACACAATTTTGACCTAAAAATTCATGTGATATATCTGTATCCAAAATTTCATTTCAGTGTGTGCAATGGTTGTGAAGAAAATCTTATTGCAAATAATTGAAATTTTTCTAACTCCAAGGGGCATAACTTGGCCAAATGGTGAATTTCTGAACAGAACTTGGCCTAGATATTTATCTGATAAATCAGTATACAAAATTTCATTTCAGTGTGTGCAACGTTGAAAATGGAATGGAAACTGCAAATAATTGAAATTTTTCTAAGTCCAAGGGGCATAACTCTGTCAAATAAGGTGTGATTGTACCCAAAACAGAACTTGACTTAGATATTCATGTGATATATCTGTATACCAAATTTCATTTCAGTATGTGCAAGGGTTGCGAAGAAAATGAACGGAAACAAGTGGTCAATTCCGACAGCAGCAAAGAGATGCCCTGTTCTAACTTTTTTACACTGTAGTATTTCGCTAAAGTTTGTCTGCCTTATGAAAAAAAACAAAAACAATTTGTTCAAAGAACAAAGCATTCAAGTGACTTGGAACAACATACATGTATGTATGCGGTACGTTCCCGCCAGCTCACAAAATTACAAATTATCATCAAATGTTTCTTGAGGTTTACATACATCAACTTCAAATAAACTTTTTTTAAACGGGGAATGAAGTCCCTAAACACATACTGTATACATACATCTACGATCATCTATACTGAGGTCTAGTCAAGTAACGTACGCGTGCCACTGTTCTGATCAACGCACACCTGTCCGTTCAAACAGAAGAAAATCAGTGAATCTTTTACATGTCCTGAACTTTTGCTGCAACAAGTAAGTGTAATTTTACAGAAATTAAATGTAAATGATTTTGATGACCTGATTCTTTTACTATGCGCGTCATGAGTTTCTAAAAATTATTAAATATTTAGAGCAAATAAATATTTTAAACTTGATTTGGGGCTAATTTTTGTGTTAACATGTAATTTACAATTCAATTAATTATACCAGTTTAAACACAAAGGGATCTGAAAAACTGCAGTAAAAACACGGGCCTTAAAAATTGGCATTTCTATAATAATTCACATATCCACTTGAGGACCAAAACACAAACCGTTAATCTCTACTAGAATGTCTAATAAATTTTGAGGCAAGGATATTTACGCGAGAAAAATTATTTTTCCAAGAATGCATTTATTATTTTATGAATTCTTAAAACATCTATGCATGATTTACGGTGTGTACATATATCAAGGGTAGATATGCATAGAAAATACACGTATATTTAACATGTAGCCCTATACCTAAGTATCTAATAATGTATTACCCTTATCATATCCTCATTTATTTAGTGCAATTTCATTCTTCTGATCTGAATGCCTGGTTCATGTGCGTGTATTTCAGGAATCGAGCAATAGGTAACACATTAGATCCTGTGTACATCATAATAAAGAAGAAACACAAACAAGTCTATAGAATGTCGAGATAAATTTTGGAGAATTTCTCCATCCATCATAATCAGGTATAGAAGACGAGCAACCTTCTCCACTAAGGTTGGGTCAAAGGTTAAAAGCAGCTGAAAATGAAAGTTCATCAAGTAGATAATTATTTGACACAAAGAGTGCAATTGCCATACACAGCAGTATTGCTGAAGAGAACATAAATATTATCTCTGGTGTCATTTATTTGTTAACATGTAAATATGAATGAGAAAAAATATGACTAGAAAATAAAAATTAAAAATCTATATACTGTAAATCACATTTTATTCGCGAGAACTTTATTTTCACGTAATTACGGGTCAAAGGTTAAAAGCAGCTGAAAATTTCAGTTCATCGCGTTTGAAAAGTATTCCTTACGATTATATAATGGAAAAACAAAAATTCGTGAAAATTATTTGTTAACATGTAATAAAGAGTCAATGGCTATCTCGCGAAAATAAGGTGTCGCAAAAATTTAGTGATCTACAGTATGCAAATGAAAAAACATACACCATGAAATGTTCACATTAAGAAGTACAGTAAAATTTGTTTAGTTTGGATATTGCAAAGTTATCATGGATCCCAATCTATATAAATTTAAAGTGAAGTACTTTCGTAAGTCCCAGTGACTTCATTATATTCGAGTTTTACTGTTCCCATTTTTAATACCAATCTATTTTGATAATTCAAGGCTATAAAGGATAACAAAGTTCTCCATTATAAACAAACCTGTACTACATGTGGGAGACACATTGGGTCTGATAATATTCTCTTCACTTTTGGCAGTGGACGAATTATTGCACCATCAGTATCCCTGCCGAATTTACAAAGTCACAACATTTCAAATTCAAATCTCCACTTTCTAGTTACAAATTAACTATACATGTAATTGTAATTTGCACTTTACATTGAAATTATTTTGCATATAAGAAATCCCCCCATAAAATATATGATGGATTTTAGTCATATCTTACCGGCTTGGATAGTACTCAGTCATTTGTACTAACATATTGAGTATGAGACTAGCCAGTTCACTCTCATTCATCACAGGCTGACTGGTAGCCATTAGTGTCCACTTGAGCTGTGGAACTGACTGAAGGGGGCGCCACCCATCCATCCCTTGTGCCCAGCACCTGGTCTTGGCATGAATTTCCCCCTCCTTCCATAGTTCCTTCAGCTAAAACAGGATAATTAGGCCCTAAATTCTTGTGCACATGTGCATTTAATCCCAGACACAGGTAAAGGTTCAATATCTATACTCATTTATGCAGAGTACTGTATTTTATCTGTAAACCAACTTTTATTTGCATGCGAGAAATTTTGCGAGTTTTGCAAGAGCCTCATCACAAATATTTCTAGCCTTGAACCGATCCTTAAAGTATCTGTTTCTATTACCAACAGATAAAAAGGATTGATCACAAAAATTAATCGTCGCGAACTAGTTTACCCAAGGTAAATAAAAAAAAGTTGTCGTGAATAAAAGTTGGTTTACAGTATACAACAATGTATTTTTTTTTCTCAGTATGTATATGTATGACCAATAAAGTTTTCAAATATTAGTGAGGTTTTTTTTGTTTCATACTGAGATAGATCATGGACTTAATCAATCGATTAGTAGGTTCTTGATATCAGGTCTAAGTCATTCTCCTGAAATTGCTATGCATTTGGTCAATGAACAAATATTGCCTGAATACACTTTTAAGACAGGTCCTACTAAAGATAAACCAAAGGTATTCAACACAAAACAAACACTCTGCCAACTTAACATGGCAAAAGGCCACTCTCAAGGCCTTCCAAAATTAATGCATATGACTAACCAATCATGCCTGTCTGTTCTGTTTCACTGAAGTCAATACACACCTCTTCATAAGAGAATGGTCCCAATCTCTCCTTGTCCTTGTTACCATAGTACCATTCCTTCTCACTGTCTCTCTTCATGTCGGGGGATCCCTCAATAACATTACTCTGAAAAACAAAACAACTGTCATCAATAACAGGTGCCCTTAAAATTCCAATTATTACAGGAGCATTTGTGAGATTTTCTGAGAGGATGAAGAAGGTGTACTTTACCTGTAGTGGGACTGTAGCTCTGGTTGTATGGAGGTGTGCTAGTGTTAACAAATCTACTAAAACTTTAATTCCATTGGCATCCATTATTTCTTTGACATTTTTCTGAAAGATGAAGAGATCCATGCTTTATTTATTCATTGAAATACCGAAATACTATGCCACAGCCACCAGTATATCAAAGATTGGCTACTTTTACAGAAACAGATGCTATACAAACCTGGTGTAGAATAAGTTTGTTGAGAAAAAGAACCAGTCTATCCCTCTCCAGTTTATCTGTACACTACAAAACAAACATAAAAATTAGGTTTTCACTATGCTGACTTTACAGAACAGATAGTATAAATCATCCCTGACATCGAATATTCTTATCATGGATGTAATTTATAACAAATTACCTTCTTCGTTAATTACTAAAAAAACATCTCTCTTGCTATTTTCAAATTATCTCCAGTGCAATTTACAAGAAACCATCTCCCTGGCTATTTCCATACGAATTATCTCCCTTGTCAATTACAAATAATCTCCCTTGCCTTTTTTTTTTTTTTACTAGGCATCTTACTTCTCTATGGTCCTATTTTACTTACCCTCTCCAGCATGCCTACAATATATCTGGTGTCATTAAAAGCTCCTATCTCCTCATGACATTTCCCGTACACAATAGTCATAGCCTGCAGACACATGCACTTCATTGGAATTTTGGGAGTCAGCAAGAAGCGGTGATACAGGTCATTAAAGAATTCATATCTGCAAGATAGAAGATAACAGATCTAAGTATAATTTGTAAATGCATATAGTTTTTCAAACATTCTACTTTTCCTCTGAAAACATGCACACCACAATCCATCCAATGTTATAATTTCAATACATGTAGGTCTACTTACGATTTTTTAATTGCACTAGTTTCCTCCGATTCATTTTCTCCTTCCTCAAGCAGAAGCCTCAAATAATAATCACCTACAAAATATCAATGAAATTGCAAAAATACAAAAACACATTTTCTGATACTTATATATGTGTAAATCACACAGAATAATTTAATCTTTACATGCTCCCAACTGAATGCCATTTACTTTTTGTCAAAAAGGCAGAAAGATAGGTTGATCTGCCTCAAACCATGCCTTTTTTTTTGTAATGCATGACGTTAAAAATTTACCTTAAAAATTGTAATATCCAAAGACAGACAGATGGCATTTACTTATTTTGATTTCCTGTGAAAGACACACAGACAGTATTTTAGCTATCGTCCTTACCTATTTTGATTTCGTCATTCAGACAGATGTAGGGCACTTCAAACTCCTGATGGTTCCAGCCCACCACACAGTTTGCCCCGAGTTCTCTGTCCACATTAAACGCCCTCATCTCATTCTCCAGGGCTTCTCGTAACTCCTCCCTTGTCTGTCAAAACCCAAAAAGAAAAGGAAATATCATTTGAAAACATTGAAATTCAAGTACCCTCCCCCACTACCCACCTTGACATATATGTTCTTCAGCAAGTATTTCATGAGTATTGAAGTAGGTTATAAACAGTACATGCATATGTATGTTAAACAAAAGCCATGTCCATGAAAAAATTATATCTAACATAAGATATCTGTAATTGGTTAGTTTATTAGAATTTAAGTACATAATATACACATGAATACACATCTCACCTTATAATTCCACAGTAAGTTAGGTTTTGAATGATCTCGGCCAAACTGATAGTAAAATAGCGACCAATTGGCCTCACTCTTTATCCTCTGTCTCCGTTTTCTTAACGTCACTGGTTTTAAATCATTTTGCTGAAGCAAGAAAAGCATATGGTCAATAGAAAACAACATATGATAAAATTCAACTTATCTATATCCTTCCTTGAAGAAGATTATAAAATATGGACGGGATCAAACTCACTTGTTTATTTTTTTCTAATCCTATCTTTGCCCTCCAATGCTGCAGAAGTTCATCCACTTTCTTCTCTATCATGACTAGATTAGGATTCCTTCGGTTTCTGTTCTGAATATCCTATCAAACAACAGAATAAAATTAATCAATCAATTTGAAAGCAAAAAGTACAGCTACAAATATTTGCTCAATTTTATTTGGTTTATTCAAATTGAACTCAGAATACTGTATGTGTACTTAAAAAAGTAGGCTTAATATTTTAGCGGCTTTGGTGCAGTCAAAGATGCGCTAATTCATTAATAAAGCTAAGAAATCATCTATATATACAATACATGGCACAGACATGTGTAGCACTAATTCATGATAACACCAAATACTCCATACCCAGTGATTGCGTTAAATTTTGAATACACCAATTTTTGTACACGTGTCGTACAATATGTTCGCTATTTCTTATCAATACAGTGAAAACTGTTTAATACCACACCTGGGAAATCCATCACAATGTCAATTTTGACATTATATTTCTTTCCCCTTCAACCATTTTTTCATGCTTTTTACAATGTGTAATCCAACACCTTGTGTATTCAAACACAAAATTTGTGTCCCAATGCATGTCGGACTGGACAGGTTTCACTGTATTTGACATAATATACTGTATACAGGGAAATGTATTTGACATAATATATCTATCATATATAATAAATCAGTAACTTACCTGAGCGAGTTTGACATTGTCTCTGACATGCAGCTTGTCGTCCTCATAGGCAGGTACTTCTGCATCTGAGTCCAAGTATGACAGGAGTCCACTAGGCTGTTAGAAAATAGAAAATAGAAACAAGGAAAAATACTTTAAAGTCTTATATACATGTAATCAACATCATTCAATAGAAGTCATAGATTATAAAAGCTTAATCTCACCAGAATTCGCCTCAGAAGGCCCATGGCAGTGGGATGTCCAGTGACCCACAAACCAACAAGATGTCGACTTAGCTGCCTGTAAAATTAATAAATCAAAGTAATTACTGTATGTAAACAAATACATTCAAGTATACTGTTAAAGTTATAGTTCATCTTCCCTCTGATTCCTCATATAAAATTGCTTAAAGGCTCATGATGTTCAAAAAAAAAAATCTAATCTATAGCATTAAATGACATTAAGTACTATAAACATACACTGTATCATAGTTAAATATCAAAATGAGAGTTATCTTTCTTATCAGAGGGCTAAGAAACCTTAAGGCTGAATTAATTCTCCATCACTGATAATTAACTGGTAGATAATTCTTGTGAATGTATCAGCTGATTATCATAGGTGCTAGCTAGGTTAATGAATAGAAGTGGGCTAGTATTTTGAATCCCTACATGTAAGTTTCAGTCCATTACCTGATTGTCAGCATCCTGTTATCTGAGCTGGCGGTAAACATGGCCGTGTGTAGATGTTTGGGTAGGGCTCCCTCTGACAGGGCCAGGTCCTGCATCTTAGCTGCCACCTCCTGATCCCCCTCCTTATGATATTAAATAGAAAATTACATGTTTTTGTAAAAGTTGTAGTCAATCTAGGTCAGATGGATATGATGAAATTTCATTTACTTTTTCCATATTGTTGTTTTTGCCTGTTCTTACAGTATTTCGTTGCAAGGTAACATTACTCATAATATTGCACTTCAAAACTTTGATGCACTGAATAGATAGTTTTAAATTTTTAAACAAATGCCCATACCTCAATGATAGCCTTCATAACAAGCCCAGCTCCTTTAACCACTGCCATTGAGGGATGCTGAAATTCCAAACCATTTAGAAATTACTTTGTGATAACTTACTCTTACAAGTATAGGCACCAATACAAAATCTCAAAATTATAGATTCATCAAATAGGACAAGCCAAACTACAAGTAAGTCTTGCCTGAAATAACTTGAAAACAATCCTGCCATCTGCTGCCACCATTTCCAGCAGAGTGTCAAAATGAGTTCCGTCTGTGGTTTCACTGTACGGTGCACACAGAGAGAAAGTTAAGAAGTCTAACATGGCCGATATCACTAGTGCTCCCGTGCTGTGTATGACATGGTCATTAAAGGTCTCTAATAGAGTCTCCAGGAATTTCTTGGAGGAGAGGAGGGAGAGTTTGTTCATTTGTTCTTGTCGGAGGTCATAGTCATCATGCATGGGCTGTAGAAAACAAATAATGAAAGTTCAAAATGCAAAACTGAAGTTCAGTTCTTATGAAAAACGAATTTTCAATACAAGTACACAGTACACAGAATATATATATCATTTTAAAAAGTTGAATAATAATTTGATTTAGCCCATCAACATTTTTTACTTACCTGCATCAGAGCACAGAGAACATCAATAGCTGCATGGGTGACACCATGGTCTTTCCTCTTCAGAGCTTTAACAACCTTTAGCCCCACTTTTTCTCTCATTCTAAAAAATTGCAAACCATCCTTTAATATTTACATGTATGTTTTAGTCTTTTTCTGAGAACTTTAAGTCAGATTGTCCAAGAATTGCAATTAAATTTTTATTGAACTTTAACATAAAAGGTGATCACTTTTACTGTACTAGTATACATGTGAGTCTGAAACATCAGTACTTCAGTGATAATATATTGCATGCTTAAGAAGTGACATAAGTACATTAGTGTCTACCAGACTTACTTGGGTAATGCAGTGAAGGCCTGGAAGCCTGCCTTGGAGGCCACCAGTCGCCTGAGGGCGTGGAACTGTGCCTCTAGATTCTCCACTGAGATCACATTCTGGTCTCCCTCTCTCTCCAGTAGACCCAGCAAAGCTCCGTTGATCAATTTTTCTTTGTTTTCAGCAAAAAGACCCTAAAATAGCATGATGCAACACAACAATGAAAAAAGTGGTCTCTAGAAATTTTCTATTGGATTTTTTTCTTCTTTGCCTTGCACACATTACATGTATGTTCGAATAAACACGGACATGTCGTTCTTGACCTTTTTTCTTGAATGTGAGAGAGTTCAAATTTTCAAATATACAAAATGCATTTGAAAGGGAAATAGATGCCACTCTAAGACTGTTTTACCTAAATTCTACCCCTGGTTCAAGACTATAAATAAATGTTGACAATAAGATGAAAAAAGGAAATATTTCATGAAATGATAGATCTAGTTATATCATCAAGAAATTAAGTGTTCAGAACTGTAGATTTTCAAGGGTGATTGAAGGAAAGAAAATTTTGATGTACACTATAATTTTGTCTGAACAAGGATTTTCAACAGAAAAGAACAGACAGGATTTTTTTTACATGTACAACCTGTGTGAATGGTTTACTTACTCGCTGTATGAAAAAAAATTTCAAAAATATTAATGCTACAACATAAAATAATGTATAATGTATACAGACTTTATTAAACAAAATTTTTATTAAACTTACATCTTGTGTGACAGCATGAAGAAGTCCACTATATGATATGTTGCTGTTGAATCTAGAGACACACTGCTCAAATGTCATTCCAACTACAATTATTCAAAATGGTAAAATTTCCATTACTGATTTAAAGATCAATATGCTCAAAAGATTTTCTATTACCGTAATTTACGGAATAAAGGTCGATACTTTTTTTCTCAGAACCACTAGGGTGGCCCAATATTCAGAATTCGACCTATTTAAGGCTCGAAGTTTATGAAAATGCCCCCGAATCAGTAAAATTTACCTCAATTTCAAAGCAAATTTGTGCCACTTTCGTAACTTTTTTGATTATTTTTCGCAAAAAAATAATGCCCTGGTAAACAATAAAATATTTATTCTATAGCTTTCTTACAAAATAAATTCCATTAATTATCCATTGATGACAAAGGAAAACAACATTGCTTCATCAATTAAATAATTCCTCAACGTATTATCCATTAACATCATTCGGTATCCATCTTGTGAAGTTAGGAAGTCGCGATTGTGTACTAAAAGTAAAACCGCAACTGTATCAAATCTAAAATACGGAAATTTTTCATGATCACAACTGTAGTGTTTTTACCTTTATTAGTAGCAAAAAATTGAAATAGTATATTAAATATTTTTTATTGTCTTATGTTCATTTAAATGTAAAATGAGTGAAATAATTTGTTGCCATTCAATTCCTAAATTTAATTATTTAATAAAAATGGCGGACATCGAAGTAATTGTCGTCCACCGGTAAATTATGTCTGAATAAAATTTATTAGAAATCGGAATTACTATTCTTTGGTCTCAGGTACTTCACGAATTATAGCTGTAAAATAATAACATATTTACGTTTTATTTATGCTTCTGATTTAACAACAGTGTGAAACTACGGAGGCATTGAACAGGCAAGTTGGAGAAAAATAAGCAGTAACACAATTCAAAGAAGTTTTAACTATTTTTTTTTTTTAAACTTTATTTAAATGCTGTACTCATTAAAATACCTGTTTATTTTCTTGATACGTTCATGTCACGGAATAACCCCGGTAATTTTAGGGGTTTACCTGTTCTGATACGTTGTATCTGCAGAAGAATCTTTAGAAAAGGGAAACAAAGCCTCGTCCTTTATATATTAAGTTCGTCCTATCTTAGGATTTTTCAAAAATTAAGGCTGAAAATGAACCTTTCGACCTATATACCCCATCGACCTATAAACCCGAAATTACGATAAAATCTGAGGTGTTCTTTTGACCATTTCAAAAAAAGATTTTGATTAACATTACACATCAAAGAGTTCAGAATTCATACATTTAACATTGTGTGGATTTATAATCTCTCCATTGTAATTTCACAACAACCCCCCCCAACAAAAACATTGTGTGGCGCCCACCTGGTGGCTGCTGAATAAACTTCAGTAGTTGACTCTCCACTTCTTCGTCCACGGGAACTGTGAATGGACCGAGACGATCGCCGTGGGATGTAAACATCATCTTCACACAGACGTCCCTGTTTCCTGAGGCTCTCACACCGTCCAGAACTGAGGCAATCAGGGCATCCCTATAATCCATTAATAACAATTTACATCAATAAATACCCCCAATTTTGCAACAAGAAAACTACAGTTGAACATTAAAAACCAATATCTTGAATACCATGGATAAAGTGACCTGGAAGTTCCATTAATTCATACTTTAAGTATTTTACAATGATCCTCAATATTTTTAATCTTCTCAAAGTTTTTTTTTTCTTCTCAGTCCTACTGAGGTTGAAATTATTAGGTATGTCTTTAAATCATACCAATCATTTTGATCCTACATACCTGTCTGTTGATTGATAGGTCCTTATTGCACCTTTAACATACTCTACACTGAATTTCTGTGGGTTTTCTTGGTCTCTTATTATTGCAAATATCTACAAAGGTTAAAGAATGATAAGTTACTCTCATCTCATTGCAATCTTGAGGATTTACTCACACTTCATTGAAATTTTAATCATTACTCAATAAAAAAATTATTATTTGTATAGGAAACTATGGCATTAAGAGTACATTTGATATACCTACATCACAAAGAGGTTTACATGTGACGACGTTATATGTAGCTGGATCACGCTCTACTAAGCATGTCTCAGTAAGACACATGGTCCGTCTAGTTGGGTCTGAGTGTCGCGGGGAAATCTTCTGAACTGTAAACTCAGCATAGGATGTTAGGGCTTCATCAGTACTGAAAATATTCAGATGTGCATCAAATAATAGATTAGTTCAAATGACCCATGATTCTTTATGGTCAAGCTAAGCATCACGAGTTCTCTGGGGCTATCATCGTACTTGTTTTGAACTTCTTTCATTGACAATAGATCAATGGCCAATAGAATTAGACAAAGTCTTATAACTTAAATAGCGTTATCATATATTTTATCAAATATTTTCACAAAATTTATTCATTTTGTTTACATGTACTTCAGTTTCCTTTTGCAAACTTACCTATACTTTCCCATTCTGTGGGTTAAAAACTGTTCGTAAGAGATTGGGTCTTTCCTCTGTTTGACTGCTATCCCAACAAAAGCTGCTGCACTTTCCATTATGCATTTTATCAAGTTCTCTTTTTGTTCACAGGCAAATAAATGCTAATAAACATGAAATATAACCATTATTTCATATCATACTAACAATGTTAACAGGGTCCGACACTCGTCAAAATTTGGTCTCGCCATTCGGGAAACCTTGGTATGATCACAGGTTGCCCAAATGAATTTCAGGTCGTCCAAATAAAATATCAATTGAAACAAAACTTAATGTGCAATTGTTTACAATTTGTTAAGATAATTAATAGAAGTTGTGTTTTTGTATTAAAAAATGTAAACCAGACATTTTTGGAATTTAAAGATGTCTTCTCGTATTTTATCAAACAATTAAAAATATAAGCAGAATCAGACATGCTGAATGCTAAAGTTTGTAGCTTAAAACATTTCTTTTCACTTGCCATGAAGGCCTAAATAAAGAGGGTCAAATAACCCTGGACTGAATTAATCAGGTGTTACATTACAGTGGACACCCAAAATGGCTGTCTAGCAGCAGAAAACAATCATTATGATCAGAAAGTTGTAGGGGAAATGCAAGATGTTACAATGATGATTATTACTCTTTATATTTAAGGTGATTGTTGACTAAGTTGGCATCTTTTATATCTCAAATAATACTTTATTAAAGACTTTTAATAAAAATTGCATCAGCTGATTGATCGAACGAAGATTTGGCAGGAGAAAAAATCTTTGCGGCTGCAATTTGAACATGTTGAATGGATTGGTTTTGTTACAGGAAAATATGTTTTCAAGGTCTTATGAAGTTTAGTTTAAAATATTAAACATCATTATTTAATATTCCCAACTTGTCCCAGGTCGTCATTTGGGCGAGCCAGACTGAAAATCAGGTCGTCCGAAACATTTTAGGGTGGAAATGGCGAGGTGAGGAGCGCGAATGTCGAACCCTGTGTTAAAGTTTGCTTTATACCTCATCCTCCAACCACAAAACACTTCAAACAATTTTAGCAAGTGAATGTTTCAATGTGATGAAATTAACAAGTCCATTTACATTATAACAGATACCATTGCAGATGAAAAGAGTGACTTACAAGACGACTAAATCCTCCATGAATGATAGCTATACCCCCAGGATAGTCTGATATCTACAAGAATATACATGAATAATTTTAGCTACATCAAACAGTCTCAAGCAAAATGCCTCTCAGGACTCTCCTTTACAGTATCTAAAATGGCTTTAATCATGTTATCTCTTGCAATCACTAATTTATCAACATTTTTACGTAACATTAAAATATATCAAGGTAGACTAGTGTTACATATGATGAAGTGTGATAAACTTGTATGAAATCACTTAGGATTCATCATTTTACTTTCACTTTCTGGTTTGGACAAATACTGATCATGTGATGTCTTACATGTGTGATGCCCTCCATATCTTTGTAGTCATAGGAACACAGAACTTTGTTGGTAGCTGGGTCAACTTGGTCCACTGACCCCTGATTGACCTCAAGGATAATTGGTACCCTGTTATCTGACCAATGTTGTTTGAAAGCGTTGAATCTCTGAAAAAAATAAAATTGCCTTAAAAAAATCAATTTTAAATGATTTTGAATTGATCAATAAAATTAATATCTATAATGTTTAAGTTTTGTTAGATCACTTATATCACGCTGATGTTCATTTTATAGATTACATCACATTTTAAATATGTTATGTTCCTTTTTACCACATGATGCAATGTAACTTTATCTACACTTACCTTCTACAAAGCAGCATTTAAAAATAAATTATCATGTCATTAGTAAATTGTCAAATTTGTGTACTATAGTCATAATAATGTAAAATCTTACTGAAAAGTACTCCATTTACTTACCTTTGTAGTGTTATTTACTTCAGCAAACTGATTCCTGAATCTCTGTTATTAAAAATCAAAACTGGTTAATTTCCATTTTCTTCATCAAATAAAAAAGATGCATTTAAATATTACTTCCATATTCAAATAAACAAGAAGGATTTCTTCTTTAAAAGAGGCTTACCAAAGCTTCAGTTAGTAAATCTGAACGGTGATCTGTAGAAAATTTCATGGATTCCGTCTTCTTTGGACCTTTCCTCATAGTTATAATGAACTCATTGTTACCTGGGGCTTTGACATTGGGAACAATACTCACAAACTCTGAGTATGGCCACTAAAGAAAAATGTTATACATAGTCAAATGAAAAATTCTTAATAAATAATTGCTTTTACATATCTTATAAGTCTAAATTCCTTCTAAGTCAATTCGGCTCATTGTAAACTTTTATTGTTTATTAAAATTTATTAATTCATGGTAACACAGGGTTTTTAAAAGTTTAAAATATTCTACAAAATGATGCTCTAAACCATACCTGATTTGTAACTTCTAAAGTTTGTGGATTGTAGGTTGTTATTCCCATTGTCCCAACTGAGAAAATTCTTTTGTATCTAAAAAATTTAAAAATAAAATTGATAATGTTGAAGAGTTTTGTAAATTTGAGGCAAAAATGAAGTTACCCAACATATCATCCAATCGCAACTTCTCAGGCATTTCCCGCAAGATCAGAAAAACATCTCATATGTATTTACATCACTGGATCTTAAAATTTACACAAAATGGAGTCGCTTCCTTTATTAAATTACAGTACTGGATAAAGACAGAGTTGAAAGTCTCGTTTGTGGTATACCATATAAGTGGAAATTTTAGCGAGACACAGACTTGGGGATTTCTCCTTAAATATTGGTATTTTATTTATAGCGACGTAATTTTAGAGATATACATTAATTTTAAAGTTTTGGAAGGGGGTTGTCAAGGCTGCCTACATAACACATCTGGTGTTATTATCCTTCAGAATTACACAGTCAATCTGATTGGTTTAAAGTAGGTCACGTGCAGGGAGACTAATTATTATGTCTCCATCACATGCAGGGTGACAACTGTGTTGTCTCTCTTCAGATGACAATGACATAACACAAGCAAGTGTGCAATAAGACAACAGAATTAAGGCAAGCACCCTTGGTTGATATAACATATCTGTTACTTATAACCAGGCGCATTTAGACAAGATATTAGTTGAGTCGTAAGGCATCATCGGTTCTAAATTTTACATTTTTTTCCAGAATCAAAACATGAAGGCTTGCAAAGAGAAGTGGATGTAGGCGAAAGCCTGTCAGAGCCTGTCCACATCTCTAAAGAGAATAATATATCATCATGCATATATGTTATGTTTCTCCTTACTTTCCCTTCCATGAATGCTTCGTGATGAAGTAGCAGGCAATATCCTTGTTATTCTTGATAGTGGCCATATTCAATGAATACAAATGACTGCACTAGCAAGATGATCTGTGAAGAGACAAACAAAAACACATTATTTTGAAAGTTTCATCTCGAATTTTCTCTGCGATGGGAAATATTATTTTACCTTTTTTTCTACAAATCTTTCTTTAACAACTTTAAATTTAAATGGAACTTTTTGTAACTATTTACTGGACGATGTGAAATTTCAAGGTCTTGTAAGTAAAGCAAATCTGTGGTTAAATTATGCACAACTGTCATATGACCAACCGTAAAAATTTCTCAATCCATTTTCACTTCCGATTGCAGCCCCCACTCAGGCTGTTTGCATAGGTTTATGCTTAAATATCTATGTGAAACTAATGAACAAAAACTGCAATGTTAATTCTTTAAAAGCCTTATGTTTTTCCTTGCTCAATAAAAGTACTTTATGCTAAAAAGCAAGTCGATGATGTCTACGTTGGTAAATTTTCCATGGTGGCTGACATGTTTACTCCTATAACTTCCTGTCATGCGCTTGAACAACTCCCACTTCTCGCCATATCACGACGAAGTAACGAATTCTGCGATACGGGCACCTGGCAACACAGAGCGTCCTCAGTGACTGTCAATTATGGTGTGAAAGTGTCAATAGAGTCATGGATCATCAGTGTAATCCTTGTCAATGACGAACGTTGAAGTAAGTGGTAGAACAGAAACTTTTTATCATTATTTTTTAGGCATATATTGTAAAACATATGCACTAGCGAGTCATGTGCAATAAATAGATTTAAAAAACCACAGTTTATTTAATGCAGCTGCATTGTATATATGAAAAAGAAAAAAAAACATGCTGGGCAGCTGACTTGACATGCTACTCATCTTCAATGAAGATGATGAATATCACCAAGAAAGAAGTTAAAAGATAAATTATTGGTTTGATAATGCAATGAAAATGCTCTCTCTCTCTCTCTCTCATTACGATTAGACTACCTTGTACAAATATTTGCAAAATTCTTAAAAGTAGGCATATAATTATATTATGTTTTTATTGTATCTATACATATAGAGATGAAACAATATTTATTAAACAAAGAAGTCAAGTATAACACAATTCTTTTTTTTAAATCACACAAGAACCAAGATAAAGAACATTTACTGATCATATGAGATACCGTATGCCTAAAATACTCAAGGAACAAATCTTCGAGTAATTTACAACAGAATTTTTAAAAAAAGATTTATAGATCATTTAAATCTCCTGTTCCCCAGAAATATAAATCCTTATATCGATTTTTTTGTACTATAGGTTTTATCATAAACAGATATACCTATAATCAGTAAGCAATAAATAATTATAGATAACTCAAAAGCTCACGAGTTTCCATTTTGCTTTTTAGAAAATGGAGGCGAACGGAGACCTCGCCGAACACACCCAAATGTCTCTGTCACGTGAGACTCTTGAGGAAACAGAGACAAATGGCGATACGAACATGGAAGAAAACCCACCTGAAGAACAGGAAGTAAACGTGGAAGAAACAGAAAAGGAAATTGACTGGGAAGTCGTGAGACATATAGAAGGAAAGAGAGTAACAGTTGATCTGCGTGAACATCGTTTGAAAGAATTTCCTCAAAATATCTTAAACATGGAAAATGTCACATCTCTCTGTCTAGCAAATAACAAATTAACAGAGATCCCAAAAGACATTGCCGATTTATGCAACCTAGAAGAATTGGTCCTGTCTCACAACAAATTAACAGAAATTACCCGAGGGATCTATCTTCTACAAGAATTGAAATTTCTTGATGTTTCTAATAACGAAATCTCTGAGATCTCTTCCGAGATTTCAGGGCTTGAACATCTGCGAGAGTTAGTGATCAGTGATAATAGACTAACCACAGTGCCTCCGCAAATTAGGGACCTGTCAGAACTCACGCATCTTATTCTAAATGATAACCAAATTACCAGCCTACCCAACTCCATAGGAGAACTGACTACTTTACAAGTTCTTGGTTTGGAGAGAAACGCCTTAGAATGTCTGAACCCCGAAGTTTGCGCAATAGAAAATCTCAAACGATTAGGTCTAGCAGGGAACTCCATGAGGAATTTACCGCGAGAAATCGAAAATTTCTGCTGTATGGAGGAGTTGTTACTAGACGACAACGAATTCGAGTTTATTCCCGTTCAGGTGTTTTGGATGGAAACTTTGCAGATGCTAACGCTATCAGGAAATCGTCTTACATCAATTCAACCCGACATCGGAAGACTGACTCAACTGAATGTTATAGGCCTTAACAATAACTTAATAGAGGAGATCCCGGATGAGTTTTTTCAGTTAGAAGCACTGGAAGTCGTAGGTTTGGAAAACAACAAAATAAAAGTGATTCCCGACAATATTGCAAATTTGTATGAACTACGAGAACTCTATCTTGGACGAAACATGATTGAACGTGTCCCAGAAAACCTTTGTTGGTGCTCAAATTTAGAAGTGCTCAGCCTGTTAAATAACAATATTTCAGAGCTTCCCGTTGAAATTGAAAATCTTCGACGTGTTCACACTCTAATTCTGTCAAATAACAAATTTGAGAGTCTACCAGAAGCCATTGGATCGATTCGTGATTTGGAAATATTTTCCACTGATGGAAACAAACTGTCATCCATCCCAGTTGACGTGGGCGATCTAAAAAGGCTTCGACAAGTTAATTTGAGCTGTAACAAATTTGCAATTTTCCCTCTTCCAATTTGTAATTTGAAAACTCTTGAAAGTTTGAATCTGAGCAAGAATGAAATCGAATCAATTCCGGCAGAAATTTCCAACCTCGACAGACTTTCCACTCTTCATCTTAGCAACAATAGAATCAACATTTTTGCCCCCGAACTTTGTAGTCTTGTCCAATTACGTGTTTTAGATTTTTCAAACAATATTATTGAAGATATCCCAGAGGCCATTTCTCAGATGGAAAACCTGTTGGATTTAGATCTTTCACAAAACCGCTTTCTTGAATTTCCAAGGACAGTGGTTGGAATTCCAATTTTGGAGCGTCTGAAATTCGACCAAGCTGAAGGACACCCGGTACCCGCACTGCCGGAGGAAATTGAGTTTTCCAATGTTTCTTATTTAATTGTGTCAAATAATACCCTCCGAACACTTCCATCAGGAATGAGTCACATGAAAAACCTTATATCCCTGGTGGCCGACCACAATGAAATCAGAGAATTGCCAGATTCTTTCTGTCGATTGAAAAGACTTCAGGTTTTACATCTCAACGACAATAAACTTTCTTCTCTTCCCGAAAACCTCGATAATCTGAGAAATCTGAAGGATCTGCGATTGCACAATAATCCACTTCGAACGCCACCGATGGACGTTTGTGTGAGCGGTGTTGTGCAGCCCATTGGTCGCTTCATTCGGAGGGCAGTGGAAAGAGAAGGTAAATTTATTCTTTCATAACCAAACAACACCTCGTTTGCAAATAATTTTTAATTTCATTCACATGTATGAATGTATCATTTTTTTCTTTTTCAGACATTCTGATGAACAAAATGTTTGAAGTTATGAAAACTTCTCTGACAAAACAAGAACTGCGGTATCTTTTGAAAAAGTTTAGATTTCCAGAAGAGAAGATTTCCGAGCTGGAACAAACTTATCACGGCAAGGACAAACTGCAAGATCGCATCTACAACGCAATGCTGTTTTGGCGGGAATTTAAGGGACCAATGGCAACTATAGACGAACTACTACGCGTTCTTCATTTGGTTGGCTACGATCCACTTTATGAGAAGCTAAATGCTATGAAAATATATGCACAACGACCGCGTTTTTGATAGGAAAAACGGGTAATTAGTAAACCAATAATAAATGGACGCAAACGTTTCATATTCTTTGTCAAATCATTCATCACAAACACTAGCCAAACAGTAGCAATATGAACAAAATGGAGATATTTGATCGCACCTGCACTTTTAAGAATTTGTAGCTTTATATAGAACTGTTACTTGTTTTGTTGACGACTTGTTCCCCTTTTCATATACTTATTCAGGTTTTTAAAAAAAATGTTATTAAGCCTTGTTTTCATATCCTATGTATGTGTTTTTATATATATATATACAAATATAATTATATATTAATATAATAAAATGTTATTATATCGTTAAACATTTGTTTTTTCTTCATCAATTTATTTCTAAAAATGTATATAATACAGAAAGCAAACCTTTCCCCCACTTTAACTGATTTGCTCTATTTTATGTAACAACGTTTAAAGTTGTCATTCATATGAAATATAATTTCAATTACCGTATATCTACCAGAAAACAGTATCAGGATATTATATAACTTTATATTCATTGTCTTAAAATAACGGCTTATGTGACGTACACTGTGCAATAAATATACTGCCACTGTTGAGACACGGTGACATTATGCACACATCTTTAGGAAAATGGCATAGACATGGTTCTTTTTCTGCCCTGGCATATGTCATTTTATCAATTTTGATTTCATGCACCGAGTGACAGAAATACAAAATTTACAACTTGACAACGCGTCTTATGAATTTTCTAGTTATTTCCACCCTTCTAATTCAAAATAAACAAAACGACATATTCTATGGCTGATAATCGACGTCTCTATATTATTTGTTCTGATGCACAACCCTTATGGTGCCTTTGCTTGGTTTATCTGTAAGAAGGGCAATTTGTTTCACTATAGCTTACTTTAAAGTCTTTCGAGATTTGTTAACGCTAAATTATACCCTGTAACTAGTGTGATATATAGTATTTACCATTTCACAAGTTTTGTAATTTAAATTTCGATAACATCGTGTATATAATTCAAGCACTTTAATAAGTACAGGTTACATTGATCGTTCTTCAAACAAATTCTTTTACTTGTATTCAACAATTCAATGTTAAATTATTATTCTTTAATATTTGTTCACTTTAATTGTAAAAATTCTACCCCTTTCTGTGCATATGCTTAAATTATTAGTTGAAAAAAATATAACAAAAACAAAATTATAAAACTATACTGGAAATATTTATATTACAAATGAAAAATTACACAGCGTATATAGAATTTATAATTTATAGGTTCAACAAAATAGTGTTGAATTAAACTCGCGAAAATGATATGAAGTATTGAAATACATGTAATTTCATGTTATTTTGGGAAAGGGGACAAGTTCTTTTGACAAGTGAAAAGTAAGAAAGAGAATTACTAGTAACTTTACAGAAACATATTTTTTTTCTTTTTCACTCCAAAACGGTAGGGGTAATAACAAAGAAATACACCAGTGCGAGTGTATGTTGCATTGTTTTTGATAACTAATTAAATAAAAATTTATAGAAAAGTCATTTGGAGTACAAATATTTTTATTGCAGAGATTTTTCAGAGTAATTTGAATAAAACATATATGCACACATGTAGAAAAATATCTTATCTATGAGTTTGATCATATGTTTAAGATAGTTCAAAGACATTTACATGCAAATGTTCACAATGTTTCCAGTATCCTTATCTGATTTATAGATCATGATACATAGCGGGTTCCAGTAAATGTTCTACCAAGCCTCTCTTTATTCCTTAATAGAATATTTAAATCAGTGAATATATACACTTCAGGAGCACTGTATCATGTTGTAAATTTTTGAATTTACTAGGGGAAGGCGGATACAAAATTTACAATATCATGTTGTAAATTTTGTATTGACTTCGTAAATTCAAAATTCCAAAAACTCCAATTTTAGGAACATTTGTGAAGTTAAAAGTTTACTACAATAACAACATCAAGACCTACGATTTTTCGGCACTTTTTAACAACCATTCATTTATTCAAATCTAGGCTTTTTTAATAGCTTAAAGAGCTGCTTTTTCAATAAAAATTGGAATTCTTACATTTACTTACCTTCTCGTTGGTCATTTGCAAAATCATTTTGCTAAAAAACTTTCTGATTTTTCAGACAAGTACTCTGGACATTTATATTAAATTGATGCTTGGGTTTCTGATTGGCAATATCTATTTGATTTTTGGGGATTAGGTCTATAAACAATCTGTTACAGTTCCCTTGTTTATCAGACTTATTTTTGTACTGATAGGAAGCATTCAAAAACTTATACACGGAAAGAGGAAAGCACTCGCTGCGGCCTTCAGCTCGACATTCAGATATATCGACGACATAATGCCATACAACAATAATAGCTACTTACATTTATTTGTCGACTCGAAGTATCACAGTCAACTTGAAGTAAAAGATACCACAGAGTTTGACAAATCTGTTTCATATTTGGATATTTTACTAGAGAAAGACGTGATCTAACATATCAACAAACTTTTTTTTAATGATAAACATTATGACTTCAGCTTTTCTATCGTCAGCTTCCCCTATACTTATGTAGCAATTTACCTTAACTACCTGCATATGAGGTTTATGCCTCCCAGTCGATTCGATACGCAAGAACATACTCTACATACGAACAATTTCTAAAACAAGACAAACATTGAGGAAACTAGTTGATAGAACAAGGATATCAACAGTATTGTTTATAGTCATCATTTTGCAAGGTCTGTGGTTGATACAGTGACTTTGTCAGCAAAATACAATCTATCGTTAAGCCGAATGCTGACTGACGTTTTCATTCTAGTTCTTGGGCCTTTCTTTACACACTGAATTGTCTACGAATTTTTCCGTTTACCTAGTCATGACAAGGAGCATATGGCGGATGTGATCGGTCGACAGGGAATGCTCATTCATCCATGGTACCTGATCCCACCTCTGATGTTTTGGATGACCACTCTCAATCTGTATTGTTTCAATAGACGTTTGGAATTGATTGCTGTTCGTTATTATCTCCATATATCATTTTAAAATAATAATTAAATATGCTTACGAAATAAATCTCTTTGAAATATTTTTTTGAAATGTTTTGAACATCAAGAGGTGCATCTATGTGTCAAAAACAAGACTTTCTCTCTGATTCAGAATAATTTTGAGATGATATCTTTTAATGTTTAGACATTATAAATTTAAAAATCTGTTTTCAATTCCATGATAAAAATAAAGTTCTTTATTATGTCTCATGAGATTGTGCTTTGTAAGAATCCATATGATTATTATTTGTATGTAAACCAAAACGCGATCAAAAATTTGAATTAATGAAGAATGAATCCAAGATGAACTCTTTGCGTCTAGTCCATGCAATGACCACAAGCATCTACTATATATAACCCATGATATAGTTTTTAAGGATATCAGACGTTAAAATTTATTTTTTTGGTTTGAGGTGCATTGTATGACTGATTTTTAAACAATTAACCAGAGAGTACAGTTTAGAATTTATTGGGTTGTTTGAACTATGCACATACACTTGCTTATTTTCATTCACCACCCAGACCCATGCATGTGAAGAAAAAAAAAATAAAACAAAAACCTTTTTTATCATAATCTCTTCGTCCCAATCTCTAAACTGTCTCATAATTTTAAAGGTGACAGAGTAGTCTTTATGAGATACTGTGTAGGAATGTTATTCTCGTGATCCAAGAATACAATGTTTATAAGGATAAGGATATAAAGTTTATAAGGATAAGGATATAAGGTTTATAAGGATAAGGATATAAGGTTTATAAGGATAAAGATTATAAGGTTTATAAGGAGTTATGTTATAACGATTAATAAAGTATATATTATTTTATGTAGGCCGTGGCCACAATCGCCAAATCAAAAATAAATGATTTTAAGAAGTTATTTTTGTCTTCATCGTCTTTAATAATTACTAGTTCCTCTCTTTAAAAAAAATAGATACATGCCACGGAGTGCAGAATATGTGGTACATGTATAGCTAATATCAAAACCATATTTTCAAAAAGACATATCATCATGCATGTATTATTGAAAAAGAAGATATTTTATACGAGACAGAAAAATGTATATTAATATTTTTAATCAATCATGTTTCATAAGACTTTTCTCTGTACGAAACTCAACCTTCACAATCAATCTTCTTACGTAGAACCCATAAAGTAATCAACAATTGCAATATGCACTGTGTATACCCCCACTTTTTTTTTAAATTCTTAACATCGCTCATTCATGGTGTGTATAACATCTGATGACACTAAAGAAGAAATAGAATTATAAGTATCCGTTGATTTATGCCTAATAAATCTACTAATTAAATCTTTTCAAGTTCATATCGAAGTAAATAAATATCCTAATAAACACGTACGTCATATGTATTTTGTACAATTCGCCTTTGTTTTACGTACAATTAATCTAAATACATTAAAATATTAACCAGAAAATATAAAGGTGTTTTGGGATAAAAGAAGTGTAACATTTTAGAATTTAAATTTTCTGAGTAAGATTAAATGTAACCTTTTATATATGCTATGATGAGAGAACACGCTTGTTTACATGCAACATGCTTAGTGTCAGATTGTAATTTTTGTATTTACTATCACCAGGTAGATTCAAATGCATGTATTATATGTATTATAACATGCCAGTAGCATCAACGTATTGATTAATAATGCTTTATATGTTTTTATTCATGTATCATTAAACAAACTTTTCTATCAGACAAAACAGGAAATAAAATATGGAACATTACATTTTTTACAGATATATGTACCTATCTTTAAAAAAAAATTGTACCTATTTAAAATTTATGTACTTATCTTTAAATCATTTGCACCTATATTCAACTGAATTGAAGTTATGTTTAATTAAATTAAATAATTGTCTAATGATAGTGTTCCTATCATAATTCATTTGAAGTTAAACATATGGAGATAACGAACAGTATTCAAGCTCAAACGTCCATTAAACAATTAAAATCAGGAGCAGAGCAAACACGGACCTCTAAAACGTCAGAGGTGGGATCAGGTGCTATGTAGGAGTGAGCATTCCCTGCCGAATGGCCACACTCGCCGTGTGCTCTTTGTTAATTTCTGGAAATAACGAAAATATCCGTCGAAAGTTTAGTGTAAATAATGGCAATTAATGGTAATAAAACAATTAGTGTGAAAAACGTTAATCAGCATTTCATTTAATGATAAGTTGTATCTGCTGACAAGGTCATTGATCAAACATAAAATTTACGAAATGACAACTTTAAATGAGATTGCTAATATTCTTGTTTCAAATTAATTGTCAATATTTTACCTCGTTTTAGAAATTGTTTATATGTTAAGCATGCTCCTACGTTTCGAATCAACCGAGTGATTAAAACCATGTATGCAGGTGATAAAGGTATATTGCTGCATAAGTAAGAGAAGTTGACAAAATTGAAAAGTTAAAGTTATCGCATTTATCATAAAGCTTGGTCGTTAGATTGCCATCAAGTCTAATTTGGCGTTCCGTAATATTTAACTCCTCCGAAGAAATGATGCTTTATCAAATTGTACTTTGAAATTCAAAATATTGAACATATAATCAATCTTCGAACAGAGAAGATGCAAAGAAAATGACAATCGCTTTGCATATATTTTTTTTCAATTTCACTATCAATCAAACAGCATATATTCATTGACTGTTGTCCATTTATTTAAGGTTTTTCCATCTAATTGAATCTTTTTAAGCTCACATCGATGTAAACACAAGTCTTCTAATGAAAACTAGTCAAATGTCTTTCGAACACTTTGGTACGATTCGTCTTCTTTTCCTGTAAAATCTGAAAACCTGCATATTAACTGAGAAAGAACCAAAGAAATCTATGTAGAAAAGAAAAGCTTTATGACAGGGCTCTTACCCTTTTTTCTATGCTTGGTCGTAGTATACACCCGTAAAGAAAAGTTAACAAGCAAACACTGCGGTATATTTAGTTAACTTTACCACTTTCTATTCCACTTCGATTAAGAAATTCCTTTTCATTCTAGAGACAGATAGAAAAAATATCCAGAGCTTATCCCTTTAAGGACAGAAGAGACGTTCCTCAATAATATATAATTTTTTCCAAGATTTCGTCATTGATTGAAGAATTAATACTTTAAGGTTTCGCCAAAGGTAAACATGTCCAAAAATTTATTTTTACAACAATTCAAAAACTATGTGAGGTATAAAGTTAAAACTTTTACAGTCTATAAATTTTTCAGTGATTAACAGATAGAAAGTATCACTTGATAAAAAATACTTGGAAAAAATATTTAAATTGAGAAAAAATCTTGTTAAAAATGCTTATTTTTTCAGAAAATGCACCTAATTAATTCCGAGCTTTTAGTGAAAACCATCACTGCAGAAACAAAATATGTTTATCAATGAAGGCCAATTTGGACTTGGATAGCCACTGGAAAGTTGTTTTCCCTGTTTATTTTGTCCAAATGTTAAGACTTGAAAGCGAAAGTACATTCCAAATGGCGGGCTCTAGAGGGGTCTTGTCTTTATACATGTCATGCTTTCAATAACAACCTTTCAGAGACCATCCACGTCCAACTTGCCCTTCAATGATAAACATATATTATTTCTGCAATGATGGTTTTCACAAAAAGGACAGAATTAAGCAGGTGCTTCTTTTTAAATATGCACATTTTCTGATACAATTTTTCTCAAAAAATATTCTTTTTAAAAATATTTGTTATCAAGTGATACTTTCTAATCTATCAATCAATGATATATTTATAAACTGTAAACATTTTGACTTTATACCACACATAGCTTTGGAGCTATTGTAAAAAATTTTTTTAGACATGTTGACCTTTGACGAAACCTTAAGTACTTAATGTCAGACGATGCGTTCCCCAAATATCTGTTTTGTATATCTTCATAACGTATGAAAAATATATAAAATTTTCAACACTTTCTGATTTCTAAACCGGTTTCTAATTGTTTTTAAAAATGTGAAACACTAAAAATGTGATTTTAACAAACGAAGTTTTTCCCCTAAAGGATTATATAAGAAATGCCACCCTCAGGTATCTCGCACAAATGCCTGATAAGGTACTTCAATTTTTTGTGAGTAAAATTGTTAAGGTTTCGTCAAAGGTCAACATGTCTAAAATTTTTTTTTACAATAGCTCCAAAGCTGTGTGTGGTATAAAGTCAAAATGTTTACAGTTAACATATATTCAAATATTTGTACCTATCTTCAAATAATTGTACCTTTCTTCATTTGAATTGTACATATCTTCAAATGAATTGTACCTATCTTTAAATCAATTGTACCTATCTTCAATTGAATTAGAGATAGGTACAATTCAATTATACCTATCTTTAATTCATTTGAAGATAGGTACAATTGATTTGAAGATAGGTACAAATGCAATGAATTGAAGATAGGTATAATTGATTTAAAGATAGGTACAATTGAATTGGACCTATCGTTAATTACTCAGATATTGGCAATAACTACTCCCTTTATCATACGTCATTTCTGATACGTCACAGCTGGCGCGAAAGTTTATCGGATTCTTCATCTGGCTGCAATACGAGATATACCTACATGAGATACATGTGGTATTTTTATAAGTATATGATGCTTTTTGCACATTTTGAATTAACCTTTATCCTTTCATCCTTGTTGTCGTCGCTCTGTAGGTTCTGTGCGTTTCCCTCCATACTCAATATTGTCTCCAAGGGAGCGTTCATTATTTACCAACAACATAAAACGAATTGAACCTAGGTATAATTGAACTGTACCTATCTTCAATTCCGTTATGGATATGTCTTAATTGAACCTATCTTCAAATCAATTGTACCTATCTTTAAATCAATTATACCTATCTTCAAATGAATTAGAGATAGGTATAATTCAATTGAACCTATCTTTAATTGAATTGAAGATAGGTGTAATTCTATTAAAGATAGGTATAATTCATTTGTACCTTGGAATAATTATCAAGAGATAGGTAAAATTATTTATACCTATCTTCAATTCAATTGTACCTATCTTTAATTCAATTATACCTATCTTTAATTCAATTGTACCTATCTTCAATTCATTTGAAGATAGGTACAATTATTTGAAGATAGGTGCAATTATTTGAAGATAGGTACAAATATTTGAATATATGTTAATTTGGCGTTCCATAAAGTTGGACGTGGATGGTCTGTGAAAGGTTGTTATTGAAAGCATGGCATGTATAAAGACAAGACCCCTGTAGAACCCGCCATTTGCAATGTACTTTCGCTTTCAAGTCTTAACATTTGGACAAAATAAACAGGGAAAACAACTTTCCAGTAGCTATCCAAGTCCAACTTGGCCTTCATTGATAAACATATTTTGTTTCTGCAGTGATGGTTTTCACTAAAAGCTCGGGAATTAATTAGGTGCATTTTCTGAAAAAAATAAGAATTTTTAACAAGATTTTTTCTCAATTTAAATATTTTTTCCAAGTATTTTTTATCAAGTGATACTTTCTATCTGTTAATCACTGAAAAATTTATACACTGTAAAAGTTTTAACTTTATACCTCACATAGTTTTTGAATTGTTGTAAAAATAAATTTTTGGACATGTTTACCTTTGGCCAAACCTTAAAAGAGCCGTCTATGTAAAATTGAAAAGTTGTTTATTGTAAGAACTTTATTCTAAACATCTTTACTTATCATAATAATCCCCCTTTCAAGATACATGTATATATAGTATAGAAATTTCGCCCTTTTACCCTTATTTACTAATACATGATCAAAACAGTAAATGACATAAATATGATTTTCTTCAATCCAATTTATTCAATTTTTTTTAAAACCGATAATAACATGATCGAACAATAAACCTTTTTAATTGTAGGTTTTCAGCAAAAAAATTGTGGTTATAGATGTCAGAATGTTATACAAATGATATGAATTATAATATCACTTTTAAACAACGGCTACAATACAAGAACCAGCCATCAATCTTCCATTTCAATTCATTGTATAAAATATACATCATAAATATATACTTATAAATCTTCGCTTCAAAATCAGGTCGTAAATCTTAATACTAATTCATAATTAAATAATAATTTGTCATTTTATGTAAATAAAATAAGCCGAAGTTGTTAAAGATTCAATATAGTATGAATATCTGACTCAATCAATCTTAATTAATAATCTATTAAATCGTTTTAGCCATCCTTTCTCATTTATATCGACAATTTTAAGGCTTCTAAGTTTGATATATTTATTATAGTGTGGAAATAAAAATTCGATTTACCACAAACGTTAGGGACACTCACAACAATTGCATAGACATTTTTTTTTCAAAAAATAATCGAAGAAAAAGTATTTCAGTGAATCTTACCAGTTTCATATGCTTACATATTAAACTGCAAGTCATTCCCTCAACTACACATACACATATATCGACGACGTTTTATCAATTGAACATTGTTATGTCGACTCGATGTATTCCAGTGAACTTGATATAAAAACTCACAGAATCTGCAATATTTGTTTCATATTTGTATGTTTAGCTGACTATAGATGAAACATAGGGATATAACGAGCGGTAGTCAAGCTCAAGAGTCCATAAAACAATACAAAAGAGGAGCAGACAACCATGGACTTCTAAAAAATCAGATTTGGGATCAGGTGCCATGTTGGAGTGTGTATCCCCTGCCGACTGGTCACACCCGCCGTGTGCTCCTTGTCATGATCGGGAAATAACAGGAAAATATGTCGTCAATTCAGTGTGTAAATAATAGACTAACAATTAGTATCAAAACATCAGTTAGCATTTGACTCAATGAAAAATTGTTTTTGCTAACAAGGTCATTGTATCGACCATAGAACTTTCGAAAGAACGACTTTAAGGAAGCTCTAAACACTGCAGACTAAAGAGCTCTACTTATAGGGTAATTTTATGCAGGTAGAGTGATCTACTCTTAGAAGTAAGATTTCAAAAAATGTTATTTACAGTTATTTAAACGATTTATGATAAATTAAAATATTTTAAGCATTATACAAGACCAAGAATAAGAAATTGATTCATTATTTTCATTTTATTCCTAATGAAAGTAAACAGCAGTGATTTCTGCTCACAAATAGTCCATTGTCTTTGAATAATTTTCCTGTGGAAATAAGGCAGGTACCCTACGTTACAAATGAATGAAAACGTCTCGTATGTGCACTTTACATGATATATTTTTCTCCAAGTCCAAAAAGCAGTTTCTGTTGGTGTTTAGAGCTTCATTTAACGAGACTGCTGATATTCTTGTTTCATCCATTTGTTTGTCAATAGTTTACTTCATTTAAGATCTTGTGTATCGAATCAACTGAGAGATACAAGTCCGTGTGTAGCGATGAAGGTATGTTGCTGCATAAGTAAGGGAAGCTGACGATTGAAAAGTTAAAGTCATCACGTTTATCATAGAGGTTAGCCGTTAGATTACCAAATACGTCTTTTTCAAGTAAAATATCCAAATATGAAACAGATGTGTCAGACTGTGTAGTATCTGTGGTATAGATGATAAGGGCCAACTAACTAAATGGTGTAACAAAGATGACGTCAGCTTTTCCATCTTCAACTTTCTTATTTACCACGTAATATTCCCTTATCATCTGCATATGGTGTTTACGTCTCCCAACTTAGATCATCCTCAGGATTAGCTGATTCCCTTTGGAAATTGCATTGTAGGAATAATTTCTCCAAGTTTTCTGAAAAAATAACCAGTCAGGCTACTAGTATTTCAATTGTTTATGCTTACTCAATAGATTGCAGGAAAAACGTAAGCATAATGTATAAAACCAGAAGTCTCTGTCGAGACTGAAGCTCTACTGGTTTGTACTTATAGCAAAGGAAGAGAAAAGTTCTTAATTATTTGGGAATTGAAACTTTACCACAGCAATAAAAAGAATAATGATCCTTGATTAAGTCTCTTTATGTTCTTAGTGTTGTCTACTTGCATGCCACATTATATTATAATCAGACTTAAACTGTATTTGGAGTAGCATTTTGAGAGTTTTTAACAGAAATTTCTATTTTTAGTAACAATGGCAACACCGTTCATCGAAATCAAAAACCGATATACAGAATTATGTATCTAAGTGTAGTGTACTTGTATGCCAAGTTATATTGAAATCAGACCAAAACTGTAGGAGGAGAAGCATTTTGAAAGAATTTCACAGAAATTTCTATTTTTAGTAACAACGGCAACACCGTTCATTGAAATGAAAAACCGATACAAAGAATTATGTATCTTAGTGTAGTCTACTTGTGTGCCAAGTTATATTGAATTCAGACCAAAACTGTAGGAGGAGTAGCATTTTGAGAGAATTTCACAGAAATTTCTATTTTTAGTAACAACGGCAACACCGTTCATCGAAATAAAAAACCGATATATAGAATTATGTAACTTAGTGTAGTTTACTTGTGTGCCAAGTTATATTGAAATCAGACCAAAACTGTAGGAGGAGTAGCATTTTGAAAGAATTTCACAGAAATTTCTATTTTTAGTAACAACGGCAACACCGTTCATCGAAATCAAAAACCAATAAACAGAATTATGTATCTTAGTGTAGTCTACTTGTATGCCAAGTAATATTGAATTCAGACCAAAACTGTAGGAGGAGTAGCATTTTGAAAGAATTTCACAGAAATTTCTATTTTTAGTAACAATGGCAACACCGTTCATCGAAATCAAAAACCGATATACAGAATTATGTATCTTAGTGTAGTGTACTTGTGTGCCAAGTTATATTGAAATCAGACCAAAACTGTAGGAGGATTAGCATTTTGAAAGAATTTCACAGAAATTTCTATTTCTAGTAACCACGGCAACACTGTTCATCGAAATCAAAAACCGATTCACTGAATTATGTATCTTAGTGTAGTGTACTTGTATGCCAAGTTATATTGAAATGCAGACCAAAACTGTAGGAGGAGTAGCATTTTGAAAGAATTTCACAGAAATTTTTCTATTTTCAGTAACAACAGTAACACCGTTCATCGAAATCAAAAACTGATACACAGAATTATGTATCTTAGTGTAGTGTACTTTTGTGCAAGTTATACTGAAATCCGACCAAAGCTGTAGGAGGAGTAGCATTTTGAAAGAATTTCACAGAAATTTCTATTTTTAGTAACAACGGCAACACCGTTCATCGAAATCAAAAACCGATACACAGACTTATGTATCTTAGTGTAGTGTACTTGTGTGCCAAGTTATATTGAAATCAGACCAAAACTGTAGGAGGAGTAGCATTTTGAAAAATTGTTTACAGACAGACAGACGGACAGACAGACGGACGGACGACGGACGCATTACTATCGCATAAGCTCTTCTGGTCTCTGACCAGTAGAGCTAAAAATGAAATAAAAGTAATGAATTATTCTACATAAGTCGTCAAAGGATCATATATAATAAATCAGTTAATTAGTATCAACATATAAAGACAAATTATGAACATATAATAAAGAAATATTAGTTTGTAATATCAAAAATAAATGTATCAAAGGATCATTAGAATCATCATACAACAGTTATTCCAACAGATAAAGACAAGATATTACAATTCTCATGTTGTAAATTTTGTATTTACTGCCATCCGGTAAATTCACAATTAACAACATTAGAGAACTTAAAGACAAAGTAACAATATCAACCAGAAGTCTCTGTCGAGACTGTAGCTCTACTGGTTTATACATAAAACAAAAGAAGAGAAAAGTAGCAGCTGGGACTTGAAACTTTAAAATAGCAATTCATAGAAAAATGGTCCTTTCTGCTTATCAAAATAAAAACCAATGCACAGAATAATGTATCTTAGTATAGCCTACTTGTGTGCCAAGTTATATTGAAATCAGACCAAAACTGTAGGAGGAGTAGCATTTTGAAAGAATTTTACAGAAATTTCTATTTTTAGTAACCATGGCAACATCATTCATCGAAATCGAAAACCGATACACTAGTTTATGTATCTTAGTGTAGTCTATTTGTGTGCCAAGTTATATTGAAATCAGACCAAAACTGTAGGAGGAGTAGCAATTTGAAAGAATTTCACAGAAATTTCTATTTTTAGTAACCATGGCAACATCATTCATCGAAATCCAAAACCGATACACAGAATTATATAACTTAGTATAGCCTACTTGTGTGCCAAGTTATATTGCAATCAGATCAAAACTGTAGGAGGAGTAGCATTTTGAAAGAATTTCACAGAAATTTCTATTTTTAGTAACAACGGCAACACCGTTCATCGAAATCAAAAACCGATGCAAAAAACTATGTACCTTAAAGTATTCTAATTTGTGTGCCAAGTTATATTGAAATCAGACCAAAACTGTAGGAGGAGTAGCATTTTGAAAGAATTTTACAGAAATTTCTATTTTTAGTAACCATGGCAACACCGTTTATCGAAATCAAAAACCAATGCACAGAATTATGTAACTTAGTGTAGTCTTCTTCTATGCCAAGATATATTGAAATCAAATCAAAACTGTAGGAGGAGTAGCATTTTGAAAGAATTTCACAGAAATTTCTATTTTTAGTAACCAAGGCAACATCGTTCATCGAAATCAAAAACCGATGCACAGAATTATGTAACTTAGTGTAGTTTACTTGTGTGCCAAGTTATATTGTAATCAAACCAAAACTGTAGGAGGAGTAGCATTTTGAAAGAATTTCACAGAAATTTCTATTTTTAGTAACCATGGCAACATCATTCATCGAAATCCAAAACCGATGCACAGAATTATGTAACTTAGTGTAGTCTACTTGTGTGCCAAGTTATATTGAAATCGGACCAAAACTGTAGGAGGAGTAGCATTTTGAAAAATTGTTTACAGACAGACAGACGGACAGACAGACAGACGGACGGACGACGGACGCATTACTATCGCATAAGCTCTTCTGGTCTCTGACCAGTAGAGCTAAAAATAAAGCAACAGCATTAAGGACAAAACATCAGCATTAAACGACAAAGTTTTTGCACAACATGAATGTTTATCACTTTAGACAGGAGAGGCGTTTCATGGTATAGTTATTCAATTTGTAAATCTGCACTAAAATGGCAGCAAATATGTTGAATCGTTATAGATTTATGAATAAAATACGTTCCCTAGCCTCGCCTCGTGTCTCTTTGTATCACGTCCCGAGCAGTAAGTAATTAAACTTCGTTTTAGGGTCTCATTATACGCTAAAGAGAGGGCGAGGAATAAAAATCTTCATGCGATTCGTAATATGACAGCAGGAATCTACCAGGTTTCATTTTTTAACATTACAGTTTAGAGAAACGCCCAAACTAATATTCTTATACCGCAAATTCTTTTAATAAAAGATTGTCAAGTTTATTAGTACTAAATAATTTGCAGATGAGAAGTATGTTGATTTTAAAATTAAACTTAAATGGATCTATCTGTAAGTAGGAATACGTACAATGTATCACTGTATACACTAGAGTAAGAAGTACCGAAAAATATATATTTTTAAATACATAGTTTAAGTAAGTAATGAGTATTGGGATTTTCTGAAAAATGTAGATAAATGATATCAAGATTCTTCAAAGAAAAACAATTCCAGATGTTGACACGAGCTTGTTGTCTAGATTAAGACAATCCTGTTGTTTATAAAGACGTAGAATAAAGAGGTTAATTTGGCATAATAAATATGAGCCAATAGAAAAACCTAACACCATTTCACGTCATTATATTATCTCAGAAAAGTGTAACTCAAACAAATGGAAACTTGAAATTAATTTTATTAAAGTGTGGCGATATTATGGGCACGGCTGTTATTTAGTTTCAAATGCAAAACAAACAATATGGGCAATGGGCAGCCAACAAGAGCATGCCCCAATCAAATGCACAAACCACATTCAACATCAAAGCAAATCATATATCAAGGTCATTACCAAAGGTCAAAGTTCATATAGTGGTAAGTCAAAGTTCATACAACATCAAAAGTTCAAAGTTCACAACATCAAAGTTCAAAGTTCACCATATATATATATATAGAAAGCATTGACCCTGGGAGGTGCAGAGGTCAAACCTTACAATATAATTACCAAAATGCCGCTTATACGCCACAAGTTCCCTGAGATGAGGATCAGAATGAAACTCATCCAGGGAACTCCGCCACCATGGTGGGGGTAGAGCGGCATATCCGAACAGCCGTACCCAGGACCCTTGTTAATTAGAAAAGCAGGATTGACCATGCGCAACGATAGCCTCAAGTCCCCCCTGGAGAGAGTTTAGAAAAATGTTATTGCCCAACGAGGACAAGTGTACCCCATCCTGTAAAAACAAAGCTGGATCAGGTTTAATGTCTGTATGGCGAATTATTGCGCCCCCAGATTGCAAGACAACTGCAGCTATACCAGAATTAACCCGTTTGCGTGCATTTTCCATAGCTTTTAAATTTGCTGAATAGCGCCATTGGAGACGCGGAAGTATAAATGACCATATAATCCTACTGTTTCGAAAGTGATTCCTTAGAAATAAAACCAACTGCTTTGCAACCACCCTTATTTTTCTGATCGATATATTGCCCAAGTCATTCCCCCCACAATGTATAAGGATGAAATTAGGTACAGGGCCCACCTTTTCAAGAGTTCTAATCTTTTGTTTAGTTTTACTTAACTGGAGGCCACTATAACCCTGCCACCACAGGGAGATGTGTTTTCTTTCTAATGTCAAATTTGTACCACCTGGTCTTAATACAGCTTCCAAAAAGGCGTGCTTGATTATTGATGAACCCACCAACCATATTGTCTGTATATCTAAAATTAGATTAAAACTTTGGTATGCGAATGTAGGATTTGTAAGAATTAGATTTCCAACGACCAGATCTCTGAATGTCATGAGTTGAAAATCCTTTTAACGCGAGATCAGTACTCGCGCCGATACGAAAAGAGTGAGATTTGTATCCTGAGATACCACGCAAATTTAGGTGCTTTACTGCCTTACAAAGTACCCCCGTAAATTGATATCGTGTGAGGGGATAAATCGAAGTGTCGAAATAATGGACCTGAACCCTGTATTTAGTAATGAGCTGATATGGACATGCTACACCACCCTGCTTATCTATTTGTAGTACTTTGCCTTTACCTAACTGGTCCGTTTTCGAATACTGTATAGTCAGTAAGAGAGATTGCGTTTCGTGATTAATGGACAAATTGTCGATTTGAATTGTGTTTTGTTGATCACCTTCTCTTGTATTAACTGTTAATTCGCCAACTCTTAAAAATCCATGAAATGCCAGGGAGAATGCAGCCGAGAAAAGAGCTGTTTCAAAAGCATTGGTACATATTATGGGCAGAACTTGAATAATATTTAGCAAAATTGTTTTCGTTATTGGCAATCTAGTATCTACTTTATGTTTCAAACGTTTCATGCCCTGCAATAACTTTGTAACCAATTAAGAACTCCGGGGTTGGATCGTGAACACTCTGCAATTTACAATAAAATGAAATGGCAGACAAGTATGACCTCACGGTACCATATGCGAGGCCGGATGAAGATGAATGCAAAACGAATTGCACGACTGAGTTTAATGTAGGGGGCCATGGTGTGCAATCAATGAGTCTACATACTTTGTAATAAGCTGCCATTCCAGCCCGATGAGCTTTATGTGTGTTTTCAGATACTGAGGCGTCTAAAAGTTTAGCAAACTCAGGCTGGAGATGATGTTGCGGAAAGATAGGGGTACTGGGCAAGGGTGTTTCCTGGCATGTGGAGCTGCTTGTCGGAATCTGGCCCACTGCTTACGAGAAATTGAATCAGCTACTACATTTTCTTTACTTGGTATGTAAACTGCACGAAACAGAATATTATAATTCATAGAAGCAAGGACAAATGGTCTAAGTAGTGTCATGACCCGCTCTGATTTGGAAGTGAGTTTATTTATTATAGCGACTACAGCTTGATTGTCTATATGGAGAATGATCTTTTTATTAGCGAGTTTGTTACCCCATAAATAGACGGCCAAGACCACCGGAACTAACTCTAAAAAGGTCATGTCTTTAAGTACGTCATTGGACGCCCAAGTCTCTGGCCAAGGGTAAAAACACCATTCCCCATTGAAATAAGCACCACATCCCAAGTAAGACGAACCGGAACTATCTGTGTAAAAATTAATGTTGTTGTCTGACGTCCACTCAATATCTAAAAAATACACAGTCCCATTAAATGATTCAAGAAAACTAATCCACATGTACAAGTCCTGTCGCATTGATTGAGTTATCCTTATGCGATAATGTAATTCTGAAACTCCTATTGTAGCATTATAAAGCCGACGCAGAAATGCCCTACCTGGTCTTATGGCTCTTGTAAAGAAATTCAGTTTACCTAAAACAGATTGTAATTGTTGGAGTGTTGTCTTGCGTTGAACAACGAGATGGTGTAAAATACCCTGTAGCTCTAAGCATTTTGAATTGGGGATCTTAACTAGCATATGATAAGTATCTATCTCAAAACCTAAAAATGTCATAACCATAGTAGGGCCTTCAGATTTGTCCTCGGCAATAGGAACACCTATATCTTCGCAGACGTCTTGAAAATTCGACATAAGATCTGACAAGAATGGGCATCCCTCCCAGCAAATATAAAATCATCTAGAATATGATCAATTGTTGATGTTTTAGAGCGCTGTATCGTAGCCCACTGCAAACTTGTAGAAAAATCCTCGAAAACCTTACACGAAATGGAGCACCCCATAGGTAAACATTTGTCTATGAAATAATTACCCTGAAATTTAAAACCCAGGAGATCAAAATCGCCGGGAAAAATTGGAAGAAGTCGAAATGCGGATTTTATGTCTCGCTTACCTATGAAAGCCCCCTTCCCTAATTTAGCAATCATCTGAATTACTGAATCAAAGGATGAATATTGTACAGCAGTTTCACAAGGATCTATGTATGAATTCACACTACTAAACTTCGGGAAAGAGAGGTGCGTTATTAGACGCCAGCCCAAATTATCCCCCTTCGGCACTAACCCAATTGGAGATAACCTAAGATTAGAAATTGGTATTTGCGTGAAAGGACCCTGTATCCTCCCCATTTCAATTTCTTTGTCGATTTTCTCTTTAAGTTCATTAGGATGATCGTCCGCGGATTTCAAATTATTACATTGAATTGGTAATCTAGGCCCATGATAATAAAGTTTAAACCCTTGAGAGAACCCTTGGATTAGGCGATTTGCTATGATTCTGTTAGGATAGTGGACGAGACATTTTTTAAGGGCGTGTACATTAATAGGCGTTGAACCTAGACGCCATAGATTGCGGGGTGCGGAATCTTGGTCTTGAGTAGGTGGGGCGCTGGGTGTTGCTGCTGGAATACCCCTTATAATTGGTATTTGCGTTGGTTGAATACCCCTTAAAGTTGGTATTTGCATTGGTGGTTTGTGGACGAAAACTTGACTGTCCATAGAATTGACCACTTGAATTTTGTTGGCGAAATACTTGTGCGGACCCAGTGTTTGAGGCTTGTGTAATGCAATGTATCTGCGGATGGTTACTACCACATCGAATACAGCTGTGTTTATACATGCATGGGAATTTGTCACAAGATCCCTTGTAATTGAAATTGTAGCATTTATCATTATTGGTTTTGGGTGCATTTGTTACGTTATAAGCAGGCCCAGAATGCATATACATTAACCACAATTCCGAGTCAATTTCACCCCAGGAAGACACAGGATTTTGCTCTTTGCGCAGCCTAAACTGCGTATCATATTCTTTCCAAGATATAGCCCCCCTGCTAACACCCATTCTTACGGTCTGTATGTACTTAAGTAGGTCAAGAGTCTTGGCGGGATGTGCACTCAAGTACACACTTGCAAATATGAGCATAAGGTCAGTCCATTGCTCAATATTTTCTACCTTTTTTGGGTTGGCATCTTTATAAATTATCTCACCCATACTATTCATAACTAATTTCTTTTCATCAGACCCTGATTTTGGTGTTACCAATGTGGCCAAATCAATATACTGCCCACTAATAATACGTTGTCTGACTGTGCTAGAAACATTCATACCAATCATATGTATTGATGGGACAGGAGCAGGGGTGGTGCCAACATCTGTTGGAGTTGAGATTGTTGCTCCAGAGGTGGTCGGTGCAAAGGATGGCCCTGCACTTCTTGTCAACGTGGGTTGCGCTTCCGCCACAACAGAAGTTGATGGAGCCTGGGTTGGTGGTATTGGTACTGGACATCCTGCCGACGCCGTCGACGAGTACGTCTGGGAATTCACAGACACTGTAGCCTGACTACCACTTGGCTGCTGTGTGGCAGTCGCTGATGGTTGAGCCATTCTGCGCTTCTTAGCTCTCGGTGGCATCGTGTTCAGAAAAGAAAAGAAAATAATTATTTATTTTTATATATATATATATTATTTTGTATATTTGTAAGAAAAGAAATTTAAATTAATTATCTCCTCATTCTCACATGGTTATTTCTTTTTATAAAGTTAGCCTAATTTTTTTTTTTTTTTTTTTTTATCTCCCCTTGGTATAGAAATCTGAAACGTGTCGGATCAATTTATAAAACAAAGAAAAATTAATTAAGCCAAGGCAATATGATATAAATCCTAACGATCAAGATAATTGACTTAATAATCATTATATCTTATCACATACTTACATCATATAATCTGTTTTAATGAAAACTTATATAGATACAAAGTGGTCGGCTAATACAAAATGGCCACAACAGACGCTAGAAAAAATTATCATTATAAAATCAAGGATCATCGGGAAATCATGAATAAATACTCCTAAATTGATTGCAGCAAACAACTACCAAATAGATAACAAAAACATCCATATGTATTATACCCATTAACTATTTTTCTAAATATCTAAATTTGCAAAAAAAATATCCTTTAAAATTGTACCAACCTCATTCATTGTCTGTGAATGAAAAGGGATTAACGGATGTTGACTAAGGGGGAATAACTCTAATTGATTATAGGGATTATAGGCGGATCAATGGATTTTATAACATAGGAAATTAACACTTTCTTCGATAAAAGCCTCCAATTCGAATAGAATTGGATGTGATAATATTTATATCAAATGTTTATTTGTAAAACTCTTGCACTTTCATTAAAAATCTGCTAATGTTAAGAAATGTATTTGCATATGTTGAAAAAAAAATATCAAAAGATGAAACAGCTTTACAAACTGCAACCCCAAATAAAATGCAAAGTTCAAAAATAATTTTAAAGTTTTAATTAATTTGCTGGGTAGAATTATGAGGTGTACTATTGCCATCTTCATGATAAAAAATTGCTTGAGCTTAAAATAATTTATCTTCAGAAGGTTTAGAAAATTTCGCTTGAATTTATTTCATTAAGATATCATAAACATGTAGATGTACAAAGTGCATACATAGAGTCTACGAATAATGTGCTTTAATGTGAATAAGTGATTAATGACCACTTTACTGTCCTCTTTGTGAAGAAAACAAAGCAAAAACAGATGATGTTTAGTGCCCCTTTTAGTGTGTTGAAATTAAGATGCCGGCACGATAATCAGGAGAACGGAAAATTAATGTCACGAGCATTCTCTTTTGAATTTTTGTTTCTTTATCAAAAATATTTTTCATCTTTATATGGCGTTTAAGACACAACATTCTTTAAAATTCGGGTTTTTTTCTTTTTTTTGACAATTTAATTATCAAAATGCCCAAATTTCAATGAATAAATTTAAATTCAAATATATTCTGAAATAAATGGGACTTTTTCTCCATTTCACTTTATCTCATATATATGGCATTAATAAACATTACCTGGCTTACTCTTTGTTTCAGTTTATTTCAAAGTTAATGTGATAATTTAGATGTTTCTTGATATTATCTCTAGCTACAGTTAAATGATTGCGAATTTCTTACCGGAAGGATAAGTCAAAGTAACGACTTTTTAACCCTCAAATGCACGAACAAACATTTGCTCTATTCTTGCAATATTTTTGGATCAAAAGTGTTATTTAAGCATGAAAAATGGCATTGATTCCTGACTCCCTAATATTAACAAACAGTAACGAATTAAAAAAAAAAAACAACATACATGTACATGATAATCACATTTAAATCACACTATACTGGCGCTAGTGAAGTGAAGTGAGTTTTTGAAACTTTTTAAAAACTTGAAATGAATTTATAAGCAATAAACGGGGATTGGAGGTGGAAGAGGGGCAACACTCTGGACCGATTTGTCATTCATTAACCAAACTTCATTTTTTTTACTGATGCAAGCTGGTTCTATTAGTACGCAGTGCAAAATACCATGAGATTATTTTACTTTATGGCCAATGCCTTAACTTGGTTACTAAGACCAAACAAACAAAGCAAAGCCATTGTTTAGCAACTCTTTTGCATCACCGGACACCAAGCCCAGCATGTATTTTGGTCAAGTCTCTCATGTTCTCTTTAATTCTTCATTGACCAGAAATATGTGGGAACATCAAAACAATAATAAACAGATAAAGGGATTAGATGAGGTGTCGACATATCTTCCCACACCGGTATAAATCGTGCGATGTAAGTATTCATTGATGACATCTCTTACACAAGCCATTCGTGATTTTCAGCTCGTCATCTCGGGCTTGGACAACATTCGTGACACCTCATTACCGTACGTAACGTGTGCCCATACAAAAGGTTTGTCACAAAAGCAGACCTTCTAAACGTTTTCCAAATTAAAAAGAGTTGAAGGTTTTGAAATTAATTCTGATTAGCGGCAGGTTTAGTCACGTTTTACCATGTTTTTGACAAGTACGAGTAAGAGAAAAATTATTGAAAATGAGAAACTTGTCATTAAACACAATTGTGCTACACTCAAGTTATTATCGTCTGTTAAAAATAAGTATAAATTCATAATGACGTGAAATATTACGCAAATTATTTCAATATAGATCTATATGAAGTGTTAGACATTGTTGAAAATAAGTTACATTTTTAGCAAACAAAGCTTGTAACAACCATTAACACTAAGAGTTTATGTTGTTTAGGCTCATTGCTTCAACTGCAACTTGGATAGCTCTTCATCTTTTACAAAGTAATTCAGCTTATACCCAAAGTTACCTTTAATTTTCTATAATGTTAACCTTCCAGTCAATGGAAGTGAATTTCATGTGCAATTCAAAGCTTCATAAAATCTGTATATTAACAATACATGCGTTTTAAGGAATCCAGTAAATTTTGAAACAGGATCTTAAATCCCAACTTGAGTAAAGGAGAACTTTAGGAATATTGTGCTTAAACATATTCAAGATATACAAGTAGTGTATCTTCAAAAACTCTAAAGCAATTTTGGACAAATTACATCATTTGAAACGTATGTGCCTTTTCAATACTTTACACAAACATTTCCCACAGTACATTAAAATCTGGCTTTTTGTGATCACAGGCAAATGTATCTTTGATAAAGAAGAACTCGTATATTATCATATAGTGTGGTTTATCATCTACAAAAAATGTTTTGATTTGCATGCAAAGAATTTGGTATTAAAACATTGTTAAAAAGTACTGTACGTCCTAATGAACACTACTCATGTAGTCTTCAGAGACCATGATCCTAAATAAGGAAGAACCTAATTAATGTTAAGTCAAAAATCTGAATAGTGTTATGAAATCAAAGTGGAAGACAAACAGTCCAGAATAAATCTCTATTTAATTTTGCATAATAAAACTGCTGTTTTCTGCAGATTTATAATTTCAAAACACCATATTTTTTTTTTTTTTTTTTTTTTTTTTTACAGATGTTTGATAATCTTGACTTGTCTGATCCTGAAACCATGCAAAAGCTCACTCCTTGATGACACATGAACCCATCTCTGGTATTTTTAGAGATCCGTGTTAAATCTCCAAAGCAATTTTGGAAAAAAATTATCAAAACGTATACATTTTTTCAATACTTTACATAACCATTCCTCACAATACATTACAGAGTGGCTTTTTGCGATCATTAACAAATGCATCTTTGATTAATATAAATACGTAAATTTTGTGATTTGTCATGTACAAAAAAAAATGATTTTGCATGCACAAGTACGTACTCTGAAATTGGCATTAAACATTGTTGAAAAGGACTGTACGTCCTTTACTTTATTAACAATATCCATGTCGTCTTAAGAGGCAAGGCCCCTAAATCATGGAAGAACATAATGTTAAGTCAAAATCTGTATAATATAATGAAATCGAAATGGAAGAAAACAGTCCAAAATAAATCTCCATTCAATTTTGCATCACCTAACGGTTGTTGTCTGCAAATTCAGAATTTCAAAACACAATAATTTTTTTAACAGATTTGTGAACTTTTGACTTATGTCTATTTCATGATCCTGGGGCTATGCAAAAGGATCATTAAAAAAAATTAAGACTAAAGTCAAATTTTCAATCACTTGTAAAATGCTTATTTATTGCTTACCCAATTTCTAAATTTGCAGATAAAAGCATTTTGGTGATGCAATATTGATAAATATTTATGTTTTGCACTATTTGACTTCTTCTTAACTTCAACACAATATTAAGATTTTTAATTAAGCTTAAGATCCTTCCGGAGCCAGCTCTTCTAACGATCTGTTCCGAGATTGAAATAAGAAAATCTAAATGAGATGAGAAAAATCTTGCTATGGAATTCAATTCTTCATTTCAGTATGTAAAGTTGTTCTATCAATTCACAATACTTTTTCTTCAAATCTGAAGGATAACTACATTTGTCTGAGCATTACAGAGTGCTCACGACGAACGTGGCTGGTCAAAAAGGGATGTTTACCCCTCCGAGACACCCTGATCCCAGCCCTGTTTTTTAAGGTTTTCAATTGTGGTTTTGCTCCTTCAACGAATCTTATTATTTAATAGGATTAAAGCTTGATCTTACCTGTTATAATATTTCGAAGGTAAATTAGATAATAAAAATCTACGAGTACAATGTTTTTTTTTTATATAATCATGATAGTTGTGGTGGTGACAATGATGGTAATGGGGAAGGAGTTGTTTGCAGTATTTAAATTCAACCAAGGGAAAATGTTTCCCATATGTAGCATCACCCGTGACCTCAAAGGCAAAATCATTCATGCAAAAAATATTTTTTTTATTTTAAGAATTAGGCCAAGATATACATGTATATTTTCCAATTTTCAAACCACTGGTAGATATTACACATTAACGTCATAAGTATAATCTTCACGTTTGGTTACTTTTGGGGGAAGCAGTGAAATAAACTTGCCTCATTTTCATAATTTTTATATTAATCTTAAATTTAAAAAAGTTATTATAGAACAAATCTAAAACAGACTCGTTGATTTTCATCTTGTATGTTTTTAATGTTTGATGTTAACTTGTAAGTGGCCAATACGTTATGTACATGTATAAGAACATAAGGGACAACATTAGATAATTTTGAGACCCTTTTCTACAGAATTTCAAACAATGGCAAACTACATTGTACATCTATACAGTTAAGCAAATTTAAACATGAAACTGTTTTTTTACAGTTCTTTTTATGACATTTCACAATCTTAACATTCTCTGTGGTTTTATGCACGCACTAGTTCTGAATAGATGGTTTACACAAACTGGCTTTTTTCAGTTAATGATTCATTTTGATAGATCGAAGTTTATTTTAACAGATTAAACATAAGCATAGAATTTTAAATGAATGGAAACTAAAAATAGAAATACAGTATAAATTTTATATACATTCAGCATTAAGCATTAAATAACTGAGGCTTGACTGATGCCAACAATATTGCACATGTCTAAACCACATCTGAACCTCGCTGTTAAGTGAAATACATCCTTTGTATGTGTTCTTTTAACAATGTTTGTACTAAACAACACTTTATTACGTAATAGTGACAGTTGAACACATCTTTCTTAGTTTAATGATGATATATCATTTAAAAAATGAAAGGATGATTTTGTAATATTGATTGACTTGTAATATTGTACACGTAGTGTATCCACAACAAATTATCAGAAAATATGCACCTTTAACCAAGAGATACAATAAATTACTGTTATGGTTTTATGCCATCCGCCATGTTACCTTGACTTATACTTTTAAAAATGTTAATGATGTTTCCTTGTAGATTGTAGAAGTGATATTTTCACAAACTTTTAATTTTCTATCAGCTTACGCAGTTTCGAACCGTTATAGTGAAATTTTTGGATTATTTCATGTCGATCGGATAATAAGTCTATGTTTCCTCTGCATTAAAAACTGTTTTAATTTGTCACTATTATTTATGTGAATCTCTGAAAACAATTGTAAAATTTTGATGCGATTAATTAAAATCAGTTTAGTTCAAACTGAAGCAAGTTCTTGGAAGTGTAATTCATGTGTCAGCCACGTGTTACGAAATTAATTGTTCTTCATCTTTTTTGTTTCGTAAAACTATTAAAGTTCAGTCTTTCGGGAACTATTTGAATGTCGTTAATTTTAAAAATTTAAAAGCTAAAATACTGTAGTAAATGTTTTCAAAACGGGTTACGAATTTTATTATCGAGGTTATGGAAATGACTTTCTATATGGTGAGAGATTCATCTGAAGTAAAATGTTCCAATAGAAACAGTGGAATATGGTTTAATTATATTTGTTTGTTTTGTTTTGTATTTGTTTTTTTAAAATTACTATGTTTTTTCTTAAATTTCTAATAATAAAATCCTGTGGTTCAAATGCTGGATATTACGGTTTATTATGTTAATTTATGATGCCGTCTTTTTCCATGTAAGTAAAAAAATTGGATCCTGTTGGATAATTATATTAATCTGTCTGTATAATGTATAAATTATGATGCATTTAATCAAATTTAACTAGCATAAATTTACATACAAATTACATAATATTAACATAAGTACTTGCGTCGTATTTCCTTAACTAGAATAAAAGACTGTTCTGTTAGTATATATTTCTGTTAGTGTATATGATCATGCTACTTTGTATATTTATTTCCCACAAATAGCCTAGGGTATCGAGAAAACAGAATAGAAAATAAGGATCATACGTCACAATAAAGAGCCCTATAATTGTACTTGTACGAGTATAGTCAAAATTTGATCCATTCGAGCGCGGTTGTCGGCAATGGCAGAGTTAGCCATGAAATCTGCTAACTGAGGATGGCAAAATAGTTTTTTGAAGTTTGAAGAGTTTTTATACTATATATATTTATTTACATCTATTTTTTGTACGCTTGGATTTTATACACATTTTTTTTTTCAATATGAAGAATTCCGTAGCATTTCGACTCTTTGTGATTGTGTGTGTTTGCTTACAACAACTTTATGCACAGAATAATAATCTAATTGCCATCCAAAATCATATAGACAAAATTATCATGAATTCTCAAATCTTACGAGATGTTGTTCAAGCTGAGATGACGAAACAGGGAATTTCACCGGGTGCTGGCTCCCCTCCGTCAGCAAATGTGGCATACTCCTCCTTTATTGATGAAATGGAGGGAAGACTTCGAATTTTGGAGGAAACTACCGCCTCGCTATCAAAACAGATGAACAGATGTCATAATGCACCATCACGTAAGTACCTGATATCAAGTAACTAGATATGTTTAACTATATCACCAGGTTTTGTAACGTTTAATTAATGTTAAGAATGCATTATTTTTTTTTTCCTTTAAGCCAGCTGGCTTTTTGTAAGAAATTAACTTTGGTATTAGATGTTAATTGTACATATTCATCTGTAATTAAGACAAATCAAACTTTGCAAAAATATGTAAGGAAATTTTAAAAGTGTTCCTTTAATGGGTTCTAAAGGACTTACAATTTCAACAAAGAAGTATTTGAATTTGATTCTTAAAAAGAGGAAGAGAAAAGACAAAAATCCCTATATATGCAATTAGGAAGAAGGAGAAATTTTCGTGAGAGATGTAACGAGAATTCCACTGTTCTATTTGATGTTGACATGGAATGTCGATGTATGACAGGAAACAGCCATTTTTTGTGGCCATTTTTGTACCACAAGGCCAGTCTTGTCTGCGAGGGCTCGTGTCGTGTTCTGTTCATCATATATATTTGGTCCACTCAAGCAAGTGACTAAAACATGCATAGTGGTTTGTCATTTATGACCTAAGATATGTTTTTCCTCGATGATTCGTGTGCTGTCATTCCAATAACTTACTCTTGCTAAACGGACAACGGATTTACCTGTATATGGCCTTTTGCGAAACCAGTTTATCAAATGTCCCCAAAAATAAACCTATAAAATAGAAAATTTATTCATATTTTCCAATGTAAGAGCGTTGCATACGGATCTGTATATCTCTTAAAATTATTCTTAATTCCTTTTAAATGTTTTTTTATTATTTCGCTGGACGTATTTAATTTTTTTTAATATTAGGTGGTACGTGACATCTAATTAAAATGCGAGGACTAGGTCTACCTTTTCGTCTCAATTTGCACTTTGATTAACGATATGACATAAAACTGTATGACAGAGTAAAACCGCTGTGAAATTTTTATCTTCTATGAAATGTTTGATGAAATTCTAAATCCAAAAACTTATGCAGCAGACTAATGAATTAACTAATCAGAAGTTGCTAAAAATATTTCATTGCGTAAGTGTTACTAGTGAAGTCTTACAGCAAGTTTTTGCATGTCCTTTTTTTTTTTTTTTACTTTTTTTTTATTTAATTGCAACCACAAATGAATTTCATAATATTTTTTTACGTATGCATAAGAGTATATGATACAAAATGCTATAAATATTAAAGACCAATTTTTACTGGCTTAATAAATGCTACAACACACATCTATCGAGAACTATACCTTTAAAGGCATCGAAATTCTAAAATTATTACCAAAATCTGTCCACTCTTATGTCTTTTGAAATTCAAACCAAAAACCTTAAAGAACTAACATTTCTTTCAAAAAATTCTTAAAAAGACTCTCTAAAGTTTTTATTTAAATTTGTAATTGACTTGCATCGATGCCTCATTATACTATAGGAAATCAAGTGTTTTCACAAAAATGTCCAGCACCAACTAAAGCTTCAAGTATTGTTTTCATGTACATTTTTTCAGCCCGTCCAAACTGTTTTTCAAATTCTGTAACATATTTTTACGGTATCTTATCTCTCAACTTTTTGTTTCTTAAAAAAAAATCCTAAATCTTGTGTTTTATTTATGGCCTATTCATTTTGATCAGTTGTTTTTTTTTTATTTCAGTTGCATTGCTCTTATTTAGTTTTAATTCAAAAAGTCGTGTTTCAGGATCAACACATAACACACGGTGAACAGAATATACATGTAGCAAAAGTAATTAGTCTTATATATACATGTATACGAATACCTTTCACTCAATGACTTGAGTTATAGGATGGCAATATGTGCAGATATTATGCTAACTGTGCAAGGAACACTGTCCTTGATCAATTACTGTGTATACTTATAGTAACGTCTTGTGATATTTACTGCTTAGACCCATAGCAATCTTCAGATACAAAGGTCAACCTTCGGGTCAAAAGTTGACCTTATTTTGTCATTTTAATGTTACGGTGCACACACATATAATCTCTTAATTGGTCATATTAATGTTCAAATATGACAATATCTTTCATAAGCCGTGAAGTAACGCCGCATACGTGAAGATGAAACACACGTGAGCTAACATGTCAGTTACATTCGCTACGGAAACACGTGTATTGTCATTAGGAGAACCATTCTGTCGCTAGTAGTATCAAGCCCCGAGGACAAATTATAGAACAATGCCGTCCTGTATATTTCTTATATATTTCATCCATCTCTTTCTCGTAAATTGGTGTGTTATGATAAGCACTAATTGTATCCATTCTATTAACTATATTATCAAAAATGTTCCATGATTTATGACGATCTTGTTAATTTATCATAGAAAACACATAAAATAAAACCAAACAAAAACATCTTTGTGGCATAAATAAATATGATGTCAATCCATAGTGACATTAAAAACCTTTATTTAAATTATTAATCAACACAAGATTAACATGTTTGTCAGAGGAAAGTTCCGTAAAAGAGAAAGAAATCCTATCTACAATAAAAAGCCAAAGGGAAAAATCTTAGTTGATTCTTATTTTGGGTCGCCAAGTTACAATTAAATCAAAACTGCTATAATATCTTAGACACGGTGCAATTAAAAGAAAATGGCACCTGTCGAGAGCTCAAAGATTAATTTATAAGGAAATGTAAATGTTTCCGCATCAAGTATATGATTAATTCAATTTTAAAACATTTTTAACACCTTTTTTAGGTTCGCATACTGGTAATTAAGAAAAACGAGTTAAAATACATCAGAATGGTAGTTAGCTGCAGAACTGTAGCTCACTGCTTGAGAAAATTCGGACAGATAAAGCATTTTTTTTTCAATCAGAGAGCTACAGTTGTGCAGCTGAATGGTAGTTTGAAAAATGTTTGAAACTACAGACCAAATTTAATGAATTGCGGGAGAAATGTTTCATTACATTAATGACTTTGACGCATGGGTCTTACATCACATCGACAGTTTTGATATTTTAAATTTTTGTTAAATTGTCACTGTAATAAATGTGATGAACATGACGAAAATATTTCTTCTGAAGATAACTTTCAGAATTGTCTCAAACAGTATACCCCCCCCTGCCTTTTTCATAATACAAAAATACAAACATCAAGGTTTTAATCGATTGTATAGCTATCACAGAAAGGATTTTGTCATCATACTTATTTGTGGCTACTAAAAGTGAAAAAGCAAAACTAAGGCCAAATCTGTTCTAAAACTCACTTTTTATAAATCTTTTTTTCAGCTCCTTCGCCACCAACAAACGTCATTGCCGAATCTGCCACCTCTGACAACGTGTCCTCAATCGTCGTACGGTGGGACCCTCCAAATCCCGTCCCAGACAATCTCCAATACAAGGTGTACTTCGCTGCCGTCGACGAGACAGGGTACCAGCCCCAGGGTGAGGTCGTCTTCAGAATTTGTGATGCTACACAGACATCTGCCTCTATCACCGACCTTTCTCCAAGGTCAAACTACCAGGTTCGGGTTGGAACCGTGGCGGGTATAGTCACCGAGGCATCCAGTGTACCACAGGTCGTCGAAACTCCTGACATCAGTAAGTGCTAAGCACTTCTTTTCCTGAAAGATATCTAAATTGCATTTTTAAATATTCTAACAACGAAACTATTGTACTATTCTTCTACATCACTATTGATTTTTTTTAAATTTGCTAAAAGAAAAAAAAGAGAGATCAGATATTCTATAAAACACATTCTTATAACAATATATTTTTTTCCCTTAACAGTCCCATCCGAGCCAACAAATCTTAGAGTAGAACAAACCACACCTAATGCAGTTACGTTACTCTGGGATGCTCCCCAAATCGCCGGAGTTGTGACATCATACGTACTGTATTACCGAGAGAATGGTAAATCCCTACAAATGACAGAAACCGTGGAGCCACCATCTTCATTTTACACTGTCAACGATCTGTCTGAAGGAACTAGATACGAGTTTCAAGTGGCTGCCAAATCCAATAACGGTGAAGGCCCGAGGAGTCAGTCAGTGGATGTCCAAACAATTGACTTTAGTGAGTTGGTTTTTCTAATTAACATGGCAGTATTTCTGTATCAAGCAAAACAAAAAAAAATGACCCTAATCATTACCATTCACTTACACAGTGAACATTTTTTTGTACTTGATGAAGGTTTTGCATAACTAATTGATATAATAAATGCCAGATAATAAAGAAAATGAAGTTTCATGTATACAATTCCTATTCACAATTTTCTGTTTTTAGATCCACCCCACCCTCTGGATCTTAATTGTACATCTCTAAACAAGACTTCAGTTCTCTTGTCCTGGAAGAAACCTCTTACACTTCCTGGTGATGGAATCATCCGTGGATTCAACATTAACTACACAGATAGCAGATACAGAGAGTTCTTCCTCTACAAAACACCAGATGCAACCGTCAATGAAGCCGTCATTGAAAACCTCGAGCCCGCTACTGTATACTATTTCCAAGCTTCCTCAAGAACAAGGAAAACATTTGGAGGAGGCGGAGCTGTCGTCATGTGCAATACTAAAGCAGATGGTACGTTTCAAAATCCAATGTTTAAAAAATACAAGCATTTAATATTTTATGGAATCCTGTATTGTTTTTACCTCTTTTTCAGCTCCCTCTAAACCTAGAAATGTCCAGATCGAATTGTCGAGATTAGATCCACCACAACTTACCATTAAATGGATTCCACCATACCATACTTATGGTCCTTTGATAAACTACACTCTTCACTGGGGTGTCAAAAATGGAGCTCTGAGGAAAGAGAAAATCGCACCTTACAGATTGCGATGGGACTCAGATTATTTAGGTAGATATTCATATACTTATAAAACTTCTATTGAAGTACATTAGAAATAAAATGGCATTTCTTTATCAAAAGAAAAATGTTTTCATAATATTGACCCTTTTACAACACTGGTTCTTTAACAACTGATAATATATCATGCATTTTATTTGGCAGATGATGCTACTGTTCACGAGTTTAAATTATATGCTGTAAATTCAGAAGGATTTGGGGAACCAGCAATAGTTCAATATACTACTCCAAAACGAGGTACAGCTTTACAAGATACCACTTTTTGAGTTTCCTAATTCAGTCCTTCTTTTTAACATCCAGTAAAGTAAGATAATGAAAAGAGTTTCGGAGATGATTCCGTCAAGATTAATCACAAAATGCATATGTGTAAAAACGGGTAAAAATCTCAAGCAATGATTACTTCATCCAATTTGAATACTCTTTCAAATGTATTTCTTTTATTACAGAAACAATTGTCCCACCAAATGTTACTGTTGATCGTGTTAAAGGAAAGAATAACACCACGATGTTGAGAGTCAACTGGGATCCACCAAACCAACCTGTCGAAGGCTACAGAATCTTGTACAGGAAGTTTGAGTGGGTTTACAGTGGCAGGTGGAAGCTGAAGGAGCTTAATGATCCTAACGCCCTGCAAACAGAAATTGTGGTAGATGAACCTAACTATTCACACATTGTCGTGGTTAGAGGTACTGCTAAACGTCAGAATCCAAATTACCCAATCATGGGTGGACAGATTGGAGGAAACATGGGTAATCCAATGATGGGATCTTCAGGTCAAATGATAGGAAATCAGGGCGGCCGAATGAGCCAGCCTATGGTCAATGGAATGATGAACCAGGGTGGCATGCCTCAAAATGGCCAGATGATGCAAATGAGAGGAAACATGGGTGGACAAATGAGCATGGGCGGAAACATTGGCGGGAATATGGGAGGAAGTATGTCCACTAGCATGTCAGGCGGTATGCCCAATAACATGGTAGGAAATATGCCCAATAATTTGGCAGCAAATATGCCCAACAACATGCAAGCAAATATGGCCAACAATATGGCAGCAAATATGCCCAACAACATGCCAGGAAATATGCCCAACAACATGCAAGCAAGTGTTGCAGGTGGTCTTAGTGGATCAACAGGATCTCTGGCTAGTATGCAGATGAATAGAGGACCAAATCAGTTTGGAAGTCAAATGAACATGCCAATGCAAGGTAATCAGCCAAAACCTCCACAAGGGGGTAGTCAGCTGGGTCAACCCATTAAAAGAAATTCAATGTCACAACCCCTTTCACAAGGTCAAATTCCAGAACCCCCGGGTTTCAATAATGCAGGATTTCAGCAACAGTTTAGAGCATAGGAAAACTATAATTGTGACTGATCAGGAAAAATTGGTATAAATTTAGTTATACTGAAGAAACTGACTAACATGTGAAAATAAAAAAAGATATTCATAATTCTCGGGTTTATTAATCGAGATATTTTCCTATATATAGGAAGAAAGAAAATTATATTTAATGAAACATTAAATCAAGCAAATAAATAATTTAAACGTTAAGAAATCACATTCCATCAATCAATCAAATGACAATATTTGATTCACTGTCGGAACATACTTCATAGATAACCATTCAATTCGTTCTAACATGGAGGGATAAGGTATAAAAGTGCAAATTTGAAATGGGAATGAAAAGGTTGAACTAAAATGCAATTTATAAAAGTTTGCATTTTCTTTCGGATAATGTCTCTTTTGAAATTTGCATTCACTGAAAATAATATTCAAATTATTTGACTTCTTTCTTTAGGCAAATAACCATTCATCATATCATGTAAAAGTGTCTGGGATGGCGCAACAATCATCTCCATAAGAAAGTCATTCGAACACGCCCGACAACATTGTGTATATGTACAGTCTTGAATTCTGGTGTATGCACAGCCACTCGTGGTGTTTGATTTGACCAAGTGCTGAAAAACACATTGATTCCATATGTCATTTCATTTATCATCTATTTTGTTTTTGTTTGTAGACTCGTATACAAATAAATTATAAAACACGAGTTGTTCTTTGTCTTTTCCCAAATACATGTACATCTACTGAACAAGGTAGGTTCCTTTTTTTAAAAGAGACATTTTCGATATTGGTACTTTATTTATTGAAAATACATAATTATCAATAATACAATTATTGTAAATATAATATTGCATTGATAGCAACGCAGTGTAGATTTGATTCAATGTCTAAAATGGTTTCGATCTCTTACAATCATATGCACAGTACAGAACTTAAACCTACTCTCCGTACAATATATATACAACTATAATAACTTATTTTCAAAAGTATTGCTGTAGTTTTTTCTTTCTTTCATAAAATAGAAAACATCTAATTTATTTCAAAACAAAAAAATGAGGTCATTTAACTATTTCCTGATAGTTTTCAAGTTGCTATAAACCCTTTTCCTATGACATATTTTGTCTAGGAGTTATTCCCCTTAGCCCCCATATTGTAGGGCAACAATCCCAGATCCCTTCATTATTCAACCAAGTTCAATTTGTTATACTGGTTACTGAGGTAAAGATAATGTTATTTTTCTTATGAATATTTGTTTGTTACATGCAAAGCCTCTATTAATTCATGATTATAAGATTGTGAACATATTATTAATTGCCTATATTTCTTGTATTTTTTTAAAACTGGTTGATCTATTTTATTGATTTTAAATTCACAAATTTTGCCCTACAAAATGGAGGCTAATGGGAAAACTCCTATGGCAAAATATGTCACAGGAAAAGGCTGTTTTGGTTAATTTTTTCTGGAGAATAATAAAATATGTTTTTGTTTTAGATATAATTCTTAAAAGTTTTAAAGAAAAAATGTGCATATACAACAATAGATTTTATATTTACACGAAACAGATGTACATCTAATAGTACTTTAAAGAGGAATAGCGAGTATTAACACATAAAAAGTTTTAAAAATTAAAAAAAGTTTTAAAAATCGTACATATTTTAAAAATTTGTAATAATTTCACATTTTCCATTTGGTACAGTGTACACAATTTTCAAAACACTTTAATCTTTTTAAATATTTTATAAATAAAGCTCACACTAAATACTTGTATCAATTTTTAACACCACAGCAATAAATATGATACATTTGAAAGGTTTTTTTGTGAAATGTGTCTAGATTGGCAAAATTTGTATTTTTTTTATATTTGGTACAGTTGCGATTTTCAGTGAAATATATTATAAAAGAGGATATACTTTATCAATTTTTAACACCACAGCAATGAAATGTATCCTATCAAGGTGTGTTTTGGGAGACTTTTAAATAGCATTAGCTTATTCTTAAAATTTCAGTGGAAAAATATTACTTCAACCATAAATATGCCGATTAGGGACCAACCTTAAGGCTAAAAATTAACATTTAGCAATTCCTTCGTTATTTGTACTAAAGAAATTATCGGATTTATTGTTAATGTCATTTTTTTTTTTATACCTAACCTTCATAAAAATTCGTACAGGGATAAAATGCTGTGTCCAGCAAGTATTCCAACAAGCTTCTACGATCTTTACATTATAAAATTTCAACTGTTGTAAAGTTAAAAAAAAAAAACTTCAGATGTATTGTGCTGCAGCTTATTCTAGAAGTGGATTCTCATAAAATCAAAAAACCTTTAGAATTTTTTTAAGGTCAGTAACATAAATATATACATGTACGACTTGTCCATAAAGTAAACATTTCTTCATGATTAATTCAAAAAAAGGCTTACTGATATCACAAACAACTGTTTCTTAAATAAAAATAGACCCAAAATATTCATGTGATTGGTTGTTAACAAAATAACTGTAACAAATCACTTTGAGATATACTCAAAGGTACTCTGAAGTTGACATCAAAAGGACCCTTGACTTACTCAATAAAAAACATTTTGTCTTTGGAGATCATATCGTTCAACAACTGTTCTATTGGGTACTAAATATGCTCCTTCATTAACCGACTTGTTTTCAAAATTCTTTGAAGCAGATATTAAAAACAAACAAAAAAAAACTTCTACATGACATGAGAAAATATACTTGCTGTGGCCTTCTTATTCAATACTAGTACTCTGACTTATCGAGGACGTTTTAACAATCAGCAATACTAGTAGTTAGTTCCATTCAAATGTCGACTTGTGTACCCCAGTCAACTCAAAATAAATGATACCAAGGAGCCTGTCACACATATACCATATTTGAATGTTTTACAGGCAATGATCGATAAGGGCAACTCTATAAATAAATTGTACGTCAAACGATATCACTTAAGATTTTCTCTATTTATGTAGTAATATTCTTCCATCACCTGCATGTTGGGTTAACGTCTTTCATCTTATTCGATACTCAAGAGGGTGTTCTGCTTATAGTTTTTTTTTAAAACCTAGACAGACTACTGAGAATTACGTTGATGCTACAGAGATTTCAACAACCTCCAATTTCCAATATTGTATTTCCATTAAAGTCAGAATTTTATAAATGCCATGGTCGTTATAAAGACCTTGATAGCAAACATAACCTCTTCACTTGGTCGTATTTTGGCGGACTTTTACATTCGTATTTTTAGGCCTTTGCTTTTTTGTACTTATAAACGGAACATTCCGTCAAGCTAATCAACACTTTTTGACCGAAAATACTTAGTCCTCTTAGCCATCTGATCCCATTTCAGGAATTCCCGGGGATCCTTGTTTTGTGCCCTGTTCAGAAAATTGAATTCTTTGTAGATTGATTTAATATAGATAACTGTTCATTCTATCTATCTTTCCATTAGAATATGTGAGCCATGTTTGTTGATATATTTATTATTACAAAAAAAGAGTTATCTCGCATGCGGTGTATTTCAGTGGCAAGTGTGTTTTTCTTTGGTTTTCTTTTGATTATTTTTTGTGTGTATTTATCACCTAATACACCTGCATATTAAAAAAAACCCTTTTAAAATAGTTTTTTCATTTTTTTAAAATATCTTACATACTTGATAGAAATTTTAAAAAATGAAATAAAGGATGAGGGCAATTCAAGTGTAAGTAAAGTACACTTTGTAAAAACAAAATCCAATGAAATCTGCTCGCATTTCTCGAGTAACATGTGCAGTAGAAAAATAGAGAAACACAGAGAATTCGGTTATTTTTGCTATTATTTCTTTATTTTTAACGTTGTGAGTATAAAAATATTTATGTGAAAACATTTTTTTCATGCTGTAGGGTTTTTTAAATGCTTAAATACTTGTCAATATAGCTATTACAACAGATATGGATGTACATTGTATAGACTGTACAACTATCTGTTGCCCTTTTTTAAAATAAATTAACAAATAAATTTAAAGGTTAAAAGTGATCTTGCTTCGAACAAATCTCAACTGAAATAAACTGTGAAATCATTTGATTTTGAATTGTTTGATTATGGCCATGAATAAACCAAGAGAAAAGATTAGTCAATATCATACTAGGATCAAGTTCCCTAATGTATGATAAAGTTATTCTATTCTAAATAAAATGGACCCGTTGAAAGGTCGTGACTTGCCAAAAAAATCATCCAAAGGAATATTACTAGTAAAAATGAAACGATACCTCATTTTGCACTCAATGACATATTTGTTTTTTAGCATAGTCAATCAAGTGGGAAGAGATTATTTCAATGATTGATTGATTGCCATCCATCTGTCTATTTGCTTTCCAATATGTCAAAAATATATAAACGAATGTTGAAAATATATTTATCAGTAAACATGAAAATAAGAAGATATCAACACCATCAATTAGCTTTTTTCATCGATACAATTTAATTAAGTTCCTATAAGAACATATCAACGATTCCAATAAAAGTTTATAGAAATAAACCTCGTAAAAAGATTCATTACGATTTGCAAAATCATCTTATAAAAGATTCAGATGCAAATGTATGTTTTTATTTTTTTAATGTTTTGCAATGAGAGATTCTTTGCCAAGGTGTAAAGAGAGGTATCTTCAATTGTTTATTTGAATTTGCTAGTGGGAAAGGAATGCATGTACCGCAGCGCATTCAAATTTGCTAAAAAAAATCCCCCAACAGTCATTGGGAAACACAATGTTTCATGAATTTTTGAAGGTATGAAAAGTTTGGTCTTATCTGACAAAATTTCAAAATTTGTATCACAAATTTGAGTTGCTATTTTGTCATCAATGTGTGCCACTTGTAATAACCATCGACATATAAATGAAAAATATAATCGCAAATTGATATATCTAAATGTTGAATGATAGACCTAGCGTTAAAGGCCAGACAAAGAAATTTCTTTTCATGTAAAAGCTTTTAATATTTTTTTTATCTGCATAAGAGTAAAACATTAGGTCTACTAGTGAAAGAGCAGAATTATATCACCCATGTAAATTCCGTGAGATTGTCGGACGACTTGCTCTTTTTAATTAAGAAGCAGTTGTGTGTGATTTCAAAAAAGTCTTATCTTGAATTTAATTTTGCCTAAATCAGTCGTAGCACCAATATAGACATAAACAATCCTCACATTAGGTTCTTGGGGTTAAAAATACCAGAATATCATTGGATGAAATACTATGTGCGCAGTTGTATTGAATCAAAATAAATTGCTTCCCTTCTCATGCACTTGGAACCCATTAATAGTATTTTTAAAGTTTTTGATGAAGTCAGATGGAGGTCTTGTCTACTTGATCATCCATCTGTTCTGTTTTTGTTTTATTTTTGTTTATGAAAGATGTCAAAAAGATTTTAATAGAGTTCAATTATTTTAAAAAGAATTTTTTAATTAGAATGAGAAAGAAGATATACTTTGAAATAGTAAATGTAGCTCAAAAATGAATGCTGTACTTTTCACTTGTTTGAAATACAAAAAAAAATGAAAGGTGGGAAAATGTACCTAGGGACATTTGCAGAAACATCCCATAAGAGATGCATATGCAATGTATACTAGTAATTATATTTTTTAAAAATTTCACTCTATTAATAAAATACACTGTATGGAGATAACAAACAGTATGCAACTCAAAGTCCATTAAACAATACAAAATTGAAG